GAGAATCAAAAACTTTGGAGCCCACTTATGAAGTTCAGTAGGTCAAAGGACATTCTAGTTTGGATTAATGACTGGTGTTAATTTGAAATCTAGTAAATGAGCCTGTATCCAGATAGTATACTAGTCTAGTTTCTCGGTTTTGTTGAAGTAAACCAAAGAAACAACAAAAAAGTTTTCAATTTCAAAATTAAACACAAATCCCAAGTGAAAAATTCGACCACTTTTTCCTGAAACGATTTTTGACCACAAGAAATCGTCTCTGATTTATCAAATTTCTTTCTGAAACTTTTCGACATAGTTCTGGAGTACAATATATACAATTAGTAATGTATAGAGATGTAGGTTATCTTCATTAAAGTACAGATTTTACTAGTTTAGACCTACCTGTTTGGATCATAAAATATTTAGGGCACCTGCAATGCGTGACGTCATATTGTAAATGTCAAACTTGACGGTCAATTTGTTACGAAAACATAAAAATTGTATATTACTATAAATAGTGACATCTTTAAATACTTTAATAAACTATAAATGTATTATGGATGGCGTTCTTCCAAAATGTGTTGATGTCATTAATACCCCCGTTAATTACCCGGGCATTGATTTAATACCCGTTGCTTTATTGTTAAATACGCTAATTGGTGTGTGTTTTTGATGAATGTGCTCTGAAAAAGAAATCTCTTCAAGTTCCCGGGTTCAAGTCACAGTCAGATGCAGCAGCATTGGCATGTTTTCCTAACACCATGGGTTTGACTGTTAAATTCGTGGATTCAGGCGTGGATTTCTTTTACCTTCTTCTAAGGCTAGAGACTCGAGTAAGATTTCTTTATTCTATTTATTATAACAAATATTTTTAACAAGACAAACAATGAACGCAATAATATAGAAATCTGAAAAGTTTTTCTGTTACATAAAGGCAGCAAATTAAAGGAAACCCTTAATCAGTAAAGTTAAAATGATTCCTCGGCGCATATGGTCAATGTTTACACTAAATCAAGTTTAATTTATATACCACCAAAATTGCAATTTTATCGCAGTGTCAACGTTATTATAGCCGTTGTTCGTATCCGAGTTATCGTCCCGGCGGACAAACTAACGAATGAACTTAGACGGACGAACGGACGGTTTCTATATCCCTCCCAACAATTGTACATAGCCCTACTTGGAATTGGCGTTTGTATTTCTCTGATCTAGATTCCTAACTGTTCAGTTCAACTCTAACTTTAACTCCACTTTCCATAGTTGGATTTTCGATTGTTCAAAAGATAGAGAGATACTTTGTAAATTAATAACAAATTGTAATTAATCATTTACAAATAAAGTGAGTCATTCCCTTATCTAATGCACCACTCTGCTAGATACCAAATACCCCAAGTAGGTCAAATGATAAGAATATTCAGTTTGAAAACAGTTTCAAAGTTCATTCTATATGATATATATGAATATTAATATAAAGCATACATTTTAAAATAATAACACAGAATTGTACTTTGTAATTAAAATCAGATATAATATATTTTTTAAGGATTGCTTTGGAGTATCGGGACTTACCAATGTGAAATGGAATCGTTAAAACTGTTTTTATTTCTTGTATGCGTTACAGTAGGTAAGTATTAGGCTACTACAAATGCTTTATTACAACACATCTTTATTGTAAAAGACATAGAGAATTCTACAATTTTTGTCACAATAAAAAGGTATTGTCAAATATACATTTGTCACCAAATGGTATTGTGAAATATCTTTGCTGTGTTGCTTTTGCTATATTTCGTTATCCCATAATGAGTGATGACACTAAAAAAAGCTCTGGATGACCAACCCGATGGCCAAATCCTTTAATTAAATCATGTTTTCTCGATTTGCTTTTGACAGGGGCGCGAAATCATGACAACCAATTAAACATGTCATATTTTACATTTTGTTTTATTCTGCCAGGGATTCAACAGAGAACATTCATGATTGCTATATTTTGTGTATTTTTTTGTGATTGACACTTATTTGACAGAAGACCACCCTTAGGGTCAAGAGACTTCCACTCCTGTTTTTTTTGTTTTTTTCTATGTAAACGCCAGAATTTCGGCATACAAGGCCTCATTAGGTAATATGTTTTTCTCAGTAAGTGCCAACCGTTAGAGAACTCCCTCAACTTGAACGTCTTCCCGAAAAAAAACCTCCCCTATTAAAATGTTATTTTGCTTTTCTGGGTAATTGACTTCCAGGGAGAGAACGCCTCAGAACGTCCTCCCTTACGTGTGTGGCAGACAAGATTGGAACGGCGCAGCGTGTATCAATTTTCCGTGCATTTGCCACAATTTTGGTAGAGAATGCTCTTAAAATGCCTCATTAATTTTTTCTTTTCTAGGTAATTGCCAGAATTTCGGCAGAGAACGCCCTCCACTAGAATGTTATGTGTGTAGTGGACAGGATTGGAATGGTGCAGCATGCATCAGGGATAGAATCAGCTGTAGAACCTTCCAAGATACATGTACAACTTACGTCAGATGGAGCAGTAAGTACAAGTTAAAGGCAGAATCAGATCTATAGGGGGTGACAAAATTACGAGCAACATGTACAATTGACCCGCCGATCTATTGCTTACAATCTCAATTACGATATCTCCCAAAAGATTCACGATATGTTATAAATTGGTGAAGTTATTTATGATTCAAAGTGTAAAAATGGGTGAAAAATGCTTAAATTCTCCCAAATAATAAGAACGGTGAACCATAATAATAATACACTGTTGTAAAAAATCTTTAGTTTATCTGAAATAAAGTGTGCACTTTGGGGATTTTTAGAAAATAGACATGAAAAATGAATGACATGAGCCAGAAATATTCTAAAATTGAAAGAATTTTTTGTTTACCTGCCCGCTAGATCATTTCAAAATGGTTTGGAAACTATTTTTATCAGTGATGAAATTTCGTAATTATAAGTAATTGACAAAAAATCACGCCATTGACTGTGATATTTTAGGGCTCACATTTGCTCTGTATGTATCAATCTAGCATAGTGATATTCGCGGTTTCAATGTAATATTTTCAAACTAGATCGTCATTTCTTTCTCAGCTCCCGACTACCCCACTGCCCGTGGAAGCAGGGCGCATTGGATCTCAAAGGGCTGCGACACAATGGAGGGATGCCGTCGCAGGCAAGCGCAACTGGAAACACTTTGTCGGAGGGACTGGTACCATGACTGGGCGTGCGTTGATTGTTGCCAAGGGAACCTGTGTAACAGGGAGATTACTGTAGGCTTTTGTTTTGTTTTTGTAACATGGTAACAATACATCCAGCAATGTACATTTTTCATTTTAGTTAAAAGTTAGATTGAAAAAGTGGCAAAATTGCCGAATGTCTATTTGAATTAATGAAATTTTAAAGCAAGATCACTCTTGTTTAACTATAACGTAAGGACTCTCAAATAGTTTAATTAGGTCATGTACATTTATTTTCAGTTAGCTGCGACCAGTGTTCAGTCAAGCGTGGCAACAGTGGCGGCATCTATTTTTGCCATTTGGTATATCTCAAGTTAATAATCAGAAAAACACTCAAAGACTGAACTGATAGATCACATTTTGGCGACGCCCAAAGTAGCTGGACAGCTTTTCATTTTTGCTATTATTATTAGAATCAAAACGAATTATGTGTGTATAAAATAGTCGAGACCGAACTACACAATTTCGGAAATATTCCATGGACACTTTATGTCCCATCTATCAATATAGTCCCTTTATGGTTAAGTCAATGGAGTTCCGAAAAAGAATGAATGTTAGGCCCCACAAAAAAATACATGTATAAACCCCCATCGACTGATAGACAGAGTGACTGAGTGTGAATGTGTTTTTACTTAAGTTTTATACAAATCGTTTAATAATTGGACAAACATTGGAAGTATATAAATATGTATTGAAAACATATATTGTTTGATATATCGAACTGTTGTTTTGTATTATTATGGGTGTACGTATTTTATTAGACTATATAATATACAGAACTTACACTCCCCTCCATAAGTTTGGCAACCTTAGCCTCCATTGAACTACGTGTTAAAGCCTCTTTACCTTTGAATTTTTACCTGCGATGAAAATATTTATAGTACGTAATTTGACTTTATTTCGAACACCTACACATTTTCTCAATTTTTTGCCTCAATTGCAATAGGTCTAACCTTTGCATTCGTTTGACTTCACTTCTTAAAAGAGAGCTTCGTCTTTGTAGTTTAACTAGACTCTGCATGCAGGGTACAATAGGTCCAAAATTGATGATAAGTTTGCCGCACGTCACATGACAGAATATTCATCGATCCAACTCCTTGCAAAAAATACAATCTAGGTAGGGAATTGAATTTGCTAACTTTATTTAACAAAAAATTGATACGTTTCTTCAGCTTCAACAAAGTTATAGGTCTTGAAAGTCAAAATCGTTTTACAAAAAACCTCTCCCATTGAAATAATTCAGAAGGCGAAAAATGATTTGCAAAAATGACTTTGAAGCTCTGTAACTTTAGTATTCATCAAGTAAACTAAACACTTAGTGTACAAAAAAGTTAGACAATTCAATTTATATATAAAAATATTTTTTGCTGAATTTTTTACTGGATAGATATCCTGATTTCTGATTTGCCCCGAACCCACCATTCCCATTGGTTTACATGGGTTTGACGATTTTTTAAAATTCATCAAATTTATCATAAATTTTCGACCTATTGTAATTAAGGAAAAAAATTTGAGAAAATTTGGAAGAATTGCAAATAAAGTCGAGTAACGTTTCTATCAATATTATAAGTTATTTCATTTCAACCCTTGCTTTTACCTCTCATAATGCAATGGTTAGTATAAATGAAGACCGAAATATTTTGAACATACGCTTGACTCCCCAATATATTCCAATATATACAATTGATTCTACTAATTAATCATTAACAGATTAATGAAAATACGATTGTGCATTTCATGAATCACATTATTTGTTAATCATTTACAGAGATAAATGTATTTGATCAAAGTCCCATTAACAGATATTTTGGTGTGGACAGCATTGGAAGCCATTTTGTTTAAAACGGAACAAATTTTTGTGTTACAATGTTCAGTACCATTTTTTATAATATCCGATAAAGTAAAGCATGTAACAGATTAAACAACGTGATTGAAAGAGAAACTGATGATCGATGATCTGAAATTATTGTATGGTGAGAGTACAACAAATATAAGGAAGACGTTTGAATTTTTCTACGGTTCAGGAAGCGATTCCGAGGAGAATGGAAACAACATTCATTTTAACCTGCTTCCTGTGTTTCATCACGACGGGTAAGTTGGGTTTTAGTTGACTAGAAATTAATTGCCAAAGCCCGTATGTTCAATTATTAAGATGACCACAATATCCAATCTTAATTCTGACAATACAGAGTTCCTACTTGCCCTGTACATATATGTAACTTTGGTGTTAGTACAGAGTAAGTGCCCGTTCTGCGAGTTCTGGTAAATGACCTCACTCTGTTTCAAATAAGCAAGGACATTGAAAGGTCGTGGCGTCTCACGATCGGTAAGACTTCTTCGAAAATTAGACTAAGGATACATTTATAGATGGCGCCAGTTTATCATTTGAAATATGTTACAGGTTACGCTCTAGAGTGTTATTCGTGTGAGGGTCAGGATTCAAATCAGGACAAATGCGGTAAAACAGTAGTACAATGCAGACAGTTCCAGGATACTTGTACATCATATATACGATGGAGTAGTAAGTTCAACTATAGTCGTGCAGGGGCGTAGCCAGCTTTCAGTCAGGGGGGGGGGTGATCGCCAAAAGAATTTCGGTTTTCAGTCAGGGGGGTTGCGATTGTGGCATAAACAAGCCAAAAAATCAAGATTTATCTTGAATTTTACAAAAATTGATGCAACTTCCTTCAAAATTGAGCACTTTAGCTACTTTAGTGGAATTATCAGATGGATCTGATAATGACAAGAAAGGGGGTTCAATATCCTGCAATCCCTTGCAGCCAGTGGAATCCCCTTTGCATTTGGTACAGGCAAAACATTATTGGTAAATTTCGACACTAAGTCTACCACATCTTTAACGTCCTTCTTGATATAAGGAAACAACCCTGCCTTCAAATTATAAAATGTACTTTGTTTTAGCCCCACCTTATTGGACCCCGCGTGGAGAGAGAGTACATTGGATCTCAAAGGGCTGTGACACTCGAGATGGTTGTACTCGTCGTGCTGCCCTCTATAGGATGTCCTGTAAACGAGACTGGTACAACGATTGGGCATGTGTTGAGTGTTGTTCTGGTGATTTATGCAATTTTTACGTAACTGTGAGTGAAATTTTACCAAATTCCCGAAAGAAAAACGATATTCATATCGTTTAATATTGTCGTTACCCGTATTGTGTCAGTATGTCTCAAACATGTCTTCTGAAATATTATATTAAGCCTATTTTCGAATTTCAAACGTGAGCCAAAATAACCCCGAAATACCCGAAATAAAAAATCAGAATAATCATTTACTGAAAAAATTGCAATTCTGAAAAAATGTTCACATACAATGTGAATATTTTAAATACTAGAAAATATGCACGTTTTTCAATTTGGAACTTTTTTTGACGCTTACTAGCTAGGTGAGTAAGTTTTGATACCCAAAGAATGATGCTTAGTATTAAAGTCTATCATCGTGCCAATATGATATGAATGTGAAAATATGTAGTTAGAAATAGACCAGTGCAAATTTAATTCTTTTGTTTTCCAGCTTGGAAGCAGCAGTTTGAAATACAACATCTACGTCATGATGTCAACAATTGTGACTATCGTATACATGTACACTATGCAACGATAGAACATTTTCGATGGAATATTTCTCACCTTACGATTTTGGGCCCACATATTAATTCTAAATTTGCAGAAATATTCTTAGAAGGGCATGTGACAAGTCTCTTCATTTATGTTTAGATTTAGTTATCATGGCAAAAACCTGCTCAATAAGATAAACTTTATATGAATACGAAAAATGAGAGAAACCTATACATATTTTTATCTGAAAGATTGTTGTATGGAAAACCTTATCGATATTTAGATGGCAGTAGAGTAGTTCCTTGTATACTATTCATAACGTATAATTCTCTATTGGACGTCAGTGCCATCTTTTTATGAACATTCTTTCTAGCACTGAAAAGCCTATGGGCCTAGTTTGTGTTGAGTTACCCTGTACATATGATACATTGCACATATCATTTTGAATCTTGCTTTGTGGTTATTTTTGTAAGTTGTATGCAATATTTGTAATATCTGACTGTTGGAAATATGGTAATTGTGAAAAGAGACTTATCTAGTCTCTTGAAGGACTTTAAAAACGAATTTTAATTCTTGTAAATATTTCAAAGATGTTACACAACAATAAACCTTACGTTGGAATAATCATGAGCACTTGTATATATTTTTATAATGCCAGAATTAATAAAATTGATTTGATTCAAAATCACTATTATTTATTTATTCCTAGAACTTGAGTAGACCTATGAGTCCCCTATTTTCCAAATGATTGGATCTTATTTAAACGCTTTTGGCAGATTATATGTGGAAGTTATTCAGGTTGGTTATTCATCTTGATTTTATATAATATACCGCGGTGAAAATAATATTTAAAAGATAAAAAGACACCAACTTAGGCAAGGCCAACCGAGGACGAAATACACTTATTGGGGAGTTTAAGCGTGCATATAAAATCGAAACGCCAACCTATACGTATGACCAATCACCCATACAAATGCATCGCTTAAATATTTTTCGTTCACGTTTAGGTTGTGAAAAACATTGCAAGCTTAAACTCCCTATTATTGAATTTATATACGCAACTCGGGACGCAACTCCAAGGACATAACCAGGGAGATACAAATTTCTGTAAACTTTTAATGAGGCAATCATTTGCCTCATGATGGCAAGCCCCATGGACTCAAAATACATTAACACAGTTGCGCATTTTGAAAGCAACCTTTTCAAAAAGGGTGACCTTAATTTGTCTTTTGGAAAATAATTGAAATGGCTTACTTGAAATTGAAGTTATTAAAGAAGTTACTGCATAATTGTCAAGTCACACTAATTATGACTTTGATGAATTGCTTCAAATCAACAAATATAATCTGACTTTGTTATTCAGAACGGATTTCCTGCCAAAATTATGGAGGGAGTGTATATAAACATTTATATTAAAGTTGTCACTTGAGTGATTATATTCATCGACTTTTGATACGGTCATCGAACGTTACATGCGTTGTCGTGTGGTGTGTGCCGTGATAAGATGACGTTTTTTGGGAGTGCCTGTTGGCCGGATATCAGTAACATAAGGTCAGCGTCAATCGACCAAGACATATGTTGTACCTATATATAACTGTACATTAAGCTCATACAGCGACTCTATTTCCTTTTAACAAAATTTAAAGGTGTTTGTATGAAAAAGGCGTAAAGAGGTACCATGTGACTCAGAGCCCAGCATTAAGTATTGGATGTAGATGAATCTTTTGTTTTAAGAAGCGAGATCAAACTAGTAGGATCAAACCATTGGAAAGCAAAGAAGGTATGTTATATTTTAATATGTTTTCATTTTCATTATCACACTGAATTTTTTCTGTAATATCCGTAATTTATTCAACGTTTTCAGCTTAACAAACAACTCATATACATCAGATATTTAACACTCATCACTTCTCTCAGATTTTTCAATTAGCGATGAAATAATATTGGCTAATATGAACTAATTCTAGGAAAGAACAAATATCATGCCCGGATAGATGGCCATGATTTCTCACGGTGATTAGACGACATTTTATACCGTATGACCTGCCTTATTTTCCGGACCTCCCTCGGATATTCAGCTCTTCATCCATTTCACTTGGTCAAGCAGTCAACAGTAAAACCTGTACACCTTTCTTATTCGAACTGAACATTATATCTCGATCCCAATTTTGTTATCTCTCATTATATCACATAACAATACCTTGAAATGTGAACACCTGTTAATGTGAACACTTTAAGCCGCCAGTGGCGTTCGTATTTAACATGAATTACTGTAAAACAAAAGGGGCGATCATACAATTACGTGAGTCGTATTGAAAGGCATCATATGATTATTATCAAACATAATTTCTATCCTCTCATGATGGGTTCAATTATCAGTAGTTTCATTTAAAATATGCAATTTAAGTTTTCAATATTTGATAGGATCTTGTCATGCACGGTAGTTTTATGGTCATATTAAACACATATATTGTATATTGTATTTCACTCCGCAGATACAACTTACTTCTAGAGGCGAAGGTCTTGATTATTGAGATGCATGACTAAAACTTTGTTTTTTATTTAAATACAGATTAGACCACAGCCATGAGGAAAACGAAGAACAAGCTGAAGACGTTGATGATCTTGGCAACAATGTCTTTGATGATACAGATCCACCTTTTCCTTAAACCCTTCGTAAATAACTATCAGATAAACAACATCAACTACTACTTTTACCAGACCATAAACAATAATTTAATCTCCGAAGGGAACGTACTTGAGCAAGACCGCGGAGTTGTAACTGCAAGATTTTCATCAAATGAGGCTGGGGACGTTGACAATAGATACATTAAGAGTGGAATAGCATCCGAATTTAGTGCGACTCAAGCAGAAAATAGATCTCCGATAAAACCACAATTTAAAATTTCCGCAAAGTGGAACACTCATAATGGTATAGGAAACTTAATGTTTCAGTACGCAACCTTAATAGGAATCGCAAGAGCTAATAATATGCGAATTGTCATACCAAGAACGCTTCCGATTAGGCATATATTCAAACTCTCAAACGAAATTGAATTATCAGACTCAGGTAGGCCTGGCGTACATTGGAAACAATATAGAACTGGATGGATATGTTGTTTTTTCACACGTCAAGTTTTTCACCTGTCACAAAATAATACAGAAATACGTGGGTACAGACAATCATGGAAATACTTCCAAAGTGCCAATGTTGAAGTTAGAGAACATTTCCAATTTCATGAATCATTTATAAAAGTGGCCAAAGAAACTATTAAAAAAGCTTTACACGATAAGCTCCAAATATCGAAAGAGACTCCGCGAAGTGAAAGCAATGCCATTGTCGTTGGAATACATGTAAGAAGAACTAACATGGTTTCACCAGCGTCTTTATCCAAGGGCCAAGTTGATACAAATACAACATACATAAAAAATGCAATGAAATGGTTCAGTAAAAACTATCCAAAAAATGAGATATTGTTTATTGTATGTAGCGATGATATGAAATGGTCCTTGGATCATCTCAACTTTAGTAATTATAAAATGTATTTTGCAAGGGGGAATAAAGACTATGAAGATATGGCAATTTTATCAGAATGTGATCATATGATTACAACTTTGGGAACATTTAGCTGGTGGAGCGCTTGGTTGACGGGTGGTGACGTCATCTATGACGCAACATGGCCACGGGCGGGGTCAGTTTTAGATAGGGGTGTTAATAGGACAAATTATTTTCCACCTAATTGGATAGCAATTTAAAATGTTTAAAGTATATCTCTTGAAATAAGAATACCTCCTTCTTGCATTATATTAAAATATGATCAGAAAGAAGCTGATGTGCCAAAATAAATTATGAAAAAATTGAGTACTGATTTTTATGTGCACTTGTGTGAATATTCTAAGTTTGGGAGTTACATGTACCTCTAAACAGGTATTTCATTAAAATCTACACATGAAAGGCTAAATCACCAAACCACCAACCCTCATCAACCCCTTTTAATACTAAAGAGGAATCATCTTAGTACTTTTTAATTACACAGCACATTTTATCCTTGTGCATCAATCCACTAAAATATGAAGAATATTAGTTCCCAATTGAAAGACAATGGAGTTAATTTGAAATCATATCCATTTTCCGATTATCAACACAGGAGGAATAACAAGACTAATGATTTCTGTACATAATATAATATCTTTGTATTGTTTGTCTCATATTTGCATAGTTTCAATTCACATCTACAGAGCAATGACACTCAAAGGCCTAAGAAAACCTTGTCTGATGGAAAAATATAAATCTCCATATTAAATATTTTCTGTAAGTATATGCTCTGCTTTCTCACTTGAATTTGGTATCAGACTAGATTTTCCTGGACCTATGATGATAAACATTCTGTCCATTTTGGAAAAAATATTTGCGTAGCTGTACATCATGCCATATATACAGCTAGTCAGCTGTACATTGTACAAGATATACATCTAGCCAGCTGTACATTTAAGCAATCAACATTATGTAAAAAACACCTTGCCCACCTTTGAAAGAATAAAAAACAATTAAAATGGGAGTTACCTTGGTGTAAATGCACACATTTTTGAATCTCAGCCAAATGTGATTGCCCTCTAAATTGATTCATCAGTTATCAGTGATTACGCCATTTCCTCTTGTCAGTTTACTGAATCAGGGCCATATAACATGTATAAAGGAGACTATTATCCCTGGCACTTGGGGACTATTATCTCCATACTTTGAAACAAACTAAAGCAAATCAGAGCAAGATAGTCCCAAGGTGGTGAATTATACATAATTATGAATTCATATTTTCTTAATGAAATCCCTTCCACTTGAGAGGCTGTACACATTTACAGCCTAAACTGACCTGGAGTGAGCAAGCTCCTGCGGGAGATGATGGGATACCATTGTTATGGCAACAAATAAACAAACAAACAATAGACTTGCCAGATCAACTTCAAACATCCAACTGTCTCCCAAAGGAAACATTAAAAAAAATTCTAAAATCTTAAAAAACTAAAAATTAAACATGTCAGTTTCAACTAAACATACATGTTTCTCCATTTGCCTTTACTTAGAATGCATGCATTTCATTGGATGAGAGGCCAAGTCATCATTAGCATAATCTTCTCATAGGCATGCAAAACTAGACTTGTGGTGAAAACTCAACAATCTTTAGAAGATTTCTCATACAATAGATACACAATTTTACTTTGAACATGATTCTTAATCACAAACTTAACACATAAGTCTTGTTTAAAATACTTAATGTTCAAATATAATACAAAGATAAAGGTTATAGCTGTTATATATTAAAAGCATCAGTATACGTCGTATATCCACAAATTCTTTCTATTCAAAGTGTTTGATTATGTCTTTAAACTGTTAAAAAGAGGTGTAGCAATGTTCATATACTGTATATACAAATCCAGACTTGGTACTAAAATACTGGTAGGTCATCTGAAAAAATATGGCATTCATAAAATCAACATAATGTTTACTAATCACTAACCTTATTCAAATATATATCTTCAAATAATATTTTCATTTATGTTACACTGAGCAAAACAAGTAACTGCTGGTTTCTCATAAAATTATTTTATCTCAAAATATTAGTGTTACCTCTACTTATGGTATTACCTTTGCATATTGGTGGTACCTTTTCATATCAGTATTACCTCTACATATTGGTGTTCCCTTTTCATATTGATATTAACTCTATAAATTGGTGTTACCTTTTCATATTGGTATTACCTCTACATGTTGGTGTTACCTTTTCATATTGGTATTACCTCTACATATTGGTGTTACTTTTTCATATTGGTATTACCTCTACATACTGGTATTAGCTATCTGTACACCAAAAGTAGGCTTCTAAAGAAACCCAATGCGTTAAATAGATGCAATAATAAAATACATGCAATAATTAATGCAAATGGTCCAAAAAGACAAAATGGCACCTCAGTAAGCCAAACTTCTCTTGAAGCAAATCATAGAAATATCTGAATATTGTACATACTTTACATTGTATAGAAATATTGTATATATAACAAACACAAAAAACACCGAGACATTTGAGAGTGCATTTCAGCATCTATATCCCCAACAATGAAGAAAGCGAGAAAGAATTTGGACTTGATACAAAAACAGCTATAGAGCTATAAAAGAGAAAGGAACAAGTTTTTTCAATTTTCTTAAACCATAAAAGAATTCACAACTTTATACAAATACTTTATACAGGTGTGTATCATATAATACATTTGAAAATTGTTTCTATTTCAATGTTGAGGACGAGGACACGTGTAGATGGCAGATCACCACAACTCGTTTTTTCACTTCCTGTACGATTGTTTGTGTGTAAAAATTATTTCTCTTAAAATACACTACATATACCAAATCAGTTTTTTCTTTTTATAATTACCGCTATGGAATGTCGTAGCATTAGAACTTTTGAAGTAGTAGTTTTCAAGTTTTCAAGTCCTCAATACCATCTTCCCTTTATATACAACAATATAATATTATTTATAATATTCAGCAGAACTCAGGTAAGGCATTTGTAATATTCACAATATACATGATATCACTTTTTACTGCAACTTCATTCACACTCTCCCTAGAGGAGGATACAAACTTGATTCTAGGATATACAGTTAAACATTGACACAATGCTGTGTGTTAGACAACGAAGCTCTCTTATAAAAACTGTTAATGTAGATTCATTCCTCATTTATATAAAATGTCACATTCTGATACTCATAGCATCTTTCTGTTTCACCTGGGCTGAGAAGAAATGAGATGTCATGGTTTATCATGATGAAAATGTCACATGTCATGACTGCACTGCACTGTATAAAACTAGATAACGGCAACTCCGCGGAGTAGCAAATCCCAACGAACAAAATATCAATTACCGAATTCCAATCAATTATACTCATTACTTTGGTTAAAATTGAAAAAATTAGATTTTAGAATTGCGAATTCCTGCAAAGCAGCCATTTTGAATTTTCTGAGATACAAATCTGAAAAATAATACCATAATTGTGATCTACTCCAAAATTCCTTCAATTTGAGTATAATATAGCCATACTTTGAAGGAATCGAAAAATTATTGCGAAATCGTACATTAGACGGCCATTTTTAATTTAACGAGGCTCGAATCAGAAAAAAAGATACAATATTTGCAATCTACTCTTAATTGCCTTTCATTTGAGTATATTAAAGCTATACTTCAGAAAGATCTAAAAATTAGCGAAAATTTCTGTTTTCCTGTCCCCCCATTCACGGCCCCTGGGAGTCAGGATGAAAAACACGGAATATATGTGAAATAGATAAATGTTGTGAATATACTACCAAAATTTCAAACAATAATATTAATTACTTTGGTTTAGAATGAAAAATTTATGATTTTTGCGAAAAAGTCCCGTCATTTTTAAAGTGGCAGCCATCTTGCATAAAACTATTCACCAATATACATCTTTCCACTAAATATGAAGAAAATCCGTCTACTAGTATTTGAGTTATCTTCCGGACAGACGGACGGCCTGACTGACTGACTGACGGACGGATGGACGGATGGACAGACGGACGGACGGAGGGCTTCACTATATCCCTACCGAACTTCGTTCGCTGGGATAATAACTTTGATTTTTTGTTTCTCAAAACAATTTGAACTGACAAATTCTTATAATGCCATCTATGAAAATTATACTATATATATATGAGAATCGAGTCACATTAAAAATGTGAGCAATTTCGCAGGGTAAGGGGACACCTTTGCTTTATGTAAAATTGATTTCAATTCCAATTCATAAGTTCTTCATGTTTGAATATCATATGTCACTATACAACATTCTATAGAATAGCAATTTCAAGACCCAGATCAACGTATTATCACAATACATAACAATCAGGTGAAAAGAGGTTGTGACCCAAATTGTAACTTATTTATTGTGAATCAATTGTGATATTCCTTCAATATATTGATATTCCTTCAATATATTGATATTCCTTCATAAGAATTCCTTTATTTGGGTATTGTCTGAAAACTGCACCCTTGTTAAACACTACTGGCCTCCCCCTTTAACACATCATCCTGGAACTCAAACTTAACAGAGTCAGGGTCAACATAATCTCCCGCTGGAATTTTGGCCTCGGGGCCTCCATTCGCTTCAACAGGCTGCAGCTCAGCATTGATGAAATCAGAGTCATTAAGAGGTGGTTTTTCAGCAATTTCAATTTTATCATTGGGAGCGAATCCATACGTAGGGTTAGTTACTGCTGTATTTCCCAGTGGTTCAGTGTTGGCATTGCCATTTTTCCCATAGTTGTTGTTCTTATTTCCGCGTAAGCTGTTATAGCCCGGGTTGTCAAAGGCTATGCTTACAGCACCACTGTCCATTGAGGCATCATACTTGGCTATAGGGTCCTTGTCTGATATAGGGGAGATTGGTACCCCATCTGGCATGGTATCAACTGGGTTCTCAAACTGACGGTGAGCTGTCTGCTTGTTAACTTGGTGCCTGAAACAGCAAATATTGCATGAAAAAATGGTTGACTTAGCAGTTTGGAAATATCTTACTCAGGTGTTATATGTTCATTTATGGTGCAATTGTAACTTATAAGAAGGCACTGTCATACATCGTCACCACCTGGCATCTGTCACAGATGCCAACCACCTTCCACCAAAGGTCAAACACTAACTGCCGAACACCATCCACAGTTTTGGTTACACTTCATAATGTAACTTTCAAACAGTGTGCAAAGTTAAATTCTTCCAAAATGCAACCAACTTATTCACAGCAGTTATGCATTAATGCATTTTTGTCACTTAAATGACTCATTTGAATATCTTACCTTCTCCACATGAAAAAGCCAGCTATAGCTGCTATGGCAACAATGATACAGGCTGCTATTACACCCCCAACTACACCCCCTACTGACGCACCACCTTGGGAACCTGAAAGGTTAAATTATACACAGTTATAGTTTGAGGATATGGTCTTGTAGTTGAGCATAATAGAAACAATAATACAGTGTTACTAGCAAATATGGTTATGCATTTTGTTGAAATAATTTGTCATCAAAATGTTGTAATAACTTTCTAATTTAGAAATAACAAGAGCAGATCTCGTGATTTTGAAATTTTGAATGATTTGATACAATGATCATTTCTAGACAGAAAACATAATTTGAAACGCTATATGAAGATTTGAAAGTGATCTTTTAACTTAGTAGACAGTTAATGTATGATCTGCCAGATACGAGTATAACTAATCAGAGACATATAAAACAGGTTATATTTCAAGTACTAATATCGCTTATTGAATTTTTGTCATATATCAACAAAAGCATTTTATTACTTTTTGCTTTAAAAACGAAAAATATAGAGTAAAACATTCAAAATGTCCGACTTATACAGCAAGTTGAGACAATGGCGCCCAATTGGCATTCTATATATCCACCAAGCATCATCTAATAGGATAACAAAATAAAAATAAAATGAAAAAATTACAAAATGAACATTTAAATTTTTGGAACAATCAAATCAACCAAATGTCTTGCACTGTTTCTTTCAATACCTTTATCTTTAATCTGCTGTGTTCGCCCAGTATTATTTGTTGATGCAGTAGTTAATGGCTCAGCTGGTTTAGTGGAAATATCTGGTTTAACATTGTTTGCTTTGGTAACTATGGGAGAAACAGGTGGTTTTGTTGTTGTTGTAGTTGTTGTTGTTGTTGTTGTTGTTGTTGATGTTGTTGCTTTAGTGGGTGTTGTCCAAGGTATCGCTAATCAAAGAATAACCAGGAATGTTGCATTATAAAAACAGATGGAAGCGATTCTCTTATTCTTTGTGCAAGTTTGACCCTATTTCAGTAGATAAGTACAGTAAACCCCGTCTTTGTAAACACTGGTTATGTCTATCTCTTTAAACCAAAGAGCTTGAAGGGGAGCATAATTATTGATTTTTTTACATCCAATTCACTCCTGTGCTATCAAAAGAAGGAAAATTTGGTATATTGTGACCAAGTTTGGTCATCATTACAAAAATTATATTTTGTAAAGAGGAAAAGATAGCATACTGGGAAGACATTGTTTGTAAAAGATAGATTTCACTGTAGTTTCCACATGTATTGAGAACAAGCAATTTCATGTGTTTGTGAACTCATTGTACATGTACTTACATAGATTCATAATTAAACATTTACACATATATTCATCCTGAATCACTTCCATATTTGGAAAAGATAATGTCCTTTTTCAGATGTGATATGTATGATTGTTAGCTTAGAAGGGAAAGAGACGAGTAAGTATCGAAAAATCACAATCTTACAACATTTTTTGCACTCATTATTCCATGCCATGCTATTGTTTGAAAGTTCAACAGTTATGACTTTATATCAAGATAATCTTTTAATTTTTAATGTTATCTGGCCAAAAATGGTATTCTACTGAATTTGGACATTTCTGCCTCGATCTTTGATTTTAAATAACTTCTGCTGTATTTGATCAGATATCAAATATGATTACGATTGTAAGTGAGACATTAACATGATTTTTGAAAGTATTTCTTCAAACATTTTACACTCTCATAATCTCTTCTGATTCTAACTCTACTCACTTCAATTATTTTTCAAATTCATATTTTTAAAGTTCATGGTGATATGACATCTAAAGAGTCAATAAAAGATATAATAATGGGTAAAAAATGTGAAAAAATTGAACAAGTACATGTATATTCACAATGAGCTCACAAATATAATTCCAATTCCTCCTTTTAGTATTCCCTATTTATCAAAAGCTTATTTCCATAAAATGATTGTTAACGTATTCATAAGCATCTTGATTACATAATCAGCATGCAACTCACGTGTCTCGCAGTACTGGCCTGTGAAATGGGGCCTACAGTAACACTTCACAAGTCTGACATCATCAGTTTGACGGCAAACTCCTTTGTTTTTACAAGGATTATTTTTACAGTAGTCGATAGCTGAAATATTAAAAGTAATGTTGAAATGAAATGAAAAAGAGCAATGTTGTTATATGAAACTGAACAATACATGAACATGAAATGAAAAAGAGTATTATCGTATGATCTGTAAAATGAAGCCCTCTGATTGGTCAGTTCTTGTGCTGTACCAATCTGTATTGCTACTGAGATTGTCCCCATTGATCATCTCCGTCGCAATACAGAAAATATTGGTACGGAGGGGACAATCTCAGTAGCAATACAGAGGATCACACGATAAAAATGTTATTGAATGATTTGAAGTGCAATACAGGATATATTCTGTCTCGATATTCTGTATTGGCACTCAACTTCGTCTCGTTCCAATACGGAATTTCTCGAGCAGAATATATCCTGTATTGCACTTCAAATCATTCAATAACTTATAATGTTGTGGTATGAAACTGAACTATACATGAACGTGATGAAATGAAAAAGAACTCTTTCACTTCTCAAACAAAATGTGTTTTGTTATAAACACTAAATGTTGAATGGATTGCATAATACAGTGTGTTCAAACTGAACTCACTGTATTAGCTGCACTGGTGATCATTCCTAGTTCAAACATTTTGATACAGATACTAAAATTGGAATATAAAACAAATCATACCTGTGCACACTAGTGGGGATCCACTCCATTTTAGCCCTTCTCTTAGACATGTGCGTTCCTTATTTCCACTAGTCGGCTCGTACTTTGTCTTACAATGGAAGCCACATGTCACTCCAGGAACTAAAAGGCTCGAGGTACAATTTCTGGAGATGCTATTCTCAGGTATTTGAAGAGTTCCACATGTATTACCTTGAAGAAATACACAGAAGTAAACAACACATACAATTTATAAATAGTTGTCCAGTTCCTACTCTTGTTACTCAGTCAGAGCTAGTCAGTGTATGTAACAGTACATCACATAGTGCATCTGCACAAGGTTATAAACCAATCAGGACATGCAGTAGTAACTACTGTAGACTACCCTCCAATCATCATCTAAATACAAAAAATAGTTTATGGGTCCCCTCCAATCCATATTTTTTAAGGTTAGGTTTTATTTATTTGCAATAAGATTTTACACTTGTTATTAACATACTACAAAGGCCTATGTAAAACATTACATTATTGGCCTCCCTTATATAAAATTTGCAAATTAACATATATTTATATCAGTTCTCAAAACATGTGTCATGTCTTTTGTAAGTGTTACATAGTCCTTATGGGAAATGTAAGGAATGAATAATAATGATTGATGAAAGATGGGTTGAACTTTGTCCTTACGATCATGGACTTGTATAAAGTATCAGATGATTTTGTCAATAAAATTTGCTGATAAATTGGTAATTTCTTGGACAATTTCCTTGACATCATCAGATGTATCAATCTAAAATGATAAGAAGAACCATGTGTGCTGTTCTGTTAATGTGAACTTGTATTTATGATATGATAATTTTAAAAATAAAACTGTACTGATAATGTAGTATGCTGGTATTAGGTTTTTACACAAAGCTACAAGTTCTTGCTTGTTTGAGAATCTTACTCATGCAAAGGGTGTCTGTATTAAAAATCCAGGTCCCTGTGACATCACAGTGAATGCTCCTCCGATCAGAAACAGGTCTATAGCCAGGATTACATGTGAAGCTACACCAGGTGGTTGGTTTACGACTGCATGATTTATCAAAGTCACCATTCTTGATAAACTCTGTACATAGACCAACTGGAAATATGGAAAATGAGTTGATTTATCAGAGGAAACACTTTGAACATAAAACACCTAAAAATTGGAGATGGGTCATATTAAGATGTTTGCTCCTTTAATTGTATTTGTGATTTCTACTATTCTAGACCTACACTATGAAATTCATTTTTCTCAGTATGTAACACTTACAAAGGCTGTACATATTTAGGACTGAGTACTTACTTGAATCACAAGTTTTTTTATCTGCTTTCAATCCCTTCCCAGTTCTACAACCACATGTGCCTTCCCCATTGACACCTTGACGGAAGCAGAAGTCACTGCAACCTCCATTGTCGTTAAAACAGGGGTGGTTATCTTCAAACAGACAGACAACATCACATATTATAAAATACATATAACTACACAAGTGTTGAATGATGTAGAGTTGGATATCTGTATTTATCATACCATTGAAATATATCTCGCTTTCTCATTGGATAAGAACCAATCACATGATTAAAAATATTAGGGTGCATTTCATTGTTTCCTGCAGTGTCCAGCTGCAGCCTCGTTTTCAACTGTATATACCACGGTGTATATACCACGGAGTATATACCACGGTAGAGTGTCCCGGATGTTATGAGGTCACATCAATATTATAGAAAATACTTGTATTTTTAGTATGAGCAAGAGGAGGGAAAGCCTCAGAGCTTTAGCGATGACTGACATAATACGTCTCTTGCGTACCACCTTCGTTTGGGCAAATTCTCACCAGTTAATTTTCGAACATAGCGCATCGTCGGGATGTTTTAATCGATGCAAACATATTGCTTACATATTTCTTTATCTTGATGTGAAAAACCAAGCTATGATATCGCTTAATATGCCAGGAATCAACATAATATTATTCGAAGCTTTATTAGAAAATTTTGAATCAGCCATTTTTGTTTATCGATTTGGACCAATCAGAGGTGTATGTCATCTCAATACAGGTTTACATTATAAGCGTATGTCATATTTGAACTCTGGTGTTAATCCCCCTCTGAGTATATGTATGAGTACTCATAGTGACGGTGTATCCGTTGCCATGTTGTTGATGTTTATAACCAATGATGTCACAAGTCATCTTGCATGTGTTACTTTTGAGGATGAAAGATGCTAATATCTTGCATCGGACTAAAGTAGCTGTATCTTGGTTATTCATTTGTGACACATGTATCGTATCTAATAATGTATTAAATGGTTTAAAGACGCCTTTATAGAAGATTCAAAAATCGTAAAAAATATAATATATATAATATTTTTCAAGATGGCTGCCATGTGCTTCTTTAATATCTACATTTCTAGCTTTATTAATGTCGTATGTAATTGTTTTACATTTAAACATATTGCTATTTCAGTTTTACATATTGCACCTAAATTACTGTAAAATCGGCACTAAAATGGCCGCCATTTTTAAATGAGCGGCCATTTTGAAAATCAGCTTTCGAGCAAAACTTCTACCCCCCATAGGGTATATGTGTACAAAATATGAACAAAATCTGGCCAACGGTATTTGAGTTATTGCCCGGACGGACGGTTGGACGGACGAATGGACGGAGGCGTTCCCTATATCCCTCCGAACTTCGTTTGATGGGATAATAATTGCCAAAGTACATATTTTAGCAGGGATTTGAGTGACTTCAGGATAGTTGAATATTATACAAATATTTAATTCTATTGAGGTGAATAACTGTGCATCTTTCACAAGTGAGATTCCGGTGAAAATATAGAATTCAATATTTGTTTTACTATTCACGCTATATTACTATTTCTCATTATTAAATTAACAAACTATAAATGTGTAATTAAAAATATTAGCGTACCCCCGGGGATATATTAAATTAAAATTACACTGGACTTTGTCGTGACTGGTGAATATCATTTGTTATTTCAATGAAAGTCACATACATGTACATGTATATTTGAAACACCCTTTCTACATAAGATTCTAAAATAACTTACCACTGGGCTTATATTTGACCACGTATTCCAAATCAGATATTCCAAAGAAGAAATCTTTTCCAACCATTGTAGAACCCGAGCTGAATTCACTGTTATCTAACTTAGTGAGTTGATTCGTTTTTTTATTGTTGAAATAAATTATGGAACCATTGACAGCAATTTTGTCTAGTGTATATGATGATGCAGAATTGCTCCAGACCTTAACAGGGGCTTGAGTTAGGTCATCCAGGTTCATTCGATTGATCTCAACTGCTTGAGAATCTGTCCAGTATAGTAGCTTAGGGTCAGCTGAAACAAACGAAATATTGTATATTACTTTATTAAACTAGATCTAGAGTGCATGTTAGATGCTTATTATTGTACATGCTCCTAGTGGCCCCCAGAGGCCATTAAAAGGCCATTGTTTCTTTAGTTATGATTTTATTTTACATGTGGTAGTCTTTTAGAGCTGAACACATACATGTACATGGAGAAGCCTGGATCATTTCATTGTGATCTGGCAATCTTAATCTCACCTAGAAAAGTTTGGATACTGAATAACATGAAATATTACCGTGGATCTAAAGTTGCCGATTGCCGAATGTAAAACAGAAACGGCAACATAAAATTCGGAAACATAATTAAGTAATTGAAGATCGATCTTAGTGGGCGATAATATGGTAGTTGTCTAACGTGTGTCAACTTACTGTAATAGGGTAATTTTCTAACGAGTATCAACTTACTATACTTTAAAAATCATAAATAAAATACGATAAAATTGAATCTTTATTCCCCAGCTTAAAATTACAATAAAAAGTTAATAATAAAAATGTTGCAGTTAAAATGCATGTAGTAAATTCTATAAGATATTACAAGAACACAAATGTGTACAAAATGTCCCCACCTATGGGTGATCCCTTCAAATGGTTATCCTAAAAATGAGTAGACAAGACTTTACCGACACAATTTAAGGACGGAAAATCCAAAATGGCCACCTTAAAATTTACCAAGAACGCAAAAAAAATTAGTCAGTTCTAGATTTTCATACTAAGAAACACCCCTGAAAATTTGAAATTGATCCGTCACACAGTTAACCAGAAAACATGTAAACAAGACTTTACAGACAAGATTTGATGACAGAAAATCCAAAATGGCTGCCTTGACATTTATCCAGAATGCCAAAAAACTAATCTGTTCTAGATTTTCATACTAAGAATCATCCCTGAAAATTTGATATTGATCTACCAAACGGTTCACCTGGAAATGCGTAGACAAGACTTTACAAACAAGATTTTAGGACAGAAAATCCAAAATGGCTGCCTTGACATTTACCCAGAATGCCCAAAAACTAATCAGATCTAGATTTTCATACTAAGAATCATCCCTGAAAATTTGAAATTGATCTACCAAACGGTTCACCTAAAAACGCGTAGACAAGACTTAACGGGCAAGATTTTAAGACGGAAAATCCAAAATGGCTGCCTTGACATGTATCCAGAATACCAAAAAACTAATCAGATCTAGATTTTCATACTGAGAATCATCCCTGAAAATTTCTAATTGATGTACCAAACGGTTCACCTGGAAATGCGTAGACAAGACTTTACAGACAAGATTTTAGGACGGAAAATCCAAAATGGCTGCCTCTTGACATTTACCCAGAATGCCCAAAAACCAAACAGATCTAGATTTTCATACTGAGAATCATCCCTGAAAATTTGAAATTGATCTACCAAACGGTTCATCTGAAAATGCGTAGACAAGACTTTACAGACAAGATTTTAGGACGGAAAATCCAAAATGGCTGCCTTGAAATTTACCCAGAATGCCCAAAAACTAATCAGATCTAGATTTTCATACTAAGAATCATCCCTGAAAATTTGAAATTGATCTACCAAACGGTTCACCTGAAAACGCGTAGACAAGACTTTACAGACAAAATTTTAGGACGGAAAAATCAAAAATGGCCGACAATAAAAAAGTGATTATGAGTTTTTGCTGATTTCTTTTTACAAAATTATCACATATTACTACTGTTAACAATAACATAGACTTTTACAACAAAGTACACCTGAAATTATTTATAAAGCTACTAAATAGTTAAAGTATGAAAACTGAAAAACACCATTCAATATGATACAAAGTACTATCGTGCGCTAACTTTTCTTAAAACATTCAAAATGGCTGACATGACTGAGCTAACAGGTCCAAAACCTAATCAGATCTAGAATGAAGTGAGCTGAACAAGATGTTAAAGTTTTAAAAGCAACAGTGAAGTCGTTTTTCTAAAAGTTTGCAGACAAGGATTTTAGCATTTGACTTCAAAATGGCCGACAGGAAGTATGTATCGAGATAATTTTTTTTCATCCACATCTGTATGCACTCATAAGTTATCCCTGAAAATTTAAAGGTGATATCTGTAGCGGTTTAGGAGAAAACTGCCGGACGTACGGACAGACAGACAGACAGACAGACAGACAGACAGACAGACAGACAGACAGACAGACAGACAGACAGACAGACATACGGACAGACAGACAGACGGACGCGCCTAGGCCGACAATATGGCCCCACACTATGTGGTGAGGACATAAAAAGGATTGTCATGTTAAAAAGTTAAAATGTCAGAAGATCTAATTGTATCCAAGTGCTTTGGAAATCCCAGTATTAAAAGTTTTTAATCCCCGTATTAAGTTTTTAATCCTGGTATTAATTGTCCTGAATCTGTCGAATGCGGGTAATCACTCAAATTGTCACTCCTAATGTCAGGTTTTCTGAGTCAGTCAAATGAAGGTGATTAAAATTCAGTTGTAAATCAAAATTATACTAGGGGTGTCAACTTAGCAATATTTATTTATTTGGCTTTACATTAAGGGATGTCGACAAACTTTTATTCGGAAAAAACAATTTAAATCCAATTCGGAAAATAAAGCACCCGGATTTAATACATGTTATACAGTAATGTCATTGAACTTTTTTTCTTTTATTAAACTACTTAAGTATTAATTGTCATTTAACTCACTTACCTGGATATCATTACATACCACAGAAATATAACTGATATGCGAATATCTAACTCAATCATATACTCTTGAATTTTTGTGTGCTTAACTTAGCTCAGTCATTTGACATGTAGGAATCTGAAAACTCACATGTAGATGATAATTTTCTTTTAATTTGGCTTCGGGCAAAATAAAAGGAAGGTTAGAAAAGAATATTTACAATTATAATCTATGGATATATCTGTAATATAGTTGATATTTCCCGCCTGTATTGTTCTACGATCAGTTCCATCTAGCATGACACGCTCTATAATTGAGTTCCCAAGGCCCAGCGTCACAAAATATAGGTAGCTGAAATAAATTGTTTCAAAATAAGTAGTGTAATGTTTGTTAATGTCAATACAAAAAGGCCTGTGTACTGCATGTGAGATGGTAATATATGGAATATAATGTCCTTCTGTCAAAGTCAATCAATATAAAGTATCTAAAAAAAAGATAATGGCTTTCTAAATAGTGTACGGTAAAATCTTTGCAAGTGGGCCATCCCTGGGACTATAAAACCACTTGGAGGAGTTCCATTTACAGAAGTTCACTTAATATCAGGCAACGAGTCCCAGGAATTTGAAAAAGTGTTTCACTTATGGAGGTGTTCTTGTTGAGATGTTAAAGCTCGACAGTTTTTTTTACTGCACATGTCTAAGAATGATGGAATAATCTCGTACATACCCTCCAGCAAAGTCAATTTCAAGTCCCCTGGCATTGGTAGCGTTCTTTACTATAATTTTGTCATTAGTGCTCTGCAGATTGTACACTTTGATATTTGTCAGCTGTGTAGATGCATCAAAGTAGCTGTAGTAGAGTAATCTGGCTCTATTGTCTAAGGCCATTTCGGTAATATTATCTCCTAAAACAACGAAATATTCAATCATATTATACGCAGGCCCATAGCCAGCTCTGCCTGGGAAAATCATTTGAAAAGTGCTAAAATATAATAATATTTAACAATAAATGGATTTTTTGCATACATGGAATCATCAATTCAGGAATCTGTACTTCTACCTTAATTTGGTGGCTGTTTTAATTTGGCAGATCCAACAAATTGTTGAGGGCCGCCACATAAAGTAGCCATCAAATTCAATATTTCATATTCCAATACTAAATATGTATCGTATATACATTTCAATATTTCAATACTACAAGTACAGCAAATTAAGTAGCCACTAAATATTCAAAACAGCAAATCTGCCAAAATAAAGAGTGCCAAATTGAGTAGAAGTGCAGTAGACTCATAAACATTATTTGATTCACTGAGATGTTTTTTTTATTTTTTCTATTTATAAATTTATTTCAATGGCTGTGCCATATTGGCATTACTTGCCATGTCTTTATATATATTAAAATGGCATATGACATAAATAATATATTTAACCCAAGCTTCTGAGATCTATTACAGTAGTGTTAGCTAGTAAAATCGAGTGAAATCTTCATGATAGTCTCACACTGTCATACTCATAAATTATACTTAAACATTAAGCATGAAATTTAAACAGCCAGGCCAGCCTCAATTTTGGAAAAAAAACATTAAGCATGAAATTTAAACAGCTCAGCCAGCTTCAATTTTGGAAAAAAATGTTTTGAATCATGATCAAATGTGTAGAGTTTTATATGTACAGAAGTATCTAGTACTGCACTATTATAGATGTTATGTTATATTCATTTTTATATTATAATTATTACAATTTGAATAACAAGGTATGCACAAGACGCTGGATGTATACTGTGCAGTTTACACCACATTACATATTATTTAGTAGTATATATAAGGCATAGATGATTACAAACCTTGTCCAATAGATTGAGGCATTGATCCGTTCCAAAAAGATGACTTTATCAAATTCCCTTCTAACCAATATAAGCGGTTGCGTAAGTTATCCCATAATACATCCTTAACGTCCATTCCATTTGGTGTTTTTGCTGCCGACAGTACACGATAAAACGATGCAGGGTCAGTATTTGATAGACTATACACTAAGTGTTTGCCGACATCTGCTATCAGTAAGAACTCATCATTTTTGAAATAGGCTGCAATTAAATAACATAAACATGAATATGTGTACTTAGTGAAGCGTGACAACCCAATTCATGTACAGATTATATTACATGCAATACTGAGGGATTGCTTAATCATTTTTTCAAGTGAGTGTTTATTCTAAAAAAAACTTACCAATGTTTGGCATACATTTCTGCTCAGTGACAAGCTTATGCCCGTGGGTACATTGACATGAGCGCCCTCTTCTGTTACCCAAACAAAGTTCATTACACCCGCCATTGTTGTCATCACAGAGGCTCCTAGCCATGTGGTGACGTGATTTATCCATTGTTACAATACCATATGCTCTCTCTGTATTATTATGCAAGATGAGCTTTTCTGTCTTATATGTCTCTTTGTTGACTATCTGAATTCCAGCTCTTTTTTTTGATCTGCTGTAATCCGTGAAAACGATGAAATCCTGAAGAAAAAACACATACAAAGGTTTGTAACCTACAGAGTATTAAATGTCTTGACACCTTTCTAAATATTATACATTGAATTGATCAGCAATATATGAACATATATCCAACAACATATATCTCAGAAGGAAGATAAGGAAGCCCAGCCCCAATAATTTTTATATGATTTTTAGCATGAGTGTCTTGTATGAGACTTTCAATGAGCTGGGAGCCCAAATTTAAAGTCTAGCATTGAAACCACGAGTGCATAAAAACCCCTACAAACCATTGAGTCAAGTGCTTAAATTCTTTTCACACATGGCAAAAGATTTTGTACAACATCACTAAAACAAGGAATCTTTTTGCAATTTTTTGACAGTTCAACCTTTTGGCCTGCATAACCACCTACATGGCTTATCATTTATTATAATACAGTTTAAAGTACTTCAAATCTGTCTATTAGTAAGCATACACAGAGAAATAAAATGACAACAAGAAGTTGAATCATTTGTATTTAAGCAAGCAACATCATAATAAGCAACCTAGTAAATGAGTGGTGTATGTATGTAACCAACTAATTCCCCATTAATGCTAAAAATCAAATAATATTTAAAAAAACTATATACAGTACATTCACAAAAGAAATTGTGTATTGAAATAAAAATTAATGTTCCAGTATATACCAAATAAATCTTAAGTGATGAGCAAGAGTTATTTTTCTAGGCCCATTGATTTGGTTGTGGCCAAATAAGTCCTGTTAATGTCACCACATCCTTTTAAATGCTATGTATTTATGTACTACTAAGCCCCTGGGTGTATCACAGTGTCTTACACCCCTTTAATTGTCACTTAGCTTGCTTCTACAAGGGGTAGAAGGGTCACATAGTCCCTTTAAGCATCACCTTATCCCTTTAATACAACATTGCCCCTTCTAGTATCACCTAGTCTCTTTAATATGACACAGCCCCTTTAAGTATCACCTGGTCCCTTTAATATTATGTTGCCCCTTTTAGTATCACCTAATCTCTTTAATATAACACAGCCCTTTTAAGTATCACCTAGTCCCTCTTTTAATATAACATAGTCCCTAAAATTTTCAACTCAAGTCCCTGTGCCTGTGACGTTCATAAATCAGTTAGTATTACCAGCCCCTCTAAATGTAACATAGCCCTCTTAGGTGTCACCTAGACCCTGTAAGTATCATCTAGCCCCTGTAAGTATCACATAGCCCCTGTAAGTATCACCTAGCCCCTGTAAGTGTCACCTTACCAATAGGGGTGACTATACCTGGAACAATGCTAGGTCAAACATAGGATTGGATTTTCTTGGTGAATAAGTTCGTTTTCCTGATCCTGATATTAGCCTAACACTATAGATACCTCCGCTCATAGAATTGGTAAAATATAGTCTGGAACACAACAGTTACGTTCATATTTGTCTAGAACACAATAGTTTTATTCCATATTTGTCTAGAACACAACAGTTATATTTCATATTTGTCTAAAACATAACAGTTATGTTCACAACACAACAGTTATATTTCATACTTGTCTAGAACACAACAGTTATATTTCATACTTGTCTAGAACACATCAATCATGTGTCATACTAAGTATGTTCACTACTTGTAGGTCTCAGTATTAATATAGCATGAGAAGCATAGATTAAGAATGTAGACGACATTTAGTTAAGCACATATATTAATATTTTAAAGATGCATTGAGACATAGAAGAGAACAATCAAGACCTCTTGGACTTTTTTGAATGTTAGCCTATAAGTCGTATTGCATATTCATCTATCTACTTACAAACGAAGTTCCAAGTCCGCGGCTGTCAGTGCTAATTTAACGATTGTACTGACCGACTGAATCACTTTTACCGAAAAATTGAATATGAAATTTGAATATCCATGGAAGATCCGGTCACATGATCTGGAAATTTGAAAAATCAAAAACCCATTCTGAATCTTATTGGCTGCCAGAGTTCAAGTGATGTGACAACGCTTTTGTCACTTGATGGGAATTCCCATAGATTCAATACTGACAGTTTGTTGTTCTGTTGATTTTCTAAATATATTGGCAATACTGTGCCTATAAGTTGGTCTCACGATTTATCTAAAGTATGTAAGATATTATGTTAGCAATAATAATGGAACATCACTGATTGTTCATGAGAGAAACCTAGGAGACAATGCATCTTTAAGAAGCACATATACAGTACAGTAAAGTGTTTAAGACAGAAGATAGAGTGAAACATGTTTTGTTTAATAAAAAGATAATATTTGTTATTTGGCTTCGAGAAGAATCTAGCTTAAGTCTGAAAGAGAATACAAAATATTAGGATTAGATTTGAGTGCTAAATACATGGTAGAAATTGATTAACACAAAGCAGTGCCACCTATCTACAGTTTATGGTGATTTCACAACACACAGAGACCTCTAGTGAGTGATATATGAATATACATCTATAGTAGATACCTGGAACAAAGTTATGTCATTGAGACCATCTTCTATTTGAGTGCTATCATGCTGATGCCAGTACTCTCCAGTGTCTAGATCTAATGCGCCTACCATCATCCAGACGTTGTCTGACCAGTATAACCTACAGGGCAGTATATTAGGAAATCACAGGATTAGGGTAATATCACAAGGGAGTATGCAGGATAATATCACAAGGGAGTATGCAGGGTAATAATATGAGGGAGTATGAAGGGTAATATCACAAGGGAGTATGCAGGATAATATCATAAGGGAGTATGCAGGATAATATCATAAGGGAGTATGCAGGGTAATATCACAAGGGAATATGTATGATAATATCACAAGGGAGTATGCAGGATAATATCACAAGGGAGTATGCAGGGTAATATCATAAGGGAGTATGCAGGGTAATATCACAAGGGAGTATGTATGATAATATCACAAGGGAGTATGCAGGATAATATCACAAGAGAGTATGCAGGGTAATATCACAAGGGAGTATGCAGGATAATATCACAAGGGAGTATGCAGAATAATATCACAAGGGAGTATGCAGGGTTATATCACAAGGGGGTATGAAGCGTAATATCACAAGGGAGTATGCAGGATAATATCAAAAGGGAGTATACAGGGTAATATAACAAGGGAGTATGCAGGGTAATATCACATGGGAGTACCCAGGGTAATATCCATTCAGAGTATATGGTGTAATATCAATTAGAGTATTCAGGGTAAAATCACAATCGAGAATACAGGGAAATATCATCAGGGAGTACACAAGGTAATATCATGGGGCAATCATGACAGAATGTCCTGAGAAAAATCAAAGGAAACAAGGTATTGACACGCAAAATATCACCACTTGCCATTTGTTACACTACATCTGGTGGTGACACAAAAATAAACTGTTGAAATTCAGAAAATGGACATGAGGTGAATTATAATAAGAAAAAAACGTTTTTAATTGTGACAATTTTTCTTAATTTACTCTCAGCCTGTTTCCTTTCTAATCACTATGATTGCAAATGTACAATGAAAAATATGAACATGACCTTAGCACAAATTCTAATTTGTGTGGATCAAATAACTAAATTAGATATTTAAGGACAATAATTAAAATATTCAGCATGTTGCTGCCCCAAATTAAAAACTATACACTTACATGGAATAATAAACACATGTTATAGGTTTCAGATATTGATTCTATAATTACCTTCGTTCAACATAGTCTATGACCAGGCCAGTAGGTGAGCTTATGTCACTGACCACCTTGCGTCCCACAGACTTCCCATCAGTGTCTGCAGCCCAGATTGCATCTCCAGCGCACCAATACACAGTTCTGAAATATTTGTAAAAGTGACGATTAACTGGGACTATTACATGTACATACCTTGGTATATGATCAACTGTGATTGCACTTGGACTATTACATGTATATACCTTGGTATATGATCAACTATGATTGCACTGGGACTATTACATGTACATACCTTGGTATATGATCAACTGTGATTGCACTTGGACTATTACATGTATATACCTTGGTATATAATCAACTGTGATTGCACTAGGACTATTACATGTACATACCTCGGTATATGATCAACTGTAATTGCACTAGGACTATTACATGTATATACCTTGGTATATGATCAACTGTGATTGCACTAGGACTATTACATGTATATACCTTGGTATATGATCAACTGTGGTTGCACTAGGACTATTACATGTATATACCTTGGTATATGATCAACTGTGATTGCACTAGGACTATTACATGTACATACCTTGGTGTATGATCAACTGTGATTGCACTTGGACTATTACATGTATATACCTTGGTATATGATCAACTGTGATTGCACTTGGACTATTACATGTATATACCTTGGTATATGATCAACTGTAATTGCACTAGGACTATTACATGTATATACCTTGGTATATGATCAACTGTGATTGCACTAGGACTATTACATGTATATACCTTGGTATATGATCAACTGTGATTGCACTGGGGCTATTACATGTTCATACCTTGGTATATGATCAACTGTAATTGCACTAGGACTATTACATGTATATACCTTGGTATATGATCAACTGTGATTGCACTTGGACTATTACATGTACATACCTTGGTATATGATCAACTGTAATTGCACTAGGACTATTACATGTATATACCTTGGTATATGATCAACTGTAATTGCACTAGGACTATTACATGTATATACCTTGGTATATGATCAACTGTGATTGCACTGGGACTATTATATGTACAAACCTTGGTATATGATCAACTGTGATTGCACTGGGATTATTACATGTACATACCTTGGTATATGATCAACTGTGATTGCACTTGGACTATTACATGTACATACCTTGGTATATGATCAACTGTGATTGCACTAGGATTCTTCGTATTCTTTTGTAGTATATATGGATAAGAGCCATCAGTTCTGGATATCAGCAATTGATTTCTCAAACTGTCAGTCCAGTACAGGTTGTTACTTATATAATCCACATAGATCCCTAAAATATTATATTATATATTATTTAGCATAATAAGAACACAAGTTAAAACGCTATTAATTTTTTTGCACTAATACGAGGGGTGATCCAAAAGTTCAAAGAATCCAAATCTGCATTTCATAATCTCTAATTGGTTGTCATGTAATATAAGCCATATGAGTCTCATCATAAATTATTTCACTTAGATTTCATTGATTCTTCAAAAACAGAATGTAGAATGTTAATCAGGGGTATGTTTTTGGAACAGTTGAAACTTCCGATTTGCTAATGCCAGCGGGACTTTGAAAGGCTTTTGCATTGTCAAAAAAATTCATTATAACATCAAATTGGTGAAATGAAGAATACACTCCCAGATCCCATCCCTAATTCATTTATGGAGAACACTGAAATGACATTATGTAATATGCGACTACATATTTGTATTCATTTATTTTCAGTTTTAAAGAGATCTCATTAATTTTCTGTTGATTACACATTGATATTTGAATAAACACCCAAGAGGACAATGAAAAACAGGTGCATTTGTCAAACGTTTTATGTTTTTCCTTTTAATGAATCAGTAACTTATGAAACAATTAATTATATTAAAATATTACAATGTAGTAAAAATTTAACAATAAAAATAAGATGTAAACACCTGAGATGACTCCTCTGTAATTGAATATTGTCCTAAGAGACTTATCAGAATCATATGCTTGGAATGTGCTAATTTTGGTATCAAATTCCCTTTGTTCCGAGACAAAGATCCTCTCGGAGTAGAAGTCTGTGTCAATCCATCTGTACTCCATTTTGTTTTCAGCTTCTAAATTGAAGAAATACCAGATATGTTATTTTCAAATATCTACAGTTTAATTTATTTTGTAGTTCATTTATGATGAAAATGGTTAAGTGTCTCTTTAAAGCTTGTTTGAAATATTTTTTCTCAACCTGCAGCTATAAAATTGATTCCTCTACTTTACAGGCAGCTGTAAATGACTATTTCATATAACCCTTCGGTTAATCTTTGTTATTAAAAGAATTACAATCTAATAATTATTCAAAGAATTGAAAATGTCATTGTTGTTCATCAGGGAGAAAAATATCAAAAATTTACAATATAATTTCCAATATAGTGATTACTACTGCTCTTATATTCAATATATAAGCCAAAAATATTACTTTTCTGCAAAAAGCAGTAATTATCTGGGTTTGGTGGTCCTATATTTTGTCCTGCGATAGAGATTGGTATGCGGCATATACGGTTGCCAAGACTGTAGATGTAGGCACCTGTTTTGTCATAGTTAGCATCCTCTGTAAGCAAACAAAATACACAACTAGCATTACATGGTTGTCACGGTAATTATCATGAAAACATATGGAAATGTATTCTTAATTTTTATATAAATGGACTTCCAAATTGTGGCCCTATTGAAATTTCTCCCTGAGTAAAGGTCCTATGTTTTCAGGTATTAGCGTATAAAATTTGAACCAAACCCAAAATAAGGAATTTGCATAATCAAAAATTCTATTTTCACCGAAAATGGTGGCCATTTTGAATTGAGCAGCTATATTGGAGAAATTCTACTTGAGCAAAAGGTCCTATATTAGCCTATGCAATTTGAGCAAGTCTAATAACCAATATTCGAGTTATCAAAACTGGCATTCTTCATGAAAAATGGTGTCAATTTGGAATTGATTGGCCATAATCATTACTTAAAATCTGGGTATGGACCATAGGTCTATAATTCTTTTTTGAACACAGTATGAAAAGAAACAAGCTGACGACAATATCAAAAATTTTTTAGATATCATAAAAACATGTGCTTACTTGTACATGTCTGTTGATTTCGATCCAGATTGTAACCATCTCTGCAAAGACATTTAGCTTGCTTGTTTGTAGTTCTTGTACACAAGTGCTGACAGTTCGCACTCGCACACACATCTGAAAAGAAAAAAACATTTGGGAACTTTGTTCAATGGGATAATAAAAAATGAATAGAGTATGTTTAACATATAACATACACTGATTCATAAGATGAAAAATGCACACTGATTATTATGATACAAAAGGAAGATTCTCGGTTTGGAGAACAGTCTCCTGGGCTAATAATTTTTTTCATGAAAAATATAGAAATATTACCCAAATTAGATTATGAATATTCAAAAGAGGACATTTAAATCTACAAGATGTAAAAATAACAAATTGGTCTGAAGCAGGGATAATGCTCAATTAGACTGATTCAATAAAATACAAGTCTCGATTTGGGGAAAGAAGTTCATCAGTGTACTGCGCTGATATTTTTTGCAAAAAATCTAGAAATATTACCCAAATTAAATTATGACTACTCAAAAGAGGACATTCAAATCTATGTTATGAAAAAAATCAAATTTGTCCGAAGCAGGGATAATGCTCATTTAGATTGATGAACTTCGTTCTCCAAACCGAGAATCGTCCTTTATTCTTATGATGCACAATGATTTTATGACACACACACTAATTCATATGGCGCATAGCGATTTTCAAGACACATTGATTCATACAATACACACTGATTATTACGATACATACTGATTCTTATGATGAATGACACACACTGATTCTTATGACACATACTGATTCATATGACACAAACTGATTCATATGACACACACTGATTCATATGACACACACTGATTCATATGACACACACTGATTCATATGAAACACACTAATTCATATGATGCACACTGATTTTAATAATTAATGAAGGACACTTATTCATATGACACAAACTGATTCTTATGGCACATACTAGTAGTCTGATTCATATGACACAAACTGATTCGTATGACACACCCTGATTCATATGATAAATGATATACACTTATTCTTATGACATACACTAATTCATATGATACACACTAATTCATATGATGCACACTGATTTTTATGATGAATGACAGACACTTATTCATATGACACACACTAATTCATATGATGCACACTGATTTTTATAATGAATGACAGACACTAATTCTTATGACACACATTGATTCATATGATGCACGCTGATTCTTATGAAGCACACTAATTCATATGATGCACACTGATTCAAATCGGACAATTTACTTACTTATCTCTGTTGAAGCTAATGTTTCATCCTGATACATTGAAATTGCGTATGGCTCATTCCTGAGTGTTAGTTTATGACGTGTGTCACTTGTAGTATTCATGAACCATAGGGTAGGGTAGTAATCTGGTACATACCCATCACACGCAAATATTGTTTCCTTAAGCAAAGAAATAGGACATTAAAATTAACATTTAAGGTAAATATTTGATGGCTGATTGACAAAGCATATATTGTGTGTAAAAGTATAATAATGGTGAATCTATTACAATTGAATGGAGTTTTAGTATTAGGCATAGTTCTGGGCCGATATAAGGATGGCAGCACCAACAACACAGATCGATTACCATGCCATCTTTATTTAAAAATTATTTCTATCACCCTTTGCCTATGGTATTAGGGATAAAGGATTCATAAATATTTTACATCTGTTATACATCATACCCCTTCTTCAGAGTATAAGCCTTTTTACCTTTTATCAATATACTCCCACCTTATCATAAAATAAACTTATTATATGCTGATGTAGATATGATCAACAAGGTAAAAGCTCATACAGCAGCATTAAAGCAAATATTTGCCGATCGAGGACTTTGATTTTCTGACCTTGGACAAAAAGAGGGGTGTACTGTAATGTATGTTTATTGGAGTATGTGTGTTTATTAGAGGGAATATGGTAATTAAAATAATATTGAATGAGGCACTTGATATGAATGACATTGAATTTCATCAAAAATACCGGGTGAGCTGTATTCCTGGATATAAAAATGACAAGATTCCCGGGAATGACTTTGAAAAGAAGTTTGAAATTGGCCAAATAAAGATGCAACAATTTGTTTAGTTATAGAATGGCAATGTAGTCACCCGAGAACGTGATTAAATTATTTAGCTTTCGGTGGTCAGACTAAAATCATCAAACAGCTTTAAGTATGAAATAACATCTAATTTGCAAAATATATAAGTTTGGATAAATTATACAATTCATAGCCATAAGATGTATGAAGCAGAATAAATGTTTAAACAGAGCAAAAATGACATGTTATTTTACACAAGATGCTATTTAGACAAGCTAGTAAGTAATGCCATATTACCTTATACACTGTTAGTGTCATGAAGTTAAACATAAACTCCATCCCTTGAAAATGGACCTGTCTGTCAGTTCCATTAAATAGCATAGACTCAATCTTGAATTTGTCTGTCCAGTAAAGCCTACAAGAAAGCCATGCTTAATGCATCAAATTACACACAAAGCCAAGCGACATGCAACATATATATTTTACCTTGTAAACTGTTAGGTCAACAAAGTTGAAAATAGACGCTGTCCCTTTAAAATGTTGCTTTCTGTGAGTCTTGTCGAAGAACATGGACTCAATCTTATATTTGTCTGTCCAGTACAGTCTACAAGAAGGCCATGCTACATGCATTGAATGATTCATATGCCAACAAATCGAAAGTGAGAATATCGAAGGACAATATGCAGCATATTACCATAAGATTTATGGTGTATCAATTTAACTTAGTATTGCACTTGCACAGCCACATATTGCATGGACACAGCCTATAATTGCACTTACACAGCCAAGTACAGGTGTATGTTAATAAACAACCTTGCAATAATATAATATGAAACATAAAAAATGGCAGCAATAAATTGGTTCTTTTTGGACATCTTATGTATATAGGTGGAAAATGTTCAGCTAATTATGCCATTAAGGTTCTGCTAATGCTATTTTCTGGTTCCGCAAGTGCTATTTTGTAGCGGGATAAATCCTGACCCATCTAGATATATTTCTATATTTTGAAAAAATCAAGTAGATGGCAGTTTCATTTTAGGATATGATGGTCCAAACTTTACTTCAAAATAAAAACTTGAGATGGATTTGTCTTTTTATAGCATGGTTCCAATCTGTGTACACAGCCTTATAATTGCAGTGCAATAAATTGTATGATTCTTACATTTGTCAATTTCCGTGGCAGTTACAGTATACATGTACACATATCTGTATACCTGACATACAACTTAGTAACAGCTAGCATACTAAGTATGAGCATGGGCTTTTCTGTTGAAAGCCCATGGTATGAGTTACTAAGTAACTGATTTCATAGGAATTAAACTCTTCTTAACTAATTTTAATTTCCCAAATGAATATAATTAAAAGAATAATATTTATTTACACAATATATACATAAATTGCTGTAGATATACAAGTAATCATACACTTTTACACTTTTCTAAAAAAAAGAACAGCCATTTTGACAGGATAATGCAAATTCAACATTTTAGGTTTGCATAACAGATTGCAAAAAGCTTCAATGTACTGACTTCACTTGCGAATTTAGGGGAAAGGGTCAAATATTTCAGAACTTATTCAATCATATTTCAGTTTAAAGGCGTACATAATTTAGCCATTGGAAACCTTAAAATTGCATGAAAGGAATTACAAATCTAAATAATCTATGTCACACTGTACCTTCCCGAATCTATAGCGAGACCATTAGGTCGATAGAGATCGGGTACAAACACCTGTCTTTCAGTGCCATCTAGGTTGGACCTCTCAATCTGATCCTTTTTACCCTGTTCTGCCCAGAACAGATATCTAAAATAAAGAACAGGTATCTTGAATATGGAACAGGTATCTAGAATACAAAACAGGTATCTAAATTTCAGAACAGGTATCTAGAATACAATACAGGTATCTTTAATTCAGGTATATAGAATACAGGGGTTGTTTCCAGAAATGTTGTAGACTTACCATATCGTAGATTCAATTTAGTGTTTTCATGATTTGGGATAATAGCTATCGTGTGAAACCCACGACACCCTCCTTGTTGTCGTCGAGGAATATTTTGGTTATTTGAGAGTGTTTTAACTATCTCATAGATTATGTCAGAATTTGCGTATCCAATGCGAGCACTTGACAGATCGCAGAAGAAATTGCAGGACTTCGTGTCCTTCTAAAAATAAGAAAATGGGCATTTTCATGATGAATTTCTGTAAAAGCTCAAATTTTCAAGGTGCCCTAATTTCCACTATATTTGCCTCTGGGTGTTTAGCAAGATCCAAAGAATTCATAGATACATCTATCTCTGAAGACTACCTCTAGTGGTTTGCAAATGAACATAAACTTAACATATGAGAACGTTTATTTCTATTTTTACTTATTTTTTGACACATATGTTTCGACATATGTTATAAAGATTATGTATTATGATCATATTATGTACCAAAGGTGTCTTCTTTCTTGTGTTATTTGACGTTGAAATTGTTTATAACATTGACCATTCACAATGGACATCCTATGGGCATATGATTTCTTTTTAAAACAAAACAATAGCTTTCAATATGGATAATGATATTGAGTCACTAATACCAGACTACAGGACTAGTACACCATATACAAGTAAAGATTTAAATAATAATGTCACCTGACGTTCGGATCACTTGTCATGGAACTTGTAATAAGTTGCGAATTTCTATGACAGGGTTACGATTTTTATGGAAACGGACATGTCATAAGTCTACGGCAGTCGTAAGTTTGTCTTAACTTTCACCATTCCTACGACTATCGTTGAGTTACGATATCATAAGTCTACGACATTTCTGGAAACGGCCCCCAGATTAGGATATAGAATACAGAACAGGTTTCTTGAAAAATGAACAGGTATTGAATACAATAAAGGTACATAAAATACAGAACAGGTGTATAGAATACAGAACACCTTAATTAGCCATATTAGTACTAACAATTCTTCTCTATGTTTCTCTTTTCTGGAAAATGTGAAATCTAAAAATCTAACAGTTGGTAACATTTTGGAAAATCTTTTTTTTATATTGTAATAATAATTATCATTATGTGCATGTATCATGATCACAAGTGTTATGTATCAATAACAAGTTACACAATAGTAAAGGAGTCAGATTATATCATTGAGAAAACCTACCCCAATTTAGGATTGACAACGATACCCCTAGGTTTCTCAAGCCCAGTCTCTACAATGACTCTTGAGTTATTTGTTCTTTCTTCATTCTTAGCGATCATGATCTTGTTATATGTGGAATCCGTCCAGTAAATGTTGCCATGTAACCAGTCTACGGCAATACCCTGCACTTCGCTAGATGTACCTGTGGGTATACAATTTCAATGATATCAATACTGTAAACCTGGGTGCCCTCTATAGGAGAAATAAATAACTATTGAAAATTATGATGTGATATATTGCATTCCAGTTAATTAGATAGTATATCAGTACAGGCATTCTATATTTTACAACAGATAAAAAAATTTTGGCCTTGACCTAGATTTAGTGAAATTGATTACCCTAATCAATTTCATAATTTCAATTAGGACATTTTGTTCACATCCCCTGCTGGTTTTTAACCAAAAAGTATTGCAACTAGAAAGATGTCAAAATGTACAAATGAATCTTTTCAATGAAAAGCATACAAGTATAATCTTATTATCATCACCTTGCTGGGCCTGTTCTAAGGGTATTAGTACTAGTTTAGAAGGCTCATATTTTACTATATTGACCTGAGCAATAGTACAATAACGTCATTTTAAAGGGCAATATAGTGAAATATTGGACCAAGGGCCGCAGGCCCAAGGTCCAATATTTCACTATTTTGCCCGCAGAAATGACGTTATTACTATTATTACCACCGTTAATGACCAGGGCTGAAATAGCAAATTTGAAATAGAAAATCTTACGCACTGAACGATATCACTTTTCCCGGGAAACATAGCCGGGCGGATAATGTCATTATTGCCCGACTAAAGTCATTAACGCCCGACACAATATTGCTCACGTCAATATAGCAATTTAAATGCCTTCTCAACTAGTACTAAAACCCCTAGAACAGGCCCTGCAAGGTAGTAATAATATATAATAACCTCAGTTCAGCAGACAACATAGTGAAATATTGGACCTTGGGCCTTCGTCTGTTTTGCCCTTTTATGTTTAATGAACACATCAAATTATTCAAAACAGAACTATAATTGCACATTCCATCAGCTAAGCATACCTTCATAAATAATTTTGTGGCCCAATCCATTTAGTTTTACTGACATGATCATTTTGTCCGCCTCATCGCTCATAATTACAGCCTTGTTATTAAAATCTGAATCCATAGCTCGCCAATGCCAGTTGTCCCGCGGTACCTGCCACACTACGAGAGTGCTATTTTCAAGGTAGTCTCCAGGATAGCCATGGATCATACGTATTATCCCAGAGCCGTCTTTGTCTTGCTCAATCCAAACTGTCCCAGTGGCATGGAGTTGCACACCTGTAATTAAGGCCATACCAATATCAAAACTTGTAATTAAGACCATACCAATATCGAAACTTGTAATCAAGGCCATACCAATATCGAAACTTGTAATTAAGGCCATACCAATATCAAAACTTGTAATTAAGGCCATACCAATATCAAAACTTGTAATTAAGGCCATACCAATATCAAAACTTGTAATTAAGGCCATACCAATATCAAAACTTGTAATTAAGGCCATACCAATATCAAAAGAGCCCACAAAAGAGTAAGTACAAAAGTTATTTATATAAGAATTAGATAATGTAACAGATTTCTTTAAAGTATAATAAACTTCACTGCGTCAAATGTGAAATTCCAAGCAATTTCTAGACGTGCAAAGATAGTCTAGGAACTCCGCGTATCTAGAGATTCCAAGACGTGTCAAGAGGTGCAAAGACCTCGCGTGTAAAGAGCGTGTCAAGAGTTTTGATATCTCTTTGCACAGCCTTATCAAAACAAACAGTATAATTAGACCGGCCACATGTTGTTATGCCCTATAGTCGCGCTTAATTATACTTTACTAGGATTGGAATATAACAATCATTTTAATTTCGTGTTAATAATAATTTGTGTTTTTTAAATCATTATCAAAATAAAATTAATTTAAAAGTATGCGTGTGCGTGTAAGTATAGGCAATAGCTTAGTCGAAATGAGTAGATGTGTGCAGATATAGATCGCCTATGCATTTTGCTAAATCTGACATTTTTACAGGATCATGTTAAAGATCAAATGAAAACAAGAAATGTGTTTTTCTTAGGTTTATCTACCCTGATTTCGAGTGATTTTAACTTGGACGCATATTCCTAGATATTAAAACAGTTTGAATAATTAACAAAGTCCACTTTGAACCGTGTCAATCAAATTGTCAAATATGTAGATAGCACATGCAGGCCCGAATACAGGGGGGATAGATTGGTTCTAGCGACCCCCCCCCCTCCGTGACCAAAATTGCATTTTTTACCCCATACTGAGCACCTTTTAAATTATTTTGCTCATTTTTGAACTAACATTGCCAAAAGTAAACTCCCCCTGGAATTTCTTAAAAAAGTAACCCACCCCTTGGCAAATCCTGGCTATGGGTCTGAAACGCCTGAAACATGCTCTGATATAATGAAGCATATTCTGTGATCTGAGCATATCAGATGGGAAGAGTTATGAATGTCAATAAGTGTGATTGTTATCATGTAATCATCTACCTTAATGTCAATACATTACATAATGTAGTAAGGCATTGTACATGTATTTAACAACAGGCACATCCTTCTTCAAAGGACTTCATTTATACTTGTAAAATACCCTTCCAGCGAGCATGCAACAGGCACAGTTACACAAGTTTTATTACCCCAATTAGATTAAATATGAGCTGGGATGAAAGATCTCAAAAATCAAGGGCTGGGAAGATTTGAGATGTCATGGTTTACTATCATGACGCTGAAACATGTGTCGCTTATTGTCACCTGTATTGATCATGATGGGGCGACGGCAGTGCCCCGAGTCTTTTTGATCTGTTTAATCTTATCAGTTACTATTTAAAATTGAATAATTTAGGACCCCGGAAGCAAAACAACTCTTTGTTATGAAAGGAATACACCACCCGGACAGAACCCCTCATGTAAACCATCTATAAATACCTTTGAAATCAATTTGATTTTCGATCTACATCTGAATCTCAGATGGAGAGTACTCTTTGACAAGATCAACATTTAAAAGTGTAGGAAAGTTTTGATAAAGATGTTTAATAGCTAATTATTCAGACATATTGTTCTTTCATGTTGACGATCATCGAAACATAATTGCAATCAACTTCCATGATATTTGCAATTTTGAATTTTGACTTATTTTGAATGCAAATGTACTCAAGTACTATATCCTGAGTTCTGCCCGGATCCCCGAAAACGTTTAAAATCAAACTCGATTATTTAGCTAGACTTCAAAATAAGGGATTCAATAGAAACATGAAATCCATATCACTGTATAAATTGTGGAATTTCTAGTAATTTTTAGACGTGCTTAGCCGGTCTAGAAACTCTGCGTATCTAGAGATAGAGGAGGGGAGAGAGGGCTAATTTTATAGCTGAAATTAAAAATAGCTTATGATCTATAAATATAATATATGGTTGTTCTTATAATGAACAACTATTGGTTTAATATCTGATATGTGGACGGATATTTCTTGATTTGGTTTAAAAAGAAACTGAATGTAGGGTTGCAAAAATGAGGGAGACAAAGACGTTCGAAGGGTGGGGGTAAAATTTAATTAAAATCAAGCTGAGACAGAATGAGAATAAACATATCTGTTAGTTGCTCATGTAAACGAAAACAAATTAGAGGGTTCATTAGTACCGCAGACCAGATTTGCAAAATTGGGGGAGTGCATTTTCCCAGGATTTCAAACAATACTATATCTAAAATGTTGCCCCTCATATGCCTGGGTCATATTTGCTCCGATTCATCGGCCGGGGGCTGGCCGATTGAGTGTTTTTTCAAACATGAAAACAATTTTAAACAAAATACTCAATCGGCCGGAGGCCGGACGATGAATTTGAGCAAATGTGAACCAGACATTGCAAATTCCTTCAAAATTGAACTAGAAGTTTCAAATGAAAGCCATTCAAAGCTCCTTTCTTCTTCCTTCTCTATTGGTTAAGCAGGGGGGGGGGGTGCGATCATTCACGAATCGCACCCCCCCCCCCTGGTTACGCCTATGTGTTAAAACTTTACACAATATCAATATTTAAAACTGTATCTTGTAAGTGGCTTATTAAGCATCAGATCAATCACTAAGAACCCCTCTTATCTGCCGTTTGCGTTTGGAAGGATAAAGACAAAGGGGACGCGGCTACATGTATATCGCGATAACGTGAAATCTTTATGACATATCCCTTCACCAGGGCCTACACCAATATTCTTAACACCACTTAAAGGATGCATGCATCAAGGGGTAGACATCATTCAAAAGACATAAACATGACCGGGTCGGTCAGGGGAAGGTTACCCTGCGTGCAGAGTCTAGTTAAACTGAAGACGAAACTCTCTTTTAACCCTTTCCCGACGTGAATATAAGAGGAAAATGTTGTCCCCAGTGACGGATAAGTAAGAGTGTTTTTTAGGGGAAAACTGCAAAATACCTATGCCCTGGGACCTATACCTTGGATTTCATCACAGATATACAATTTTTAGTAAGGATAACCACATAAGAACAACTTGTCAAAATTTGGTGTAAAAATACTGAATAGAACTGGAGATATTGTCATTTCATTGATGTATATAAATAAAAATAATGGTGCCAAAAGGAGCCTATCGTCCTGAAAGGTATTACATAATAGGGCTCCATATGGAGCCTATCGTCGTGAAAGGGTTAAGAAGTGAAGTCAAACGAATGCAAAGGGTAGGGGAAGGTTTGCATACGATGCAATTTGTACATGCAAGCTCATTTTTCACATATAGATTAATAAAGTCGATTCCTTGGGAATACGTTATTGGGTTTATAAGCGTAACGAGGAGAAGCGGTGGGTTCGCACCCTCTCCTACAAGCAATAAAAGGTACCATAAGGTAGAGGAAGAAAAGAGCATTAAATTGATTTTTTGTTTGAAGCTTCTAGCTCAGGTTTGAAGGAAGTTGCATCATTTTCGTAAAAATTCAAAACAAATATTTTTTGCCTCATTTATGTCACGATTGCACCCCCCGACTGAAAACCTAAAATATTTTGGTGATTGCATCACCCCTCCACCCGACTGAAAGCTGGCTGCGGCCCTGGGGTTTTATCGAAAACTATATCGTCAACATTTTATCATTATGCGGAAAGTCCAATATGAAATCTTAAATGGTAAATATGTTGCATTCATGGAGGGAATTCCACTGTAAACTATAATGTGAATGTTTGATATGAATACTTCCATACAACCATCAATATCCATTCTTTTGAAATAAGATGTTACAACAAAGGGAATATTGAAAACTACAGTGGTAAGAGCATCTTTCTGACTGCTAATTATGTGTATCAACATTTTGATTGCACCTCAGCTGGAGATTAAATCTTATAATAATTTGATCAAAGGGATTGTAATTTTCCCCAATTCGCTTACGTATGTTACAATCTGTATACTTGTTATATTGTGAGCGGTATGTGTTGATAAACCAAAAAGATATGTTTTTTGGATATCAACATTTAGAAAAAAGTGTAAGATACCATTCTATATGTTTATCTTAGTGTTTAGCATAGGTAAGAATGGGGGATGGGCTGGCGGGGGTCCGTCTTTGAATAATTCCAAGGGTTCATATATTATCACAATTTTGCTACAAAATCACTTGGAAAGTGCATGATTTGAACGATTATTTGGCCAAGGCGTCCGCTATTAACATGAGTATTTTATAAAAAAAATTACTTGAATCAAAATCGAAGAATTCCTTGCCCCGTGTGTTCACCATTCACCCCGGGGGTTCACACTCGGCTCAGGTGGGGTACCTTTTTTACATTTGGTATGTCAAGCCAATGGACCCACATTTTAAGACAGATTTTTCCATTTTCTGGTATAAGAATCGGTGTGGAAAATATGTTACCCCTCAATTGTGGTACGGCATTGGTCCCGGGGCATTGGTCTAGTTGTTACACATATCCTTCATTTGAGGTTGTTTATGACCATTTTACTCAAAGATCTGCCTTCTTCTCGGGGCATTCGATATTTCGAATGGCCTTGGTCTTATATTCTGGATATTTGGTACCCGGGGGTATGGCATTGGTTCTATATTTGGATGTTTGACATGGCATTGGTCTTGTGTTTGGACATTTGATATGGCTTTTTGGGGTTTATTTTAGTTTGTATGAGAACACATTTAATGCCACCCCCCCCCCCAAATTACAAATCTACATCTATTCTCTCTATCCCAAAGGTGGATCGGAAGCATGAAAAACAGATGCAGACTCGGGACAGTTGCAAGGGGGGCTATAATGGAGAAATTCGTTTTGATTTTGAGTCTAACTGAAATATTTTGTCACAAATATTAATTAAATACGCAAATAGCCTGTTTTATTAAATGAGACTAGGGCAAAAAATCTATTCATTAAATCTAAAGCCTAGACGATATCTTCTGTAATCAAGGTGGTTTTGGTACACTTCCGCAATTATAAAAACAAAAACATAGACTAAGTTATTAATCTTTTGTTATCATATCAGATTAAGTCAGTTTTGTCTCCGATTGTTATGCAGGTGTGTGTATCGACTCCAGTGAACAACATTAAGTGAATCAATCCTTGAAATTCCCAAATTCATTCCAAATTCTGGCCGTTAACCCCCCCCCCCTCCCCCATGTCTCTTAATTACATTTATTTTGCAAATGATATATAAATTATAGATTAAAATATTTCATTTTCGAATTGCACAAAGGGCAACATGTGAAGATAAAACCGCGATCCTAAAGCTACTTGCGAAACAAAGTGGTTTATGGTCCCCAATATCATTATTATATTAATACCAATACAATGTACCTCTATGAATATCATAAATTCACTCCTTTTTAATATCAATAGTCAAACAAATTAAGTAGTATGCTACAGTTGGTTATCAATCGGAGTTCACGACCTATTGATTACTCTTTAATACAAAATTTAACCATTTTAGAATGGGTAACTCACATCCCCCCCCCCCCGTCCATGTCCATGAAGTGCGTAGACTGACATAATAGTGTCATTTATTAATTAAACATCACTGATTTATGTTGAGACATTCAGTGCGATTATTTCATTTCTTTGTTCAAAAAGTTAAAGCACCAATTAAATACATATTTTTATCACACAAAAGGGGCAGAATACTTGACCTTGTATCAATTTATATCCCGATAATTCTTTACAAGGGAATGTTTCTTATTAAAACATAAGCAGCGCCTAGGCGTCGATTGGGGGGGGGGGTCAATCCGGTGTTCTCAGGCTATGTACAGCCAAGTATCCTGTTTATGTAAAAACCCTACGTTCCCGAATCACAATCAGACAATTAATTAGTATATTTGCTGTGTCTAGCAATTGATCATAGAATTAGATGTTGCGAAAACTATGGGAACTTGTACCTGTCTGTTTATGGATAGGCTGGGAAAGAACAGCAGAGAGAATGGTACATTCGATTGAATATGCTTGTTTTGCCCAATTGTGTATTAAAATGCCCCTCATTTATCATATATTACAAGTTAAGTCGGCGATAATTTGTATTGACTTAACTTGAAACAAATTACTCCGAAATCCAAATACTCATCGAAAAGTAAGGTTATCTTTATATTAAGCTAATACAAAATAAATATATAAATAGGCCTGATGTATCAGTGTTTTCAAAGTTTATTGCACGTTTTATCCTTGAAACGCCTTTCTTTTTCTTATCATGATATGTATTTCCTTCAGTTAGGATCAATGCGTCGATTAGCATTGCCTGTAACTGATTTATATTTTCAAAAGGCGCCATGAAATTGCCAAAATGTTTAAATAAGTCAATGTGTCAGCGTACATACAAAATAGTCTGTTTAATATTTGCTACATGTACTTGTTCCAAACAGTCTGCGAAAGAATGATTAAAAATATATCAATTAAAAGTATCAGAGAAAATACTTGCAATCGTTAAAATACTGTATGTATTGCTATTGGTAATTAGGTTAGTTGTTTACACATAATTATGTTGTTCAGTGTGCCAAGAGCGTGTCAAGAGATTCCATTAATTGTCACAGGGCGTGTAAAGACTTTTTGACATGGTCTTTACACGTCTTTGCACTGCGTGTGCCAAGAAGTGCAAAGAGGTGTAAAGAGTTGAATTCATCGCGTGTCAAGAGGTGTAAATAATTGGCACGTCTAGAAACCCGGCGTGTAAAGACCAGTTTCTAGACGTGTCAAGAGTTGGAATCCCATATTTCACGCAGTGCTTCATCTAAGTAAATGCATTGTTGGCCAACAATTGCAATGTCAGTTTCTATTGTTTACATATGACAATAAAAGTGTAATATTTTGCCATTTTTGTTCATATCATAATAAGGCATTGTGAGATATCACAGCCTTCTCTCAGTTTCCTTTCTTGTGCATTGCAGAGATGGTCTGAGTATCAGAATGATAATTAGGAGTTTTTATTATAATTCAGCCCCATTTAATGTGGTATACAAGTGTGGTATGTTGTACAATAATGGCTCACCATCAGAACATGTAGTATCATTCAGTTTTTTATATCCATTGGGGCACATACAAGTTCTGCCATTGGGCACAGGTATACACAGATGTGAACAACCTCCATTCTGGTTTTGACACACTGAATCCGCTGTAATTATACAATTGTACAATAAGATAATAATACAATACAAGAATAAACAATACAATAAGACAATACAAAAATCATATAGTTAAACAGGGGTACATTTCAGTAAGCATTTTAAAGTTTATGAATTCATAATATGTTCCTTGTTCTCATGCTATGACAGCCACATTTCCATTTGGTTATAACAGTAGACTTATGAATCTTCATAGCTAAGAATGCTATATGCAAAAGAATGCTATATGCAACTCAGTTAAAAATAGTAAGACTATACTGTACATAAAAGTGATACAATAATCTTATAACTTTAAAGCAATATCTTTGATGTTATCATTTCAGATTCTTAAGTATAATGCAAACATAAAACAATTATCTTAGAGATATACATATGGGCACATATGACCTACCACATATAAAATGTAAGCTGAATACATATATAAAACACCCTCTGAAGACACCATTCAAAGATTGACAATATATGATTTCACTTTCCTCCTGGGACAATTAATGAATAGCTGAGTTCAGAGAAAGATACAACATGCGACAATAAGTTAAGTTGATTAGTTTTTTAGATGTTCCTAGTTACACCACTTAAATACAGGGCTCCATAATCAATTCATACCTAGCTCATGTAGCCCTGTGATTGAAGGATGCTCATAACAGGATGCTTGGCAACATACATGCAATGTTATAGAGCGAAGCGTTGATTTATTAATTCTATTAATTAAGCTAAGTGTAGAATGTTCCTCTCTATAGGTGGTGCTGCCATCTTTTTCGATATAAGTATCAATGATACACATGCTTGGTAAATATATGATAATAGCTGGGTTGATGTATAATAGCTAGATGAATGTGTAATTTAACTAGACAACAGCAACATCAAAGCGTAGCAAATCCCATCGAACAGCCATGGTTCTAACAGTTCTAACAGCATTTTTACAAAGTATATAGCAAAAATGACGGTCATTTTTCAAAATGGTCACCTTCTACCAAAAGTGTCATTAGATAGTGTGCCATGCTTATAGTATTCACATACCAAATATGAACAGAATCGCTTCAGTTTTTTCGAGTTATAGTAAAATACGTTAAAATGGCGGCCATTTTTCAAAATCGCCGCCTTCTACCAAAAGTTTCATTAGACAGTGTGCCATGCTTATAGTATTCACATACCAAATATGAAAAAATCGGTCCACTACTTTTCGAGTTAGAGTAAAATATGTTAAAATGATGGGTATTTTTCAAAATGGCCACCTTCTACCAAAAGTTTCATTAGACAGTGTGCCATGCTTATAGTATTCACATACCAAATATGAACAAAATCGCTCCACTACTTTTCGAGTTATAGTAAAATATGTTAAAATGATGGCCATTTTTCAAAATGGCCGCCTTCCACCAAAAGTGTCATTAGACAGTGTGCCATGTTTATAGTATTCACATACCAAATATGAACAAAATCGCTCCACATACTCTTTGAGTCATCATCATAATCATAAAATAGCGAGTAAAGGCCGCCATTTTTCAAGATGGCTGCCATGTGCTTCTTTAATACCTACATTTCTAGCTTTATTAATGTCCTATATACTTTTTTTATATTTAAAACATATTACAGTTTTACATAATTTAAATTACTGTAAAATCAGCACTAAAATGGCCACAATTTTGAAAATCGGCTTTAGAACAGAACTTCTACCCCCATAAGGTATATGTGTACAAAATATGAACAAAATCGGGCCAACAGTATTTGAGTTATTGCCTGGATGGACGGACGGACGGAGGTGTTCCCTATATCCCTCCGAACTTCGTTCGATGGGATAATTAAATAGAAGTATAATAGCTATATAAATGTATGAAAGCTATATAAATGTATGAAAGCTATATAAATGTGTAACAGTTGGGTGGATGTATAATAGCATGGGGATAGCCACTTTTGGTCAGGGGGAGTGCGATCGCCCAAAAAATTGTAGTTTTCAGTCAGTGATCGTGGCATAAGCGAGCAAAATAATTATTTTAAAGATTTGTTTTGAATTTTACAAAAATTAATGTAACTTCCTTCAAAATTGAGCTAGAAACTTCAAAAAAAGCTTTTGAAGCTCTTTTCTTCATCTATCTAATCTATCTATTCTTATTGGTTATGGGGGGGTGCATTCACATCAATCGCACACACCCCCCCCCCCCCTGGCTACGCCCATGAATAGTTTGATGAATGTGTAGCTAGGTGGATGTACATTCTTAGTAAATATATACTGTAATAGCTAAATGGATGTATAATAACTACATGTATGTACATTAGGTAGATGGATGTAAAATAGTTGAGTGGGTGTAAAAGTACTTGTTGGATGTGTAACAGCTAATGCAGGATAAACAGATTTCAAAGAACACAGGAATAAGGAATGACATTGAGTCAAAATTATTATAAAACTTGCCCTCTATTCATAATTCTGTATAGCTGAAACCTTATGAAAATTCAACCAAAAATCAATCCTATTAAGCTGAAACCTTATGAAAATTCAACCAAAAATCAATCCTATTATGCTGAAACCTTATGAAAATTCAACCAAAAATCAATCCTATTATGCCTTGGAAGCTTATTTAGCTAATGGTTTTTTCAAGGCTTATTTATACAGGACACACCAACAGATCTCGGTAACATAAATGTCCCCTCCCCCCCAAAATGTCTCCTCCCCCAAGATGTCCCCTCTACCAGTTCTAACATCCCCATCCCCAGACACTGTAGACCACAAACACATGATCTAGTCATGTGATTGGATTTTGAAGGTCATATATGTTTGTCTAATAACCCCAAAAAACTGCAAAATTAGATTTTTAATAAAAGTCAACATGTCTTCAATTTCATCAACCTAAGGGTCTTTATAAAGCTTTTATACATGAAAGCCTCAAGGAACATTCATTCAGTGCTGTGTCGAAATAAGTGAATTCATTTCAACATGAATTTTTAAATATGTCAAATAAAACAATGTTTATCCCTGGATCCTTTGAAAAGAACTGAACTAAGAAAATAAACAAGATATTTAAGCTTTATAAGATCATAACCGTAACACTCTAAAAAATAGTCAGTATAAAACACATCATGAGCTTTCAAATAGCATCCTTTTATAATTCGGTTTTACAAGTCTTTAAACTGTAAAGTTCAGTCAGATGATGTTTTAAAAAAATGACCCCTATATTTTATAACTGTGCATTTAAAACTTGTAGGAGTATATCATTTCAAAATTTTTATGATAGAGAGATGGAAATTTCATTGAATGCAGATTTATCTCTTAAAAAATTATACTTCAAAATCAGCCAATATTAAGTCATAAATCATCCAGGGTCTTATAGCCTCAAAAGTTCTTCAATTTGAAATAAAAATGCAAATAAGATGTGTTATCCATTCAATAATTTTTCAATACATGTCTAGGTTGTATAAGTACAGGGGTACTTTGACATGCCCTCAATATGAAGTGTCCTAAAAGAGCAGGGAATTATATACGTATGTTTCAAAAAGTATATTTGTAGGTATTTTTATGCCCATACAGCCTCATAAAATATCCCTCAAATCTTTGTTTTTTAATATTTTTATCTGAAATAACACATATGCATGTAATAAATATACTTCTTATTTTCTGGGCCATATTTGGTGTATCATGTTACTTTATAGATGAGTTGAGTTATGTTATATACAGGGTGTTTCATATGTATGCACCCCCCCCATAAACTCATACATGTAGTACTGCCTATCATGTTGTATATCTTTTTGTTCCTTATGGAAAGTTACATAATATTAAGCACCAATATTAAAATCAGTTCTTTTCTTCTTATGTTCAAATATTTGTCAACAAAGAATGTATTTCCTGTATTTGAATAAGATATCAAAACACATAACATATTGTGTGATTTTAAATTGAATATCTTCAGACTGGAGGCAACCCTAAAATCATTTTTCAAGATGAATGTAATATACTTTTGATTTAGTGGATGAAATAATAAAATGTGCAGACTCAAAATAAAAAGACTAATAAAAACATGCTAAATGTTAAAGCATAATTCACCATTTTTTTATTCAGAAAAATCCTAAACATATATCTTCATAACCTATTTAACCTTCTTAATTCTAAATTTCAAAAATTGGGTTTGTAGAAAATACCGGGTACCGGGTAGTAAATCTTCCATGCTGGGTTCAAACTTGGTACCCGGTCGAAAAAAACGGGTACCAAAAAACGAAAAATATGAATATATCATTAGAAAATGTGTAAGATTTGTTTTGAATTTGCAAAAATGTATGTAACGTCCTTCAAAATTGAGCTAGAAGCTTCAAATAAAAAGCATTTTAAGGCTCTTTTCCTCTATCATCGTGGTCATATTTTCATTAGTTATGGGGGTGGGGGTGCGATCGCACCATCGCACTCCTCTCCTGGCTACGCCTATGACCTTGTAAGGCGTAACAATTTACACTTCAGTGGACGTTTCGTCAAAAATTGGGATAACTTAAATTATGATTTATAATCAAAATCTTACACGTTGCATCATGTAAATTAACACACGTCATCTCTCTGCTAAAGTAACGATAGCTGTTTACAGATTTAAATCATAATCAAAACAATTCACGAACCAACATACGATCGCAAACTATTGAAAATACAGTAAGATTGATTTGTCATGTTTTTCAAATCGTCTTACAATGTCATAGGCATAGCCAGACGGGGGTGCGATGGTGCGATCACACCCCCCCATAACCAATGAAAATATTACCATGATGATAGAGGAAGAAAAGAGCCTTAAATGCTTTTTATTTGAAGATTCTAACTCAATTTTGAAGGAAGTTACAGTACGAACATTTTTGTAAATTCAAAACACATCTTACACGTTTTCTAATGATATATGTCATATATTTGTAGTTTTCGTTTTTTTGGGTACCGTTTTTTTCGACCGGGTACCAATTTTGAACCCAGCATGAAGGATTTACTACCCAGTACCCGGTATTTTCTACAAACCCTCAAAAATGTCATATCATAAATATATTGTACTCCTAAAACTCATTTAATGTTCTTGATGTTATAGTTCTGATCTACGAGATCCATGTTCTCGTATGAAATAAGCCCAAAACTCAAATACTCTAATTAATTCAAAATAAACCAATTACCACCATTCAACATCTGATAAGTTCTTAAGCTACGAATAAACCAAAATTCAGAAATTCCCAGAAGCATCAATACTCACAAACTTCCAAAATGCCATAACTTTCCCAAAGCTCCAATAATACAAAGTTCCCAATTACCACCATTCAAATGCTGATAAATTCCAAAATTGGTAATTTACCTCAATTTTGAAATTTCCAGAAGCATCAATAATCTTTAACTTCCCAAATATCATAATTCCCAATTAGCAACATTCATTTACCACCAATTCCTTAATTACAAAGTAACCAAAACCACTACAAGTAAAATCTTCGTTTAACTCGGCTCCTGTCAGTCTCTGAACACAGTGAAGAACGAGTGTGCGAAGATGCAGAAGTCCATATTCCATTATTCTGATTTGCCCGGACATGCCACTCAAAGTTAGTATAATCATCTACTTACATGACAACTCCATGCCGCTATATTTTGCATATAATCCATTCAAATGTTCGAATTTCTGTGGGCCCCAATCCTCAGTCTGTCCCCCCGTTCTGTTGATGCGCACCATGTTTCTAGCAAGCACAACACACTCTTCTAAGCATAGTGTTAAGATTGGCTAATAAAGAGCGATCGAATGTTGGAATTTCCAAGCTTTAATGAGTGATATAGTATTGCATCAATATCCTGTATCACCCCCAAACCCCTCCTCCTCCATCTCCCCTTACAATATGCCAGTAAGAAAATTGAGAGTTAGGGGGAGCAGGAACGTGATACAGAATGTAAGTGTAATAGACAGACAAAACAGACATAAACCAGACCTCATAATACCGTGAGCTTACTGGCGGTATCATGGAAGTGATCTCCACAGGATTTTTTCTCAAATGGGTGCACAATTCTCATTTTCACAATTCAGACCAAGATTCAATGCTTAAATTATGCCCATTTTTCATGATTTTTCTCATTTTCAAGTGGGTATATATGGATTTTCAGGTGGGTGCAAGCCTATTTTCAAAATCTCTGTTGGGTGCTGCACCCACTTGCTTTAATGCTGGGGAGATCGCTGCATGGTCATGGGAAGGGGCTATATGTATTAGTGAGCTTGGCAGTGCTCGATGCCATCGACAGTATGTACAGCTCAATGTGAATCTTCAAATGCTCACGGTTTGTTTAGGTCTGGCTAATACCCGTAGACAAGAAGAGTGAACAAAGTAGAAGATCACTTCAATAGGATGCAAAAATATAAATCAAGTGATAATTTGGTAGCCCCTGAGCCTTATTTGAAACTAATAGTAAACATAGTATACAAGGACTCAATGCATGAAGAGAATATCAATTCAAGACCATATAAACACATGTCAAATCAATCAATATTCCCAGAGCTTCTGGGTTATTTGCGATTCTCCATTACATGTCTGATTTGATCCATGTTTGATACATACACTGAGCAGGTTATTGTAATAGCTGTATAAAACAATTCATTTAGTTTCCTGTTGCATTAAGTTGAAAGCTAAATGCAATTAAATAAATATATTCTACTTGTATATTTCCAATGGATCCTAAATCCATGGAATGTTGTTGATTAAATGGTCGATTATAAAAAGCAAGCAACAAGCTAAACAATAATATACAGTGTAGTACATGTAGTATAGAATCAGTTGATTTGGATTTTTGCCTGTTCAGTTTTTTTAGCAGACATGATCTTTGACAGAGTTAAAAATTCATTATGATACAAGCCCGTAGCCAGGGGGGGGGTTCGCAGGGTTCGATTTTAGCCATATTTGGGCCAAAATTGTCAAATGTGAACCCCCCCTGGAAATTTTTGAAAACTGAACCCCCCCTTGGCAAATCCTGGCTACGGGCCTGTGATATGTAATCACAATTTCATGATCGATAATCACAATATCATGATTAGTAATCAAAACTTCATGATTGGTAAATCAACTAAAATACAACACCAGTATGACAAACAGGACAATATCAATCGAACTTCTAAATCAGCGACATTGCAGATGCTAAGAGTAGCACATTGAGATGTTATGTAGCATAATCATTTTTAAAATCTAACAGCTAAAAAAGACATAAAATAAAAAGAATAATTAGTAAAAAGCATCGAAAGCTGTATGTTGATTCTAAGTAGGCACCGAAAGAAAAATTTAGAGAATTGTTTCTTAAATAATGTAAATCCCATGACTTTCACATCCTTGTTTTGGTTTAAAATTTCAATGAAGTTTTCATGTTTTGAATTCCAAATCAACATATTAAAGTATCTGTAAATATTTAGCTGAAACATAATCCTGAATTCCAAGTCATATCAAAGAAAACCTACGATTTGACCTTTTTGATTTCGAAGAATGAACATGCTATTTGTGAATGAATTACTAAAAAATTATGTAGCACACATAGGTGCCAGCATTCAAAGGCATTTTCATAGATATGCCTTGAAAACATGAAATAATTTGAATGAACAAAGAGCACTGATTGACAAATATTTATAAGTTTGTCATTTCAATATGTGGGTCTATGTTTGAGAAACACTTCTCTAAAACAAATTCATTTCAGGCTGTACTTAAATTGTTTCCACCTATGTATTGACTTAACCCCGAGAATTCGTGTTTTCATTTGGCCCGAGCATGTTGACAGTGCACTGTGTATTTGTTCTATTGCCATAGTATCTAAGAGTGCATCTGTTGTTCTTTTTTGGTCATGTTCTCTTTATTTGTTAAAACGGTATGAATATGCTTTCTATAACATGTGTTGGTGAGAATTCTAAAGGCCCAAATGCCACATGAGACTATATTGCCCCGTAGTGCAATGGGCCCATGAATAGATAATGGACCAAGTCTCCAATTTTCTAAACATTAACATTCATAGGGGTTATGTTCATACAAAAGATGATTCAGGTGATTCGATTTGTTGTCAAGGAAACAACCATCAGGATTTACCCTCTGGATGCTGCACGTTTAAAAGCAAAAGCTCAGCTCCTACAAGTCTTACCCTTCACACGCAGAGCAGATTTATAAATCTGAAGACCATTGATCCGCCTAAATTTCTTAGCACCATAACCGTCATGATACATGGATGCATTCACCCTAGTAATCCTGTGTAATTGTCTGAGAAAAATGAAATTATTATACTCTGATTCTAAAAGTGAACACTTTGTATAAGTAAATAGATAAATCATAATAAAAAAAATTAAATGTGTCGCAGTGTCTGACGTCTGTAAGGAAATGCATATACATATATTTAACATATCATGTAGTAAACATTTAACATATATCATGGTATAACTTAGTGTAAGTCTTATATATCTAGTGATTTAACTCAATGTACACCAAGTATACAAGTATATAGAAAAATATAATAAATCTAGAGAATAAATAACTATTTTAACGAAAAGCATACCAATACTTATATACTTTTTCGATCAAATTATACTTTAACTGGTATATGTGGGAAAATCTCCTTTACTTGTTGCATCTCTGATATTATTATAAATAACATGTAAAATGAACAGTTTAATCATTCATTCAAATACATTTCCTTCAGCTATACTTTTTAAACATCCTGTACTCTACTGTTTATAATTTATTTTAGAGACAATTGTTTGCCACAGTATGTATTACCAGTCCTTATTTGAACATGCACACAAAAAACAAAATCCTGGTTGTCATCAAAATTAATCATAAACAAGTTTTACAGCTTTTCTTAGTAAAGGGACTTGAATGAATGAATAACTTGTATGTTTTGATTCACTGAATCTATTTCATTTACTGAATGTATATTATGTCAAATCACCTTAAGAAAACTTTTTTATTTTACATGTACCTTTCCAAAATAATTTTCTCAGAAATTTATCAGTCAAAAAAAACACATATATAATACAAAAATTAGAATTAAACAAAATATCAAATAGAAATGTCACATACTTGTCCTACTTGTGTTTTTGTTAAACCTATTTATTGCAGAGTTAAGTACATTATTGATTTCACTTTAAATTGCTTCTATTTTTTGTAACCATAAACACAAAGTTGAGATTCTTCATTAAATGAATATGATTTTTCTGGTAAAACAGTTCTTTACAATGTTGGCATTTAACAATCTAAAAAGTATGTGTAAACTGTTAATTATGAAATCTGTCAAAGTCTGAAAATCATTCCAAACATATCGTTATGATCTTTTTTGACAATGGTTGGTTCACTGCACAAAGAACACAGTTCATTGAATAAATTGCCTATGATACCATTCTTGCGGGACCTTTACGATTTCTTTATACTTAATTTGACATAAGTTAGCTAATAGCAGGCACCTTCAAAATGCTATATCAAAATGATAATAGTTAAATAAAATAGATAAATTTCATCTTTGGGTATAAAGTCATACATAACCTGCTGAACAGCATGACTAAAATTAAGATCATATATAACAGAGATTTCAAGTCTACAGTGATTCAATGCATACTATGACAAGCAAAATTCATAGTTTTTTAAGACTCTATTCAGAGTGCTTGAAAGAAAAGAAAAAATTGCGTCTCCCTTGCAAATGTTTTTAAAAGTTTTGTCAATATTTAATCCGAGAAGACACTTTCAATTCTCTGTTTTAAATAGCAAATATCAGTTCACTTAATTTTTGAAAAATAAATTCTTAAAACAAGTGTACAGTTTTTTTTATTACAATGTTTATAATTCAGGTTGACATGTCCTATTTCATTTTAAGACTGTTTACCTTGCTTTGATAAGTGTCAATATTATTGAGGTTACAAAACATTCTTGGCAATGTTATCTATCTCGTAAAAGTAGAGCACGTGGACGAAACCTGGGAAGATTGAATAATAAAAACTATACAAGCCAAATATTCTTCAAGTAAAAACTTATCTGTAAATAAATTTAAGAATGATGTTAATTTCAAAATTAAGAGAAGTATTAGAACTGATGCTACGATATTAGAAATTATGATAATAGAAATTAGATCTTTCGAGATACATATACAATCATGTACCTGGTACATATGTAAAATACATAATATTTGGACAAAACAGAAAACATCCATTTACTTTTCTCAAAAACTAAATTTTCAGAAAATATCATGTTTCTAAAAACATCAAATTCATACCTATAAGTGGCAATAACAGTTATCTTTGATTTTTATGGGCTTTTAATCATAAAATGTCAAGTATAACTTTAACTTTTTTTGACTGGTTTTCAAAAGCCTTCTGCTTCATAACTCCAGAATTTGATATAAGAGAATCACATTGTGAAATTCATTTCAAGTATTTTTTATTGCATTATACGCTGAAATCCTTAACAGGTTAACATTATGACCGTTAAATCTCTGACCTTTATGTCTTCTTTAATTTATGAACTTGATCATTTTCAATGTAACTTTAAGTAAACTTATACAGGTAGGCATCCATACATTGAACATGAGTTATGAAAGAAAACTGAAAACCAAGAATATGGAGTATTTAATCAGAAAGTTTAAAACTGTAAATAAGAAACCTAGCAATTGGGTTAAAAATGGTCGCTTGAATCGAACCCAAATAAATTAATTTCCCTACCTTTTCTCCCAGTCACTGAGATAGAGATATGTATCATCCAGAGTGATGCCAAAGAAATGTGTCCTTATACCTTCATACCTATCTTCTGGCACCTCAAGGACAACCCTACGAGCATTGTCGTTTTTTAAGTCAATCTCCTCAATGTTATTTGTCTTTGCATCACAGAAGTAAATCAGTTGGTCTGCAAACAATAAAATATTGGTATATTGAAGATGAAAATATGTGGAACACAAATTATGAAACAGGCAGATATTTATGAAATGGAGACATTTCTTGTCTGTCCCCTCATTTTCATTTATTCTTTTCTCACTAGTTCTTAAGCACTGTTAACCTGTCAAAAAGTGAAACGTATCATTATTTTCCAGATATATCTTGTAAACAGTATATCTGAAAACAAAATTGGGCTAAAACTGATATAATTTTCTGTTTTATTCCTGGAAAGTTTGTTTTCCTGTAAATGTTCTCCTGTAAATAGTATATTACTCAAAGTTCTGCAATTTCTGACTCGAGTTGGGTTTTGTCCCTCCCCCAATGCACATACATACATATACTGTAAATGGATCATGATTGTCAATTATACACAACAAGGGTGCGATAAAAATCAAATAGTGCAAAATAAACACATGTATATACTAAGACATTTCAAGCTTCATCAAATAAACCTATAAATACCAAAAATTGGGCCCAAAATTTGAAAATTCCAAGGCCCATTTTTTTGGCCCGAAAAAATGCCCAAAAAGTCCCATTTTTTGAGACCCTACACAATTTTTGGGGCCCTAAAAAAATTTCTGGGCCTACAAAAGGGAGCCCCCCCCTAGATCCGCCAGTGACTTAATATTAAACTACCTAGGCCAAACAAAAATATATGTCCGTTTCCGGAACCCCGACCGACCCTAGTTTGAACCCCCGACCCTAAGACATTTTTTAGTACACTGAAAAATAAAATATTCTATCTCTGGCCCTACTCGATTGAAACAATACATTTCCTTCTGAAATGTTTTACTCACATCAGGCCCAGGTGTCCATATTGCTCATACCCTTGAACATTTGCAGTAATATTATCGTTAGGGGCCCCAAAACACTTGAAACACAGGAAATATTGTTTATTTTCTTGAAAAGTTCGCCATTTTTGCTCTTCAAAATAGAGGCCCGCAATCAACTCCCAGAGGGGTCTAGCAATTGCTAGGGAGACATCTATAACACTAAGTACTAACTTGGTTTCGGGTTTCACCCCCTTCAATAAAATTTGCAATTCCCATTTTACCATGCAGATTTGAAATAAGAAAAATAAAATCTTGGGGAGGGAAACCCGAAAACACAACAGCTATTTGCATAAATCAGCCTGACCTTTCACCTAGGAATGTTTATAGTGGGAAATTTGAATTTGAATGTTTAGACCACATGATTGGTCTATTATAGTTTGATCTGATCACATGACTTATCATCATCATTATCAAGTTTAGGAGGGGTGGAGGCTTTATTCCCTTTAATGTTCTCCCATCTGATCTATTAAAATTAAAACTGAATTTAGGGAAGGGGACTGATTATTGCTCACTAGTGGCTATTTGTAAAGATCTGAGTACCATGCCTTGTCCAGGAGGGTTTTGAAGTGGGAAACTGACGTGGCATCAATGATACTCTGGGAGAGGGAATTCCAATGTACCAGATGAAAATGTTATGTTCTCACAGAGACAAGTTTTCTCTGAATTGTTTGAATTAGAAATATTCTTCTAAGGTCTTCTAAAGCTGATTCTGTTTATTTTTGAGTCAGAAAAATTATATTTTTGAGGCATATGTTAATATGATGACAACTTTGTAACCTCTGCTGATCCAGTGCTAAATATACTGATATTTGATTTCCATGAAGGCCTTTATCCAGAAGTTTCGAATGTTATGGTGGAATAAAATTGATAATAGATCAACAGATCAATAGACTTGTTTATTATTATATAGGCCTATTGTAAAGGAAAACTTTGTCTTATCGCGATAATAACAATTTCAAGCGATAATAACAACTACCTTACTTTGGTATTTAGTTACCTAGAAAAAATCTTACGTAACAATTTTCAATACCAGGTGAGAAAGTTAAGTTCGAACCCTGACCAAGTTGTTTATTTAGTTCAATATCTGAAGGTTTTAAGTAAGTACGGATCAAATGATTATAGATTGCATGATGAATTAAGGTCTCATGGCAGTTAAGAGCAAATGACAAAATGAAGAGATGACAAAAAACATAAGATAAAATATTTTTCTGACTGACCTACCCTAAAAAAAAATGAGTAAAATTTTAATGAAAAATAAAATAATCCTCCTACCTACCTACCCTAATCTGAAAATACATGGAGCAGGAAACAGACATATATTTTTGTTTGGCCCTATCAGTTACTTCCTGATGTTGACCTGCTCAAATCACAGAGTATCAAGTTTTGGTATTAATATCTTAAATGAAGTCATCAGCCTTTAGTGTTATGACTAATACTCTACTCTTAATAACTTACTTTTTATATCTATGGCCAAGCCATTAGGCCATTCTGTATTGTTAATGGCAATCTGCGTGCGTTCTGAACCATCCATGTTTGAGACATCAATCTGCCCAAGGCCCCAGTCAGACCAGTAGATTTTCCTGCAAAAGCATGAACAAAACACTTAAATGATGGGTAGGGGGCAGGGCCATATTATGTAAGTCAATATGATTCAGTGAATTTTCTATTTTTTTATACATGTTACAAAACAAATCTTCTCACAAGTCTTTTCTAGTCTCATAAGTGCACTCTTTGTGCAAACCTGGAAGATGTAGACAATGTGGGGAAAGTGATTCTTGTTTGGAAATTAACATGTGACTCAATTGAGGGATGCAGAAAATGTCCCATCATGCTTATCCCGTACCAGGATTATAGTCCTGCATTGAGAGCATTCTTTTGCCTGTACGATTACAACTTGGGGAATTATCTACGCCCCTTACACTTAAAATACCTACTTCAATTGATTCCTGGGTATTTTAGCATTCTTTTCGTGTAGTTGAATCACAATTGTCTGGGTATATCGGCAGAACGGGAACATTTTTATTTTTCATCAAGAGATATTCCATCACTTTCCAAGATGGTGGTTGGATTTAAAAGGGGATTTCTTACTCACTTCGAGAGCCATGTTAGATTTTGAAACTTATGGCTCTCAAACGGGGAAGTGAACAGCTGATTAATAGTGACCTTTGAAATCGAATTAAGTCGATCCGCGGCTTACTTTTGGTCTCTAACTGTGTCTTACATCAGTATCATCAATCAGTGTAAGTATTGGAGCGCTGAAGTACTTCCTTTTCGATAAAGACTTGTAATTGTTAGTCGAGTGAATGTTTTTACTGCCAAATTCCAATATGGCGTTTTCTGCTCGGACATTTTCGTAAATCTCCGGAGGTTGTCCGAACCTAACTAATTCTCAAAATTCATTTCGTTCATTGCATATCTCGCTCCTAGCAAACCGCCATATTGGAAATAGGTCTAAAAAACATTCACTCGATGAACAATTTACAAGTCTTGATGGAAAAAGAAGTATCTCATTAATTCGATTTCAAAGGTCACAATCATTCAGCTGTCCAAATGCTCCGTGGGAAAGCTATTATATCAAAATCCAAATAGCTTTCGCAGGAAGTAAGGGATTCCCCGTTTGACTGACCCGGAAGTGGCCCGGATAACCAATAAATGGAGGAATTTGATGGTTGAAATAAGGTAAATATTACACGCAAATATTGTGATTAAAAACGAAAATTTCTTTGTTCTGCCGATAAACCCAGACAATTGTGGATTCAACTACACGAAAAGAATGCTAAAATACCAAGGAATCTATTGAAATAGGTATCTTAATTGTAAGAAGCGTAGAAAATTCTCCCATGTTGTAATCGTACAGGCAAAAGAATAAGACGTTCGCAGGACTACCATCATGCACCCTGACCTAAATTCAAAGTACTCCCAAACATTTAAAATTTTACTGTAGTATTCAGTATATACAATATATGGAGAACTTCCCATTATCCGTAAGAATTATCTACAGATCTAAGATGAGTATATTGTCTCTTGTCTTGAAAATGATTTTTTTGAATTATAAATTCACTTTTATTAGAGTTAAATTAGTCTAGTCAGTTATCTACAATGATATGAATGGGTTATTTATAACATACCATTCGATCCTACCATTCGATCCACATTGATGAGTGGACAATCAAAGAATCAGCGATAAATCAATAATTTCAATTTTATATTGAGCATCTCTCGAATCTGCATTTCTTCAATGGAAGAACTGCCAAATATCAATCAGCAAGATTTGGCTAAAGCGAGTAAAGTTAAAAAAGCGGGAGATTTTAAATATCAAATCATGTTCAGATTGAGTAATTGACCCATCGGCCTCAGTCATGCAAAATTTTATTATCTATTTCACTTATTACACACTAACAGTTTATCAGAGAAAAACGGCTAGATAACGTTTACTTCTGTTTTCTCGGTCAGACTAAATAAACAAACAATAGCCTCAAACTGAGAATGTGGCATGGTGATCCGGATTTTAATTTATTTAAATAAAATGTTGATTTATCTATTCAAGGCTTCATATCACACTTTATTTGAGAAATAAACAACTTCAAAACAACAAAACTAATAGTGCAAGGGCTCTAGCCTAGTAAGGGACATTGAAAATGTAGAAATGCATTTACAGCATTGATAGTGTTACATTACCTGAAGCAGTGAACCTGTCACATAAGTTATTTTAAATTCGAACACTGACATGACCAACATTATCAGGACTTGGTAGAATTATTTTCTACAGTACTGATCTTATCAAGAATTGATTTTGAGCTTACCAGACGTTACAAACTACCCTTTGCATTCGTTTGACTTCACTTCTTAAAAGAGAGCTTCGTCTTCACTCTTTCAAACTAAAATAAACCTGTGAACTCACCGCGCCAATCAGTGTTCGTCGGCCAAATTTGACCGACGTTCTATATATGGTCATTCCTTCTGACGTCATCGTTGAGCCCGGAATTGACCAATACCATGCGCATACTTAATTAGAACGGATTTGGCGTATGTTTCTTCAAGCTCGCTGATTAGTGGAAGAAAGGTCAGCGCGTAGGTCAGAAGTGATTTATTACTAAAACTGTCATCGGTACCCGTCGTGGGGGCGGGGCTACTAAACTGTAATATGGTCTCTACTAGGCATAGTGTAGTTTAACTAGACTCTGCACGCAGGGTAGTTACAAACTTACTGTCCGTAATCATTATAATGGAGAATTAGGGGCGGATTAATGTATTTGGTTGCAATGATATATAGATGCACGTGACCGTTGTACGTTTCATTCACTGGATGATGTGAACGCTTGATTTTGATGAAGATTCCATACCTGTTCACTGGGTCCAGCTGAATTGCCCTTGGGTGGGTAATATTCCCATAAACCACTGTTTTCTCAAAAGATCCATTCAATTTCATTACGGAAATAATGTTCCGTCCATTATCCGCGTAATACAGAAGTTCATTGTCGGGGTCGATCGCAAGGCCTTCGGGATCAGAATCTGGATAAAAACAGCATGTAACATAACTATCATGGTTATCGGTTGAATGATTGAACCATTTATGTGTCTGTCGAAGAACGTCACAAAACGTGCAGCGAAATGTCCTAAAGATAACATGGGTAATGATTAAAATCAGTAGGTTACCTGCTAGAAGCTGCTTGACAACCTTCAGGTCAGTTCCGTCAACGTTGACGCTTTTAATAGTATTTTCTCGGACATCTGCAAAGTAGATTCGCTTTCCATTGGGATCGTACGCAATAGCCACTGGATTAGGGCCAGTCTTAGTGACAGTGCGAAATCTACTCGGATCATTTGTGTCCATCTGGTAGAGCGTGTCTGCCCTGCTATCCACAAATACGATAAAGTTGTCGTCCATCGGCTCAACTGTAAAAATATTAATGGCAAACATGATCAACAATCTCACCTCGTAAGAATTGATATACCTTGATTTCTTTGTGATATGATGGATAGACGTGGATGGGGTTCGACTGATTTTTACATCCTAGAGAGGGGGGGTCCCAAGAGGCGGGTTCGTTTTTTAAGTCCGATATGTGTTATGAAGTTACATATATTTTATACTGCATTGATGTTTTAAATATCAAAACAAAAGTTCGCCACGCTTGCTTGTTTTATTTAATGTTTCTGAAAATCTTTTTAAACACTTGACGTCAATAATGCCCGTCTTATAAGCTTACTATGAATTAATTTAAACATCCAGGTACATTGTATGAGTAAAATAATTAATACAACTAAAAATAAATAACTAAATAGTGCAATAAACTAGGCTATGTAAGTTTTCCAATCCAAAAAGGTTCTTGGTGATCAGTATATCTGTGTAGAGGGTTAAAAGAGGTGATTGTACATTTGATGTATATTCTATTGCAAGAAAAAATGCATGTGGTTGGTAGAGTAGAATTACAGGCCTATACCAGTCAGAATTAGAAGAATTGGATGTGGTTGGCAGGCTAGAAATACAGGCTTAGACCAGTCCGAATAAGAAGAAAGGGGTGTAGTTGGCAGGCTAGAAATATAGGCTTAGACCAGTCATAATAAGAAGAAAGGGTTGTGGTTGGCAGGCTAGAAATACAAGCCTTGACCAGTCAGAATAAGAAGAAAGGATCGAGTGTGCTGGCAGGCTAGAAATACAAGCCTTGACCAGTCAGAATAAGAAGAAAGGAGTGTGCTGGCAGGCTAGAAATACAAGCCTTGACCAGTCAGAATAAGAAGAAAGGGGTGTGGTTGGCAGGCTAGAAATACAGGACTATACCAGTGCAAGAAACCATGGTCGTGGAAGCAAGGCTAAATTAGAGATCAGCACTACTGTCTAGGCCTAGTACTGTAGAAGATACAAGTAAAAAGAATTTGTCTATCCTACGTGTCATAGTCCTAACTACAATAATAAGCAACCTGACAATAACTACCAATATTACTTGACATCTTAAGTCAATCAATTGCAAGAATATGGCCTTCCAAATCCTTCTGAAAGAAACATGATTGACTGAATCTAAATGAGAAAGGTCGGAATTGTCAGAACGTCGTTAACCGCTAAGCCCGCACGTGCACATGCCATTGATACCTCTCTCTTCCGTTTTGCCGGTTGGACCAGTAGGGCCTGTTGAACCAACAGGACTTGTTGAACCAGTAGGACCAGTTGAACCAGTAGGACCAGTTGAACCAGTAGGACCAGTTGAACCAGTGGGGCCTGTATGCCCTGTAGACCCAGTGTGCCCCGTTGAACCAGTAGGGCCAATGGGGCCTGTGGACCCTGTATGTCCTGTAGACCCAGTGTGCCCCGTTGAACCAGTAGGACCAGTTGAACCAGCAGGACCGGCTGGACCAGTTGAACCAGTAGGACCTGTTGCACCAATAGGACCTGTTGCTCCTATAGGACCTGACGCTCCTGTAACACCACACCAGTTGGTAAATAAATGTTGAAAACAAGATTTTCATGCGACCACGTTCTCCTGACATTGATCTGTTTTTGCAAGTATTAAATCAATGGTTTCCTCCTTTCAATTGTCTCTCGATGTTGTATAAAAAACCAAGTCGCTAAATATTTCTATCTTGTGATTCGCAAAATAAAAACAACAGCCATAACAATTTGAATAACGCTCTCTGATAAAAAAAAATGCCAACAATATTAATAAGCAATCGATTTGCCAATATATTGGTTGCATGAAGGGGAGGTCATGTAACCATCATTTATTGTACCTTATTGAATTCTCTTAAGATGATAAACAATTTTTAAATATGAATATCTAATACTGAATACATCATTTTTCAAATGATAGAATATTAACAGACGTTCCAAAATGACAACCAATTATTCTTAACGTGGCATGGTGGCTAGCAGTACACATTTTGCAATGCACATCTCCACACTTTCCAAATCTAACTTGACTGTGGCTGCCCTTTCCCAGAGGTCGATTTTGCTTTCAAGTGAATTTGGGCTAAAATTCTCAAATGCGAACCCCCTGGAAGTTTTTAAAAGTGAACTCCCTTGGAAAAAGCCTATGGACCTGCTGATATACAATAGAAAATAAAAATAACATACTAAATAGGCTACAATAAAGGACGATGTTGGTTTTGATAGAAATATATAATATAAGTATAAAAAGAAAGCATCTCCTTGGACTATATCTAGGTTCACTGGGGGGTATCGTGATGCAACAACACCGTGTTGTTGCATCAAGATGGCCAGACTTCCGGTGATAGATTTTCGTACGATGTTTTGTTTTCCCAATTTACACCCATTTCTAGGACGAGTTGCTCATTAATCATACACATGCAGTTAGCCCATGATATATATTTAAAAAAACTGTCATTGGTATACATGTAGCATCATCAAGAAGCGATAAATTCGTGGTTTTAATTCCTCACTATTGATGCAACAACACCACTCTGTTTCTTTTCGATGATGCAACAACACCAATGTGCTGATGCAAAAACGCCAATATAATGTATCATTGAACAACAAGAGAAACTGTTTTATTTTCTGTTTACAGGTGTAGGTCGGGACATGAATAAAACGCGTGAGTCAGTGGTCCATGAACGAAACGTATTTTGTTTGATTTCTTTGTCTATATCAAAGTTAAAAGGATATACAAGGCAAACTAAATAAAGTACAGAATCCCCGGGAAGCAATCTCATTGATATTGTATCTGAAAAATATAAATATTATACATTTTCTAAATTAAATGCCCTTGATTTACCGTATGGAAATTGCTTACAAATAACTAATATTATTTTGGAAAGACAACAGATATCAGTCATTCTATGTTAGTACCTCAATTGAAATACTCAATTCTGATTGGTTGATGAGCGGGCAACAAAATATATTGTTAGTACCTCAACTGAAATACTCGATTCCGATTGGGTGATTAGCGGTCAAAATTATGTACTGTTGACCGCTACTAGGTACTGTTGACCGCTACTTCTGAAAAAAACATGGAAGACGGACATTTTGTAAACGTTGATGAAAATGACTTTACTAGGCGACAAGTATAGCAAAAATACAAATAGAAACTTAAAATCAAAATTAATTCACTAACGAGTACGCCATGATGTGCCAAATACAGAGTTAAACTACTTGCACTGTCTCCAGATTTTCTAAAAAAATTATTGCTCACGTGGTTCGGAGAAAAGGTTGTGAAATGAAGCCATGCCGATTGATGATTGTCGTCTATATGTGTATTATTAGTTTACTCGGACTAACAAAACAATTGTAGACCTCTCCATTCGATCAACCGTCAAAATCATATACCTCGACTGCAAACCTTGAAACTACTGTTGACCTCGACCTTCGGTCTCTGTCACCAGTAGTTTTTCGGTTTACAGTCTCGGTATACAATTTTGCCGGTTGACCTCTGGGGAGGTCAACAATTGTAAACTGTTGATCTCTACTAGGTACTGTTGACCCCTATTTTTGAAAAATTGTTTTTTTAATGTTGAAATTTTTTTAATTTTGAAAAAATAAGTTGTGTAAAAAATATTCGACGGTTTGGGGATTTTTTGCTAAAATATGATACCTTTACTTATCAAATATGTTCACGTGATATTCGATTTTATTATATACCCAATATGTAACACTGATCCTGATTGGTCAATACCTAGTCACGTGTTCCGAAATAGATTTACTATTTCCCTCGGAAAGTTATATTCCCTCAAATGTGACGTCAGCGGGAATATACATTTGAACTATTGCCCGCTGACGTCACAATTGCAAGTTCTATTACCCTTGGAAACGTCTGCGCATCATCACTGCGCAGACGAAAAACAGAAAAATGGAGGATGAGCACAAACACAAATCAACTCCGTTCACCATGACAGACGTGCGTGAACGATACAATATAAGCAACGTATATAAAGTTCCGTAAGCTCAATACGTCTGTGTAATTTCAAGTGTTATGATAATCTATTCCGCGTGTTAAACGCGATTGAAGTTGTCAAGTGACAGTCTCAGAGGCAAAAATTTCATTTGAACATCTGATGACGTCACAGCTTATAATGCTAACAATGGACCCGGCGGCTTCGGGAATAGTACATTGTAGAGGATATTCCCAAGGGGAAATCATTTACACTATTGCTCGAAATTAGGCAGTCACTATTTGTATAATATATTCGTCCAATTATTATATTATTTGGACTAACAGAACAATTGTTATCCTCTCTTTTCGGTCAACTGGCAAAAGTGTCCTTGACCTCTGGTCTTGATCAACAGTACTTTCAAGGTTTACAGTATCGGTTTACAATTTTGCCAGTTGACCTTAAGAGAGGTCTACAATTGTATATTATATCCTTCAAATTATTATATTCTTCGGACTAACAAACAATTGTTAACCTCTCTATTCGGTCAACTGGCCAAAGTGTTTACCTCAACAGTAAACCCTGAGAGTACTGTTGACCTCGACCTCCGAACTTTCAAGGATTACAGTATCGGTATACAATTTTGCCAGTTGACCTCAAGAGAGGTCTACAATTGTATATTGTATATCCTTTGTTATCCTACCCAAAGTATGAATTGAAGAGTTGTATACGCTGCTCAGGAGTTTACGCTATCCAGGAGTTGTACATCGTTCTCAAGAGTTGTATAGGATGAGTGTTAGTTATACAATGCTATTATATAAAGGTTATTTACTGAGAGGGATTCAATATTGGTTTTATTCCGAGAGACAATATGATATTTCCCGAGGGCCCGGGATATCTGGGATAACTACATCCCTATCAATTTACATTTTTGGGCCCTTTACTTAATCTTATCACTTTTGTTTACCTTTTTACTCAGTCGGAGAGAAGGAATCCAAAGACAGCAATAATTCTACATGTGCAACTAAACGGCCTCTCTAATAAAGTCAATTAGGAACGTTTTTACACGTTGGCTCTCCAAATTGGAGGAAATAAAGAATCATATCATATTATATCATAGATGAAGCAATCATCCTAGTCAACATATACAAGCTCACGAATGTCACAGTTAAACTGTTTTAGTTATAATTTGATAAACAGTGGTAACATACATCTACTAGTTTACCACTGTTCCACAGATGGATGACAGATAATTTCCAATAGCTCATCATGTTTACCGAGAACGAAAGATGTTTGTCCACCATTTTGAATGATACTAACTGGAGTCAGGGTCATCAAGCTATGGAACAGTGGTTTATGAAAAGAGATTGGGTTACTAAAGCTTGCCATGTTAAAGGCGATTGAACTATGTTATAGAACAACGTCCAGTACATTATAATATTTATAAGTATAAATTTTTGAAAATACATATAAAGGATCTTCGCCTGCAGGACGTGTATTTTGAATGCCTTAAGAAGAACGCAAATATGGGTAATGGGTAACGGTGTTGCAATAGAAGCATTTAAAAATCTGTTCCTCTCGAGATTTATGGTCTTCTGAAATTATGCTATTAATTGGTGTTGCTGCATCATTGCTCAAATCTAGAGGAGTGTTGTTGCATCTTCGGTTTGGTGTTGTTGCATCAATAGTGAGGAACTAAAACCGTGAACTTATTGCTTCTTGGTGATGGTACATGTATACTAATGACAGTTTCTTTAAATATAGATCGTGCGCTAACTGCACGTGTATGGTTATTGAGCAACTCGTCCTAGAAATGGGTTTAATTGGGGAAACAAAATATCGTACGAAAATCTATCACCGGAAGTCTGGCCATCTTGATGCAACAACACGGTGTTGTTGCATCACGATACTCCCCAGTGAGGTTGAAATGATTTCAAAACAATCCCATATTGTCAATTTCATGTACCATATTACGTTGTGGTATAACGATGGACGCTCTTAGTAATTAATGACACGTTGATCTTAAATATAGGACGATGCTGTTCATGTTGCTACCCTTTTACTTTTTAATGGTATATAGTGGATCAATGTTTATAATTAAAATACAGAATAATATGAATAGTAAAATGTACACACGCTCTGTACAACATGGTAAGCAACGGGTATTGATGGTCATCGGGTCGTGACCCCAGATCATACTTATAAAGCCATGCATTCCACACATTTCCCAAGGTTAAAACACACATGGTTCGTACAGGAACTTCGCGATGAACTGAATTATCATTCCATGTATTATCATTACTTTTTTTAAATTCTGAAAAGAGATGAGAAATTAGATAATATATTCCAACGCAAAATACTAAATAAAACGTTCCTACATAAACTGTTAAGCCCCCAGTCACGATGAGTACGAATGTCCTCGACGTGGATATTAACTGCAATGGGAGATCGATAATAATGAAAATAAACAGCTGAAATATAATATAAATAAAGCCCTCTCTTGCATAGGTCTCCCGAGAGAGATTGTGACAAGTGACAATGTTTGAAACCCCTGTTGGAGAGCCCATTATAATGCAATCCTACTTTATTTCGAGGTGAGGGGTACAGAGAACAGAGAGGTGCCTGCATATCTGATATGATTTAACCATAAACGGACAAGGTATTAACATGCAAAATGTCACCACCTACTATTTGTTACAGACGCCGAACACCAACCACCGTTTACAAAAAGGTTGGAGACCACTTGTGGTGGTGACATAAAAAGTGATAGTATGTAAGCGATAAGTTCATTTGATACGATAATAATTACTATTGGCAATGAAGGTTCCATTAAATAAGAAACGAGTGGATACTTTGAATTTTTGATTGTTTTAATTGGAGTTCAGCTCGTTTAACCCTTGTGCAGAAACCATTGAAATCACTCGGGAAACTCGAATCATGGGCTCTACCACCCATGCTCGAATCAATAGACTAGATGCGAGTAGAAATAATCTTGATTTACGTCATCAAAAATTAAAAAATTAAAAATTCAAAATTCAGTCAAACTGATGTCATATTTGGAATCTACATGTAGAAATACATCTAGAAATGTGGTTTTGAAAAGAGTCTATCTACTTTGAAAATTTAATTTTCTTTGAAAATGTGACTTCTAGGTCGGGGGGATTCCCCATAGAGCCCATGTTGTAAAATCACAAAAAGGGAAATATCTTTTCTTGTGTTGGGCAGATAATATTTTCTTTTACTGGGCATATTTTAATTTGTATAACTATCAGATACAAAAGGGTAATATGAAAAGTGAATCACTACAACTGATGAATATTCAAGTTTAAGGGAATTTTGTAATACCCTGCCATGTTATTTCCCCCGACTCAGCCACCTGGTGGCGAAACTGGTAACTACCTACTCGCATCTGAGTAATTGCAAATTGCGTGTCAAACTTATCACTAAGTTTTTCAAGTGAATGTATCTATAAGTAAAGTTGGTGCTCGGTCTAAAAGTATACTATCACAGTCTAAAAGTATCACTCTAAAAGTAGACTATCACTATCTTATCACATTCCCAATTTTGAGTAAAAAATAAACGTTGCATAACTTTTATTATCATTACAGGGGGTTCGGTTTGTGCCAAGTGCCAAAATAGATTACGCTTGATTTGGGTCAGAGCCCAAAATCTAAGTGCATATTTGTTATGAAAAAAGAAATACAATTTTCATACAACTGGAATCTAATCATTTGTGCCTCAGATTCGTGTAACCTCAAATTTGAAGGTCTTTGGTTTACCATCAACTTACCTGGAGCTGGTGTTGTAGATTGGCCCGAACACAGCGTTAACATCAACAAAACTCCAATAACACAATACTCCATTGTATATGTAAACAAAAAATCACGATTACAAAACAGTACAATTTTCTACAATATAAAACTAATGATATCCAAATCGATGGCACTTTGCTATAGTAGGCCTATTCCATAGCCAGTGATATCGTCTACTGCGTCTTTTAATTATCTATATATCCATCCTTATATGTGACACTCGGTTTATACGACCATCTAAGCTGAGTTTGTAGCGCTAAGTAATCGCTTTCGTGCCTCGGGTGAACAAGTAAACACTATCAATCACTCGGTAAGTAAATGCTAAAGGGACCCTATAAAACAACTTGTGAATTCATTGAAATTATACATCCCGTGATTTTCTTAAAGAAGTCGTGTATCACGATTCACATACTATAGCTATGTAATATTGTAGGGTTCCATAGGTATATACAATTCCGATACGTATTGCCTACTAAATAATCCAACGTTTATATGAAGTCATAAATATATCAGTCAATAGACCACAATGGTTACAAAAGCGATCAATAAGAAAGAGTTCAAATCCTTATAATCCGTCGCAGACCTACAGTTTACTTGGAATATCTAAGCCGTGTGTTCGTTTGTATTGATTTGCCTACCTGTAAAGTAACTACTGCAAATCACAGGTTAAATACCAGGTATACTGCAGGTGTAAATATTATAATTGCATGCCACCTGGTCATTCCACAGGTCACTGGCTGGGGAATGAAATTACACGAACTACGGACTACTACTGGCAGATAGCAGATGAATTTTATTAAAGGAACACGCACACGTAATACTAATGGATGCCCAATGCTCAATCATTTTGACGCCACGGAATGTAATAGGGACACGGCACAATGCACACACGATGATTATATAACGACCTTGCTGTGATGAAAAACCACATTGTCCCAAGATAATTTAACTACATGGGACAACATAAAATGAATGAAGTGTGACGTGGCGTGTCATATTTCATTTAAATTACAATCGTGATGAGTTTAAATCTTCTTTTTTTGTGACATGAAGATAACTTAGATCATCGTCTAGGATGAAAAAAAGCGACAGAACAACGACACATTAAAATTGTGGATTAAATATCCACAACATTGCACACACAAGATACATTTAATTAATAAATACAACTACACACGCGAGTAGATACTTACGTATCTACAACTACACAAACGGTCGTGAGTAAATATTTCCCCACAATAACACACACACACGGCCTTTATTTTATTTATCTTAGATTATTGTAAGTCTAAGCCTCTCTCGTAGAGGTGAATTTGCAGACAAATAAATTCGCCAATTGAAATTTCCATTCTTTGTTATCATAACGTGCAAAGGTAGACTGACCCCCCCCCCTATTCATCCACATTGTATGTCGTTTCATTTGAACGAAAATAAAATGAAAGTCTCATTTTTATAAAATACCTATCCAACATCCCTTAACCACCTTTTCACGTGTCGTAACTAGTAGATACTTAACCTTTTATTAACATTAAATTTGATTAAGCAAAATAAAAATCTCGTCTGGATTGAATGTCATATTACAGGCTTTCATATCTCAATCAAAATGACAAGCATTTCATTCAAATCGCAATATTTTGTAATGTCTATGACAAGACCATCTATACTTTTTTTCTGCAGGTCACCGTGCTATGCTCTTTCTGAAGAGTACTTCATCATTTCCATTGGTCGTTACATACATGTTTGAGCTTTGCCTCTGGAAAACATTGCATAGAGACAAACAGCAATCGTTCAAGTTTTATATAGACCAGATAATCTCCCGGATAATCTATTGTCTTTACATCTATGGTAGATAATTAATCTATCGTTTTATTCTTTAGTTTCCACTATCACATGGTAGAATCATATAATCACCAACGAATGGATGTATGAAACTATAAAACAATGCAGAACTAGATAACGGCAACTCCGCGGAGTAGCAAATCCCAACGAACAAAATATCAATTACCGAATTCCAATCAATTATACTCATTACTTTGGTTAAAATAGAAAAAATTAGATTTTAGAATTGCAAATTCCTGCAAAGCAGCCATTTTGAATTTTCTGAGGTTCAAATCTGAAAAATAATACCATAATTGTGATCTACTCCAAAATTCCTTCAATTTGAGTATAAAATAGCCATACTTTGAAGGGATCAAAAAATTATTGCAAAATCGTAGATTAGATGGCCATTTTGAATTTTACGAGGCTCGAATCAAAAAAAGAAACAATATTTGCAATCTACTCTTAATTGCCTTTCATTTGAGTATAATAAAGCTATACTTCAGAAAGATCTAAAAATTAGCGAAAATTTCTGTTTTCCTGTCCCCCCATACACGGCCCCTGGGGGTCAGGATGAAAAACACGGAATATATGTGAAATAGATAAATGTTGTGAATATACTACCAGAATTTCAAACAATAATATTAATTACTTTAGTTTAGAATGAAAAATGTATGATTTTTGCGAAAAAGTCCCGTCATTTTTAAAGCGGCGGCCATCTTGAAAAATGTTTTTTTTGCGTAAAACTATTCACCAATATACATCTTTCCACTAAATATGAAGAAAATCCGTCTACTAGTATTTGAGTTATCTTCCGGACAGACGGACGGACTGACTGACTGACTGACGGACTGACGGACGGACAGACAGACAGACGGACGGAGGGCTTCACTATATCCCTACCGAACTTCGTTCGTTGGGATAATAAATGTCTTAAAATGACGTTTGAAAACACAGACTCCAACTTGTATAATGCCAGTGTTGATATACACGCAGTTTGTCAGCGTTTCAAACTACATGCATAGTATGCACGTAGTTTGGATAACGCGCCGTGGTCTTGTTGGATTTCGACGAACTGTATTTTCATTGGAATGCTTACAATTTGGAAACGCTAAACTTGACAAAAGTGTAATAGAAACAGGAAAACAAGGACATATCTATCTGTCATTCAGTTTTCTATGTTGCTTGAAAAACCTAAAGATGTGATGAGTGACTAAAAATGGGAAAGGGCCGATGACAAGATTTTCTGATTCACCCAGTATTTGTTGAATCACTAGTAACATATTTTATGATTTTTATGAGACATGATTCACTTGTTTTCTTATTATAGAACATGCTTAAGTTTTAAATAATAATATTTTAAGAGTTTTAAAGTTTATATGTTCGAAAACATTAAATTGAAAATCCTGTTTGAATAAATATCAACTTTGTAAGATATTTTGTACATGATTATAAATTCTACGATGACAAGGTTTTTGCCAAGAAAAAATGTTCAGCGTTGGTAGGTGTTCACTACAGAGAGGATAATTTATACAGAATTCAATAGCGTATGTCCAAAGGAAGGGTGTTCACTAGAGCCAGGTGTTCACTAAGACAGGTTTTACTGTACTCTAACCTTTTTTCAAGTTAAGAACACAGATCCGGAGCCAGATTCAGCCCCTATTGGTAGTAGGCTCAAAGGATAAAAGTATATTTATTGAGCCTAGACACAGAGGAGGTAATCTGGCAGAGGTTCGTGGTTAAGAACAAAGAAACTGAACTTGACATTTTTACATAAGGACTTATAGCCTACTGTTTATATTTTGTACATATTTATAATCGCTGTGATAGCAGCTCTTTACAAATCAGAATGGTGACTAATGTTTCCATGATTTGATTTTAAATAATACTCAATGCATATAATATCACAACTGTTATTTGTACACATGACTTTTTGAATGTAAGTCAACTGGAATTTTTTCACATAAATCAAGCAGTTTATCAATCAATCACACATGCAGTAATGATAGGCTACTCATAAACGTATTGTTAGTTGAACCCTCCAGTCTTAAAATAGATCATTCCTGAAGAATATGAGAATGACATCTACTCCTCCCTTGGAATTTCCATACGTTTGTAATTCTCACTGTACTTGAGGCAAGCAGTGAAGTATAAATAAGCTGTTTCTGTTTCCTCCAAAAGTGATGTATTATATTCGTCGAATCAAATTGTTTTATGATAGCCCACTGTTACATCACAATAAAAATGTGACCAGTAATTGAGTTTTACATTATAGAGAAGCAGTCTAGATCACAGCATCCCCTCGCTATAGGGCAGGCATTTGACATGTTTTTAAAAACATATTACATTACAATTTGCTTTATATATGTGACAAATGAACACAGAACCTTGCAATACACTTCCTTAGCCCATTGTTCTGTTGTTTAGAGTGCAATAAATGGAAATAGGAGAAAGTAAATTGTTCAGTGTCAATAGAGACAAGGAACTTGTACAAAATACATTCTATAAATTGAAACTTTTCTTTCTTTATCATGGAAAATTCTGTTGAATTATAAAATTGCGCTTTTAAGCATATCATTTGATCGTTTATATGATTCAACAAATAAGATAAACAGTATGTTTTTCTTGAAGACCGGACATTCATTTTAACAGAGTTGTTTTCTTTTGGCCATATTAAAATAATATGCCACCAAATGTACATTCTAAAAAAGTTCTTAGATCTATCTCTTTAGAATAACAGATACATGAACACAGGTATCACACTTTCTAATTGTACAGGGTGTTCATTCTGTTGCCATAAAGTAACAGATACACCATTCCAAACCGTGATGCATCTAAAACGATGCCATGAGTTATGTACATAATGTAAGCCACTGTTTTAACTGTATGAAAACATATTAAAAATGAACACTGAAGAAAGAAACAAGTATATTATTTGACTAAAATATGGCAGGAACCAATACTAAAACATTATACTTATCTATGAATAATGAATTCTCAACAGAAACGTTTCTACTACAAAATAATGAGGAAACTGGTTGGTCTGTTGGTTGTGTAAAAAACAAGATCGGGTATTTTCAGGTTTTTCTTTGAAAACTATATAGAATTTCACATAGCCCACTCAAGACTCCAACCAAAGACCAGCCCCTGAGTGGTTACTGTGCTCATGAACCACCATTTTGAATACATTCACCTTCCATTGCCATAATAAGTCTTTAATTTCAGAGGGTGAAAAATTAACCAAACTTAATCACCCTTAAAAGAGTATTAGTAGCAGCAGAACTGAACTGTGGATGCTGGACTTCCACAGCTTAACTTAATTAGTATAAATACTTAGTATAAAATTAGAATGTATATTCAAAGCAGTGGTTCAATATTGACTGAAATGTTCAACTCTCAGTCGTCAGCACTGGCCATGTAAGCATCAAGTTCATGATCTAAATGTCCTTTAGTTTTAGCCATGTAGGCATCTAACTGATTGTCCAAGTCCTCCTGGTTTGGCTTGGGCCCTCCTCCCCGTCCGCCACGCCCTCCTCTACCTCCTCGTCCTCGTCCACCACGCCCGCCTCGACCTCTGGCAGGGTTTCCTCTCATCCCCCTGAAATCAAAATTGCAAATTCTGATCCAATGCCTATATAGCTTGTTAGACATTGATTTCATACATTACTTTTTTTATGCCATCTTTTTTTATAAAAACCAACACTATCTGTTGTTGCTTAGTAACCACTACACCATTCATCTCTAGGTTTCTAAGATAAAAGCCAATATAGAAGAATATTATACATTCAACATCTGCAAAGATTTGAACTAAATCTGATGAACAGTTTTCCTGGAAACATGATTACAAAAATTGAAGGATTACCATAACATGACAGTATGCCTTCATCAATGGTAATCATGAAAATAATTTCCCCATGTGGAGTGTTGGAAGAGCAGACGGAATATGGCACACATGAGTTCATCAATGCATTCTGGTTAGTGACCAGAGTGTCAAATTAATGATGCTGTTTTTAGTTACATTAATGCTATTATTAAAGAGAGAATCAGATATAGCGAGCAAGCTAAAAAAAAATTATTTTAATTTTAGAATATTTTTGGCTCATGTCATTCCTTGTCATGCCTATTTTCTAAAAATCACAAAAGTGCATACTTTATTCCAGGAAAACTAAAGATTTTTACAAAAATGTATTATTTTTCTATAAGAATGGTTACCATTTTTATTATTTGGGAGAATTTGAACATTTTTCACTCATTTTTGCACTTTGAATCATTAATAACTTCACCAATTTATAACATATTGTGAATCTTTTGGGAGATATTGTTTTTGATATTGTAAGGAATGGTTTGGTAGGTCAATTATACATGTTGCTTGTAATTTTGTCACCCCCTATAGATCAGATTCTGCCTTTAATGCTTTGATGCTGTAACAGATAATATAGAACAGTGACAATCACATTCTGTCAGAATAACTTGGTACTAAAAGGTGAAACAATATGTTCATACAATTAATCAAGCATTAAAACAATGAACAAACAAACAAATAAATAATATAATATAAAAAACAATTGGAAAGGACCAAGTATGGTATGACAAATTATCTAAGAGTCATATTTTGGACCATGAGTATTTGGTATGACAAATGATTTTAGACAGTCATATCTTGGACCGTATGACAAATGATATTAGACAGTCATATCTTGGACTATGAGTATTTTCTTGCCATAAATTCAACATGTCTCATCAAAATACAATGTTGGTTTGAAGTGTGTAGACAAAACTTCACAGACAAGAATTTAAGATGGAAAGTCCAAAATGTCTACATTGATATTTACCCAGAATGCCCAAAAACTAATCAGTTTGAGATTTTCAGAGAAAAAATCCTAGAAATTTAACACCAATCTGTCAAATGGTTCACCTGGAAAAATGTAGACAAGACTTCACAGACAAGATCTTAGGATGGAAAATCCAAAATGGCCATCTTAACATTTATCCTCAATGCCCAAAATTTAATTAGTTCGAGATTTTCATACAAAGAAACATCTCTGAAAATTTGAAATCAATCCATCAAAAGGTTTGACTGTTAAAACATTCACCCAGAAGCCAGAATGCCCAAAAACTAAAACGTTTGTGATTTTCATGCAAATGTATTTAGTCCCTCGCTTTTCTTACACTGACGATCGGCATTAATATTGCCAATATTACACTGATATTGGTCGTTAGTCAGTGTAAGAAAAGCGAGGGACTAAATACGTGAATTGTGTCTTTGTTAACATATAAAACCTAAAACCATCGACATATTCTCAAACTAGACTATCTTCCTTAACTTCGAGCCAAATTATTATCCACAACGTGACTTATAAGTAGGTGTAAATCGGGAAATAAAAAAATCTTACCGAAACCTAGTCCCGGAGGAAGTTCCGCCATGATACACCGACGATACGTCTGTGTAATTAGGTGGGTAGCAGTGAACTAGCAAAAGTGTCATAAGACAGTGTGCCATGCTCACTGTTTCACAGTTGGATGACTCTAACTGCAGTTACAGTAGCTTCATTCAAGATGGTTGCCGGAATTCTTTCGTTTTCGATAAACTTCTATTACTCAAGTTTCAGCAAAGAAAATGTAAATAGTGTGTAAAGGCCACCATTTTTCAAGATGGCTGCCATGTGTTTCTTAAATATCTACATTTCTAGCTTTATTAATGTCCTTTATAACTTTTTTACATTTAAAACATATTGCTATTACAGTTTTAATATACTGTACCTAAATTACTGCAAACGACTTTCGAGCAGAACATCTACCCTCATAGGGCATATGAATACAAAATATGAACAAAAGCTGACCAACTATTCGCTAGTTATCGCCCGGACAGTCGGACATACATTTGGACGAACAGATGAAGTCATTCCCTATATCCCTCCGAACTTCATCCGATGGGATAATGAACCTTAACTAACAGTATGAGCGGGGGGGGGAGACATAAAAAATATAAAAAACATCATTAGTCATAGTCAAATCTGCATGGTGAATAAAACAAGCCAAAACTAAGCATGCTTGCTTACTGTCCTCTTCCCTGGCCCTGCTCACCAAGGCCCTGGCCCAACCCATCTCTACCCTGACCCCATCCACCTTTACCCTGACCCCTCGCACCTCTACCCTTGCTCCACCTATCTCTACCCTGGCCCCTCCCATCTCTGATGCTGCCATGGTGATTAATGCTGAAATAAAGCCCTATTTGTAGCAAAGGAGTGGTATCGATATGGAGAACTTTTTGAACACAAGTTTCTCTTAAACCAGTCATAAAAAAATCTAAAAATTTAACACATCGTCAATTTAATGGTCATCTTTTGAATGGTAACAATATAATTTGAAAAATATTTATATACTTTCATCTATATTGTTTTAGAAAACACATCAAACACTTGTTTTGTTCTTGGTATCATGTTTCCAGAGTGAAATGAAACATCTTTCCGAACCTCATTGGAACAAAACGACATAAACACATGTTTAGGTCTCTCAATATTGTAATTGTACAAAGGAAATTTTGGTTAATTTTAAAAAAGTATCTTGTTAATGAAATAAAAGGTTTATTTTGATTTTTATCTATTTTGGAGGATTTTGTTCTAATTTTTTGAATACTTTTTTTAAAATCAACCAAAAATTCCTTTGTATATCTATAATATTGAAAGGTCTAAAAACATGTTGTAATGTATATGCTATTTTGTTCCAACAAGGTTCGAAAGACATTTTATTTCATTCTCAAGAATTGGTAGAAAGGAGCAAAAACAATTGCACTAAAAAAACAAAAAATGTTAACAAAAACAGTTGTATAAAATATTTCTAAATAATTTTCGCATTAAATTGTTGTCAATCAGTCAACATTACATAAAATACCGTGTAAAAAAAAAAAAAAATAAGAGAAAAACATTGTTGAATTCAGTTCTCCATATCGATACCAATCCTTTATATTACATCATATTACATTAAGTAGAAATGAAGTGAAATGAATTTAGAAACACACGTGTGTTTATATCATTTAACTGCAAATACTATTATTCAGGTTTTCCTGATGAGGTTCAATACTTGACACATATCAGGCAAAGCAACATCAATTCGACAAGAGTTATAGAGGTTATTTAATTGGAGGGATCGAATATGGGTTTTATTCCGGCGGAAAATATGATATTTCCCGAGGGTCCAAATGGCCACAGTGAAATATCATATTGTCATGATTGTCCAACCACTATAAGCTTTTTCTTCATGAAATCATCAGACTTTTGTATGAAACAAAACCAGACATAGACAGAATAAAGCTTTTATCACTGATTCTAAGCACCAGCGCACACTGACAGAATATAAAGCTAGCTTCCTCTTCATTGTCATGGAACAATGTTGCCAGGGGCTAGGTCAAATATTGTTTTTGTGGAAGGCTTTAGATTTCCCTTCTCCTCTTGTAGTAGTCTATAGCATAACAATACCACCCAGTTAAAATTGAAACATTTTTACCTGGACAAAAGCTTCCCCAAACAAAATTACTATAATAATCACTAAAATAATCTATATTGATAATAACACTACAGGGGATTTAAATCAGATATAAAGCCCATCTATTCAGCCTTGCCCATTGTTCACATGTTCATCACTGATTTGAGGCCCTAGAGTACAAAATAAAGCAAAATACACAATCACATCAACTCACCTGAAGGATTGATTGCCACGCCAATTGCCCCTACAACCATATTCCCAAATGCAATGTTGTTTTGTTACAAGGTGATCTATTCATAGTGTAATCTTATCTTCGTATTTGCATCCAAAACTATTTTGCAAGAAAACATATTTGTAACAACATGAATAGCAATTTCTCAGGTTACATAAAGTGTCTCATAATGATTTCAAACATATTGTTGAAATTGAATTACAGACCAATTTTTCTATAAAGGCTAAACACCATTAGTGATACCATATATTATAACACCTTACAAGTGGTATACTCAAATCGCTTATTCTGGGAACCAGTTCATATGGTTAAAATAACGAAATGATGTGATGTAACCATGTGTCTACTTACCAGTTTGTTCTAGTGCTCGGACCAGTTATGAAAAGTGGTGCCGGTATTACCGTATGTCATTACCGATATTTACCGACTATTTAGAAAGTATTTTGAAAAAAGCTAAAAAAAAGTTTTCCCCGGGTATATTTCGCCAAAAATCTCATAGTACGCCATACATACCACTTAATTTATCTGTAGAAACAGTAGAACCCACTCAGAATCATTTTAAACCACTAAACAATCCTGATTCTAACGGTTCATGTGATATAAACTCGTAAAATAAATACGTTTTCGTTCGTTGTATTATCAGCCACGTTCTGAACTTCAAATCGGGCGATAATAGGTAAAGTGAAACTTCAACTTCAGGAAAATGGTTTAATTCTATTTATTTTACTTAGTTATGTACACAAATCGGTTTCTATACATACCAGTTTAGTTATAAGTGAGAAAAGAAACTATAAAGATCATACTGATGAAGGAATTTGGCTGATTCCGCCCGGGAATCTAATTCAGCTGAATGCCGTCCATTGCCGGTAAGAAGATTTTGATGCCAACATTAGGTCAAATTAGTGCCGTTGCCGGTAATGCGGTATTACCTCCGACCACTAGTTTGTTCTATGTCATCCATTGGACTAGGTTACATTGTGGAACTCAGCCAAACACGACACTGAAGGCAGTATTCTGAGGTTATAAAATCTAAATCAAAATAATTTCCCATTTGCAGCCCCTTGTAGATTTCTGGAATTGAACAAAGTAGCGAACGTTGCGATCTTTCAACTTTAGTTCATTGTTTTTCACCACTTTATGTGTTGCGTTTCAATTTACTTATTTCAATGCATCATTTCAAGTTTCATAGCGTAATATCTTGAATAAAGTTGATTTTAAATAGTCAATAGCTTCAGGGGCCCTTCCTACAATATTTGACATCGCTATCTTGGAATATTTTCTTTTATATTCAGCAGCAGATGTCCGAAAATCTCAGTCACGCGATATCAACTAGTAACTAGACACGTGATCAGACATGTGACTGGCAAAATGGACGATCTAAATTTCAATGAGTTCGGCTAAGATCAATATCGATATGTTGTTGCCTTCATTGTCGTGTTTGGCCGAGTTCCACAATTCACATAGTCCGATGGATAGCATAGAACATACTGGTAAGTAGATAACGTGGTTACATCACATCATTTCGTTATTCTATCCATATGAACTGGTTCCCAGAATAAGCGATTTGAGTTTACCATACATTGTCACACCTGTGACAACATATATTTTCATGACCTGTTGGTGAAACTATATATCAACTGGAACAATATATCTTCACACAATAAGTGGCCATATATTAATATGATATGCCTTGTAAATGGCACCATTCATTGTCACAGCCTATATGTGGCACTTATACATTGTCATACCCTGTAGATGGCACCATTCATTGTCACAGCCTATATGTGGCACTATACATTGTCATACCCTGTAGATGGCACCATACATTGTCACCACATATTAGTGATACTATATATTGTAACAGTCTGCAGATGGAACCATATGTCATTACATCATATCCTTGTCACCATTTATTGTTCACTTACCTCTGTTGTCCTCCCCTTCCTCTTCCTCTGCCTACTTGCTGTCCTCCTCTCATGCCACCTCCACGAATACCCCTGAAATATTTTCAGTAAATCATGTCAATACAGCTTTCAGTTTTTGTTTCGTAATTGAACAACAAATACATGTATATGGATGATGGAAGTGAGATACTAAAAATGTATTCTGTCCCCATGAGACTATATGTATTATAACAGCCTGCAGATGGAACAATATATAAAATGCAGGGTAGAAAAACTAGAAAAAAGTAACTCCATGGAGTACCAAATCCCAATGAACAAACAAAAGATGTTTTGATAAATAGCAGCCTTCTTTATAGTGTTTTCTTGAACAGCGCTCCTTTGCCCAAACCCTGAAGTATGAGCATGTAAAATTTGAACTAAATCCATCCACTGGTATTTGAGTTATCAAAGATTATATTATTCACGTAAAATGGTGGCTATTTTAAAATACAGGTGCCATCTTGAATTTTCTTCTTAAGCACTGCTCCTTTGTTCCTAGGCATCAGCATATAAAACTTGAATCAAATCCAATCACTCGTATTTTATAATTATCAAAGATTACATTTTTTATGTAAAATGGTGGCCAATTTGAATTGAGCTGCCATATTGAAAACATAATCAGACACGCAGTTTCATGGAACTTAACCACAAATAAACATGGTGTGTTAACATATATTTGAATATTGTTTTTATTTTCCCAACTCAGAGGCCAGGTAAGGAAAACTGCTGATCACCTACCTGGATTGGGCTCTTCCCCTACCTCTGAAGCTGCAATATAAAAGAACCATGTACAGCTAATGCATACAAAAGAGAAATGGAATTTGTGTAAAATTGAGAGAGATGCATAGGTAGTCTAGCAGTTACAGGAAATGGACTTCACAAAATTTAGTGCAAAACATTTGGGACAACCTGAAATGTAACTGTACTTACTTTTGAACACCACGTTGCTGTTGCTGTTGTCTAAAGGCTCCTCTCTGTTGATTACCTAGAAGTACATGTAGAGTAGATATAAGTACATGTACAGCAGATATAAGTTCTGTATATGTACAGCAGATACAAGCACATGTACAGTAGATTTTTTTTTTTTTTTTTATATGTGATTTATTTCATAGTAAAATAGAATTATTACATACACATGTTGCGGCCTTGCAATGGAGCATTATAAGCCACAATTGAACAGTACAGTAGATGATACAAGCACATTCACATTAGATATTAAGGTCAAAAATCTTGCATACTTATTACTATATTCTCTCTAATGAGCACACAGTGTGGTTTACAAATTTAAATTTAAAAGGGTAAGATATTGAATGATTCCAATAGGTGCACATATAAAAAGTTAGAAAAAAACATTGCCGATAATTTTTCTTATTTTTTATTTTAGTTGTTATCACTAAGGTTTACATACTCTACAGCTCTTGTATTTCTATACAATCATCAATATCTTGGTAAGTAAATAATTGAAACTTATGCTCATCGGAAATGTGTGCTCATTAGAGAGAATATGATATTTTGATTTTGTTTGAAAATATTATAAATGACAAATTCATGTGCCATAAAAGCTAAGCTAATAAAAAAACGGTTGTGTTTGGATCTCCCTCAACAGAGTTAACAGGGGGAAGGAGTTAGGGGGATCTGAGAGTTAACTCTTTAAATAGACTTAGCTCTCCTACATTAAACTTTTACAATTTGAACATTTTACTTAATGAGAAAAAGAAATGCTTCTAATTGCAGGCTTGTGTCATTCACATAAAAAGAGAGAACATTGACTTTGAACATGTGGAAGAATTTTTTACTTGTCAATTTACTCTCCAAATTGAAGGTTTCCATGTTTTATTCCTCTTAGACAATGTAAATACCACTTTTCCAGTGATTTGTCCCAAGCAATGGGATATATTTAGAGTGAACCCCCCAGGCGAAACAATTACAATTACCCCTATTAAGATCAAGGGGAAGATGGTGAAACAATTAGAATTACCTCTATTACCACGGATTCCCCTAATGTTTCCTCTGCCTCTGACCTGGGATAAGTTCAGTCTGGCTTTCACGTTGGCCTTCCCCACTCGTTGCTTGATGGATCGCTACAATAACAACAATAAATCCTGGTATCTCATGCATCTTTGAATGTTTGACTTCAGATTCAAAAAGAGAAAAAAATATTTGAGCAATTTAATGTGCATGTTATATAAATAGTCAATCTTTTCTTTCTAAGACTCACTCAATATACTAAAAGTGTTTACAAAACAAACATCGTGTTTAGGCTTTTGGATTGAAATGTATGATTTTATCATGCAATAAAGTACAACATTAAAGTCACACAATATCGATTTACTTTCTTCAGAGTTTACTCTCAATAATCACTGGTGCTCCACTCGATTATGCTGGTTACCGAAACGAGCCGTTAAGTTAAAGCCATTTAAACTTAAGTTACGTAAATGGAACTTCCAAAAACGGTTAAGATCTGCAATCTGCATAAGTAGCACTTCTTACCCATTCTGTTTATGTAACTTAAGTGAGGTATTAAATCAAAGATTCTGTTGTCTTCTGAACTATTTGTTCGCAAACATGTACATTTACTTGAAAATATGAAACTGACACACATTTGTGACAAAAATGTTGTGGGAATTCTGTCCACAACGCGTGAAATAACGAAAAAAGAAAAATTTGACCTTCGAGGTCCCGACATTTTGCCAGCGTAATCGAGTGGAGCACCAGTGAATAATACTAAAAGTGCAAATTTTACCTTTTTGAGATCAAGCGCTTGTTTGACCCCAGGCCTATTGGCCATTTGTTGTGCCAATCTACGATTTTTCTGGCTTGCCTGTTGAGACTGGGCATTTAGCCTCACTTTTACTTGTTGTTCCTTGGCTGGCACTGGCTTGAATTTTTGGATATTTTGAAATCTTGAGAAAAAAGCAGGGATTATAATAATTAGAGTGCATTTTGTGATATTGTTGGTACCATGATGACAATGGGATAACATGATCCACATGGTGCATTTGTTCATGGTATGTGTACACTTCACCAATATAACCACATTAGGAAATATCAATTGTGTTTGTTTAATATGTATTGATTTTACTTGTCAGAAAATTCAACCAAGCACATGTGCAAAGTTCCGTCTTTTCGTGACAAGTCACCGTGTTGTTTTGTCACAGTGTTGTTGTGGGTGTTTCAGAATTCAACCAAGCATGATGCAAGGTTCCGTCTTCAGAAACAACCCACTGTTTTCTATTGTCTTATATCAGGATTCAGACATGTTTTTAGGCATATCTCCATCTCCCATAATAAGACAGATGAATTTACAATATATCGTTACATGCTACATGAAACCATGAAGAAATATATATTATAGATTTACAATAAATGACACTTAAAAATATCAACAAGGCTTTAACATGCAAAATGTCACAACCTGTCATTTGTAACAGACACTGAATGCCAAACACAAGACACCAACTGCCAAACCCTATCCATAAAAAAGTTGGAGACCAAAACAATTTGTGATATAATAAATGGACCACAAAAGGGTTTAACTAGCATTGCATTGTTACAAGACAGAATTACTGACATAGAAAAATTTACAAACTGACAAACAATGTACAAAGGAACAATCAACTGTAGGAACGATCAAAAATTCAAAGGATGATGTTTTTCCTTTATTACAATTTTACAACTAAAAAGAAATACTTGACAGGCTCATGAGACATGAATTTTCAAGGTATGACATTAAGAATAACCTGAAACGATAATTATGAGAATTCCATTGTAAATGTATCATTATTTCTTGCCCCAAGACGCATAGAAGTCTTCCAGCTCTAAATGATACAAATGCATACGAGGAAAAGGTGAACTGCAAAGACAGTAGGAATATAGGGATTTTAGAACAGAATGATCAGAGCATTGAGAGCAAGCACAATTTCCAAATACAGGGGCTCAGACACCATCCCACTTCCTTGTTCCCTTTCTTTTTGAGGGGGTATTTAGTGGATGAAGACTAGACCCCTGCACTTCGGAGGATGTGAAAGAATGGAGAGCCAGGACATATCCTGCTATAAATGAATCACAAAATTGAATGAATTCAGACAACATGTCCGTCACGGATGATACAAATGACACGCACTTTATGCAACATCCATAAAGAAACAGATTCTAACTTGCAAGAGAATTTCAGGATGAAATGTAGCACTGAACAAGAAACAATAATGTTAAAAGTTTAACTAACATGGACTGAAGTTCTTGGTTAGCCTGAGAAACCATATCGATTTGAAACAACATGTACCAAAAACAAAATATGTACATCAACAAGTTTGTTGTGGATTAACTTAGACATGTACCTGTACATTTATACATGAAGGAAGAAGATGAAAAGACACTAGCAGATTGAAAATTAGTTAATCATAATGTAGGATACTACAGGTACTAAAGACGATGTTCACATGTACACAGTATACGTAATTATATAGAAGATCATGTGGTACATATTAATACATGGACTTTGATAATAACCTCAAAAATTCAATCTCACATTTGTCCGATTCCTTCTTTTTGAGCTATAACAAAGAATAATGCACACAAAGAGAGCTGTTGTATCAACCCATATGTAATGATTTTTAGATCTATATACCATCATTTGGGAAGTTACCAACTCTTATATATTCTCAAGATCTTATTTCAATGCTTAAGTCGCATCACAATATGGCATAGTGGGCTACAGATCTCATTGGGGAGAAATGTGCCAAAATATAAGCCTATTGTGGACTTTCATTGTGCCAGTTTGCAATGGTTGATATCACAAGCAGGTACCCATGCATATTTCATGATACTGGCACTGCATTAGGCAAATGGCCTCATATATGCTCAGTTGTGATTTTATATTGGGAGATATCCCATTTGAGCAGACTAATTCCATCCTTTGGTTCTCACCTATCATTCAGACTAATCTTAGTTGTCGACTTCAGTATTATTTTGTTCATAGATGCCATTTTCTGAAATAAAGTTAAGGCAAATATAAAATGATTATATCACATCGGAACTGAAGACCTCTGTATGACGTCATACTTCTTAACTGATAAGTACAACGGCGTGACGTCATATTATTTCAAAGCGAAATTTCAAAACACAAAATATATGCAGTTTAAAAACATCATCGGATAACCAGGGCAGACAACCCACAATCACAACTGACCAAATCAAAATGCTTAAAAATCCTAGACATGTGATAAAATCGTCATCATACGTTTCAGCTTTCAGATACAGGAAATATTCCACTCGGGTAACCATGTATCACCCCTCAAGCTACGCTTCTGCCCTGTCAACCCTGAGAAATTAGGCGTGATTGTCACGCATTTGATGGAAAAATTGAAATCACGCATTAATTTGGCGTGTATGATAAAATGTCGCGCAAATCATGCTTTATGTTGATATTTAAAAAAATCTGACTTTCATAAAACGCCGATACGGTTAAAAACGAATGCCGAAAAAAGTGAATGCATTCCGTTCAGACTTCACTCGAATTCCATATATGTCACGTATTTGCTTCGAAATTTTGGGTTTTTGGCCTGCTTATGTGGATGATACAATGTAACTTTTCGGGAATATTTCCTGTTTCACATGCTGAAACGTGTTATAACTGGTAGTATCATGAAACCTCTTGATGATGATCATCATCATGCCACATTTTCACTTCCGGTTTATAAAAAAATTTAAAAAAAATTCTTGTTCACATAGTTGACTAAATTCTCAGACAAACATAAAATAACCCATTCAAATAGTTTGGCCTTATAATATTCTATTGTAACACCTTATTTTGATAAAGGATACACAATATGTAGACGTATAGATGACGATGTATAGGAAGTGTTGAAAATTTCGAACAGAATATCAGCTTCCGGTAAACTGCGCATGCGTAGTACGTTGAATTTTTAATTTTTTTTATTATTTCGGACTTTTTAGGCATTTTTATGGAATTTTAATGTAACGAAATTAAATCAGCATATTTAAATAATTCAAACACGGCCAAATATTTCAATTTAAACCGAAATAAGAAATAAAAAGAGTTTTATCTTGCCTTTCATTGACCAATCAGAGAGCTTAAAATTCGAATAGTCGAAATTGTAGGGGTGATTAATTTGAATTCTTTTGATATATCAAGAAGTTATAATTACGATTACCATATAGTGATAAATTTCAGTATGAACAATATAATAGTTTTATTCAATTCTTTCTTTTTTATAATATTTTAAGTATTTGTCATCATAAAACGTCCATAATTTAGCCTGCTCTCCCTAGTGACGTAATGGGATGTCCTGGTGACCACCATAACAAGTTGAACATTTTCCATGAAAAAAGTTACAGACCTTTACCAATAAAAACAGCAAAATGGTAAGCGAAGTTAAACTGTAAACTATAAAGTTTATAAGACTATATGCCTTTTAAGCAGTATGAACAAATTCATTCACATTTAATCTATAAATGAATGATTTTTGGCCTTTCAAAGTGACAGTCGAAAATTTTCATGATTTTCATTTTTCTCAACGTGAATCTCACCTTCTCAGATCAGCAGTCATATCAGTTATGAGCTATGTGTGAATCTGTCTCGGTGTCTGTGTACTCATATATGGACTGACTGGCTCAACATAGTCTACCCGTATAGCACAGTGGTAGCCTTGAGCACATGTACCAATTACGCATGTACTCTACAGTGGGGGACAAAAATAAAACTCAACGTTCACAAGTTGTCACAATGAGCTAATTTCCAAGTTTCGTGTCTCAAACTCTCCCAAGCGGTAGAAAAATAATTCCCGTTCACTAAAGTAGCACAATAAATGAATCCAAAGCTTCATACCTGCAAATAATGGATAAATCCCTACCAAATCGAATGAATGTTTTCACGAATCGCCATGTTTGTTATCCAAGGACAGTTGACTCCCAGAATGCAACATCAGTAACCGCATTTACTCATGACAGGTTTCAAAATGGCGGAACAGCATTTTGAAAGCTGGCACGTGTCATGTTGCATTCTGGGAGCCAATCCTCCGTTCCGGCGCAATCGGTAGACAAAATCACCTCAATATTTGAAGAGTCGGCATAACATGTGAATATCCACTTCAACTTTTGAAGTTCTTATTTGTCATAAGGGACACAAATTCCACTACATTTGGACTTACTAAGACGGAGAAAATAGAGCACTGAATACACTGAGGTAATAATTTATTACATGTGTGACAGCATGTCATTTTCATAGCTTTTGCAATTCTTTATGATCCCCACTGTAGGCTCGAATTTGATCCCCGGTTCAGGCACTTTGCTTGTGGGTTTGTAGAAAATACCGGGTAGTAAATCCTCCATGCTGGATTCAAACATATTAAGTTAAATATCATTAGAAAGCCTCTGTCGTTTCCCAGCTAACAAATTTACATTGTGATAACGTCGTTAGAATACAGTGCTTTCAGTAGGCTGTCAAAAGTGCTTCCCTGGGATGGATTGATTTTCCAAAATTGCGTCCTCCCTCAAAAAAGTGGGTCCCCATGAAAAAAGGTTCCCGGGAATTCAAAGTCACATTTTTGCACTGAACAAAAAAATTGATGAAAAGTTTGTATCAGTTTTGTTATTTTTTGGCCCAGATCAGTGTTCTACACACGTCTAGTAGGTCATTAAATGATGCAGATACCTTCATTTGAAAGAGATAACTAATATTCAACCATTAAATACCATTTTTCTTCACGTATTTCAAAGCAACTTGCTATTGATTTTGATCGCTCAGAAAGTTTCACTCGGAGCAATTTCCGTGAGATGTGAAGGTGTCTTTTAAACTTCAATGTGTTTAATGACAAAAAATGTAGATGCAGTGATGAGGTCACATACTTCATTGCTTGAAACAGTGACTTCTCAGAGTATATCTAAAAGATACCCTTATCTCCCCCTAAATTAGATAGTGAATTGAAGTCAATTGTCCAAATGAAATCAAAGGAATAACTAGATCTAGGTCAAGTAGAACTAAGATTATTTGAAAATATGTCCCCAGTTTATTTTATGCAATTGCATTTTAAATTAGTAATTTTCTATTATTCATAGTGCAGCTTTTGAAGGCTAACAACAATCATACACAATTGCTTGTATCGATATTCGAAAAAGTTTATTGTGGGACCCCTAATGTATATACAGGGGGGTTTGATGTGATAAGGTCCTTTGCTGTTAAGTCCTACTTGTGGTTCATGAAACAATTTTCATAAATATTAACCAACATATTTTGGTTTTTCAGACAACAGTAAGAAGAACTTTCCAGACGCACAGTCAGCGTAATGCACGCATGGACCAAACCAGGCGTGAAGAGGAGATGAGGGAAGACACAATAAAACAACTGAGCCAGGAGAAGATGCTTGAAGCCAACATGGCAAGTGAGGATAGGGTTGAAGAGAAAAGGTTCCTGAGAAGAATGCAGATGGCTGATAAAGAAAGAGAAATGCAAGATTCAATATTAAAGGTATGCTGCTTAAAACCCAATTTTCTTAATTAAACAAAAGTGCTGTTCCAGAACTGTAATACCCATCTTTGGTTGCACCATGTGGTATCACTATAGCCATATGTAGTTGCATTATTAGAGCCATCTGTTGTAGCCAGGTAAATTTGGCGATACTGTTATACCCAACTAGCTATAGTTTTGTTGAAGCTATAAATATATTATACTTGACATTTTCATATCAAGAAATGTTAGCAATGTTTTTAAATTTGTGCTCTCTAAATTCAGGCTGAAAGGGATCGTATCATAAAAGAAGAGCAAATGCTACAAGAAGAGAGGATGGCAATGGAGCTTGAGAAAATTAAACTTGAGGGAACGAGGGATGAAAAAATGAGACAACAAATCAGGGAAAATAGTATTGAACTTCGTGAATTAGAAGCCAAACTTAAGTCAGCTTACATGAACAAAGAGCGTGCTGCACAACTTGCAGAGAAAGATGCCTTGAAGTATGACAGAATGGTAAGTCAATGCTACTCAGATATATAGTACTGTGGGTCAGTTGATCTCACATTTGTGACCCTTTCTGGACTTTGGGACTGGAACCTGCCAAGTCAGGTTGAGCTATGGTGGTGAACATGGTCATCTGATCTCTAAGTTACTGACTTGCTTCTATTTTATTAAAAACAAATGTACAATATTCACCCATAGAATGATATTGCAAATTCTAAGAATAAGTCAGTGGGGAACAATAAGACCTTAATTGTTCACATAGAAAATAGTGATACTTACTCTGTTATTTAAATGAATTTTACACATCATTATCTCAATTAATAAGTGCCCCCACCCCTCATCTACAATCACTGGAGGTAGGCCCTACCTGGATATTTTTTGTCAAAGGACTTAAGCAAGACTACTGAAGAAGGGAAAAGTAACATTTAAAAAAGAACAAAAAGAACAAAAATATGAACATGAGAAGATATTACCAGATTATATACCCTGAATTACAATTGACTATCATTACAAATGATTTTATCATTATGAGACTAAAATGATCTTACTGATCTTCAATGTCCTTTCATGACCTTTTATGGACTTTGATTGTGAAATTTATGTTAATCACTTATTCTGGCAGAATATGTAGGGTTGCGATTTTCTGACTATAATATTTATTGCATATTGATAGATCAATGAATTACCTCAAATTCAAAGAGGGTAAATGAACTAGTGAACTTGAGCTTTTTCAGAGGGTAGATTATACCAAGAGATTAACTTTGTATTGCAGGCAAGGGAGGCTGAGATAGCGCGCCAGATGAAGACAGAGAATGAGAGAGCACAGTCCGCCGAGAGAGATCGGGAGCTAGAACGCTTTCAGGAACAGATTCGGTACCAGCAGGAGCTAGAACGACAGTTAGAGGTAAAATATCATGAAATATATTTTCATTTTAAAGTTTCCATAGTACTTATCAGCTATAGCCTAGCAATGATGGCAGCTCATCATTGATGGCATAGAAGTGTTAGAAATAATTCCCAATTTTTGTTGAGATATAGATTTAATTTGAGGCTAATCTCGTATACGTATTTGATATAATTGAATTTATAAAATAAGAGCAATAAGCATAGAATAATAAAAATGCTCATGGGTATAGTGAAATATAAACGTACATGTACATATCACAATACAAATGTACAATTGTATAAAGCACAATATAAATGTTTGCAACATAAATTTAAAGTACAATAATAATAAAATAATATCCACTTTCAGTAGTTCAAGTACAGTACATTCTTTAGAGTAAAACATGAGTTTTCAAAAGTATAAAAATTGAAAGAAAAATACATTTCTGTTCTCCATGTTTGTCTTTTATGATTTCAGGAACAAGAGGTTAAGAAACAACAAGCCTATGAAGAGTTCCTGAAAGAAAAGCTCATGATTGATGAGATTGTGCGTAAGATATACGAGGAAGACCAAAAGTGAGTAACCCCTGATAATACTATACATGGTGTGACAACTAATAAGGAAATCCAATGCAAGGATATAGATTGAATATCACGTGAAGATGTATTTTGATATGTGGATCAAGATATCATTTTTTGGGAAAAAAACTCCAAACCATCGAATATCAATTCTTAAAGTGATATTCCATGATTTCAAAAGTGTTATTTGATGGTTTCGATTTTTCAATTCTGCAAAACGATTTTTCAAAATACTCATTTCTTTATCTGATTGTTCAATGTTCGGTGGGTTATGATTTCCCATGGGATGAACGGGCAATCCTATAAAATAACTAACAGTATAATAAAACAGTACAATTTGTCATATCCTGTTTAAAATCTCAAAATCCAAATTCATCCCTTTAGATCAAAAAGATAAAATGGAGGCTGTTGTCATTTAGTGTTAGAACTTAGTAAAATAATGTGTATCTTATGAATAAATCTTTTCATATAAGTCCGTTTTTTTTTTAAATGCAGCCTTATTAAAATATAAAATACAGATGCTAGAGCTTTGCACATTTTATTCACCCTTGACACATGCTTTTTGGTTTTCAGTGAACGTGAAATTGCTCTTCAGAAAAGAAAAGCCACACAAAAATATATTGAAGAATTTAAAGCCAAACGTCAAGTTTGGAAAGACATTGAAAAACAGAAAATGGAGGAAGAAAATCGTAAAATCATGGAATTTGCTAAAGTCCAGGCTGAAAGGGAGGCATTACGCCAAGATGAAAAGAAAGAGAAAGACGAAGCAATGGCCAAAGTGCAACAATCAGTAAGTACATATTCATCGGGCAGTATTTTGTATACTTTCATTGTAATTCCCTTTGTCATGATGCTTGTGTGGATGTTCTCATGATTTTTGCCTTTAGAAACTGATATGTGTACACTTCTAGTACATTCCTATAATATTATGGTAATTAGACAAAATAATCTTGTCTCATAATTTAGCATTTATTGATTTCACATTATTTCGACTTTTATTGAATATACAACTGAATAGTCCTTTAAAACTACATTAATTAATGTTTCCCATTCACTGTATATTATATAAAACATCCTTATTACAGCTTGCTGAAGATATTGCAAGACTCGAACAGGAGAGGACAGAGATGGAGAGGATACGTCAGGAGCTGGCCCTTGAAGAACAAGAGGAGGCTGAGAGACAAAAGGAGAAAGATGACATGGAAAATAGAATTAGAGCCAGACTTGACCTACAGGCTTCATATGAGAAACAGCTTGAGTATAAGGTAATTGCGAATATCCTAGACACATTTTGAGTTAAGTGTATGTGTGTGAAACAGCTTGAGTATAAAGTATATGTGTGATCGTATAAGACATTAAGTATAGAGAAACAGCTTGAGTATAAGGTAATTGTGAATATCCTAGACACATTTGAGTTTAGTGTATGTGTGTGAAACAGCTTGAGTATAAGGTATATGAATATACTTGACACAATTTGAGTTTAGTGTATGTTTATGTGAAACAGCTTGTGTATAAGGTAATTGTGAATATCCTAGACACAATTTGAGTTTAGTGTATGTTTATGTGAAACAGCTTGAGTATAAGGTAATTGCGAATATCCTAGACACATTTGAGTTTAGTGTATGTGTGTGAAACAGCTTGAGTATAAGGTATATGAATATACTTGACACAATCTGAGTTTAGTGTATGTTTGTGTGAAACAGCTTGAGTATAAGGTATATGAATATACATAATGACACAATTTGAGTTTAGTGTATGTTTGTGTGAAACAGCTTGAGTATAAGGTAATTGTGAATATCTTAGTGACAGTTTGAGTTTAGTGTATGTGTGTGAAATAGCTTGAGTATAAAGTATATGTGTGATCGTATAAGACATTAAGTATAGAGTATTCATCTGAGAAACAGCTGGAGTAGAAGTTAGATGTGTGATATCATAGAAACAGTTTGAGTATAAGGTATTTATTAACCTATATAGGTAGGTTTCATGAAAAATAGATTGAGAATAAGTTCAGTGTGTGTAAATATCACAAAAACAACTTGAGTATGAATCTTTTCAATGTTCATATATCCAAAACATAAAAACTGCATAGTTTTTGGACAAAATTACTGATCAAATTCAAACTTTCTATTTCCAGTATATGTTTGTCAAGTACTGCATTCATTAATTTTATGAGGTGCTCTCTTTTTCATTATAATGATTTCAATAAACAATTTTGTAAAAATAACTTTTCATTTCCAGCGTTTGCGTCAAGATGCTGAACTACAAGAGGAAGAGGAGTTCAAGAGACAGATGTTGGCCAAGTTTGCTGAGGATGATCGTATCGAGCAAATGAATGCTAACAAACGTCGCATGAAGCAATTGGAGCACAAGCGAGCTGTGGAGGAGTTGTTAGCACAGAGACGTGCGCAATATGCTGCAGATAGGGTAGGTTATAGACTTCATTTTGTCTACTTAATACTTTGATGATAACTTCAAGCTAGTAATATAAGTAGGTATAATGTAAGTATAAGGACAAAAATAGAACATATTATATGTGATTCTTGAATTACTGAACAATTTATTGCCATAAAACATAATCCTAGAAAAAATATTTATCAACTATTTTATGCATGCATATTTACTATTGTTCTCTCAGTCTCCCTAATATGTAGTACTGCTTGTGTAATGGAATGTCATTTGTGCTGTTCGATTTCAGGAACGCGAGCTTGGCGAAAGACAGGAAGAGGAGCGTTTGGAGGAATTCCGCAGACAAATCGTGGAACAGGAGAGGATCAAGCTTCTCAAAGAACATGCACACAAACTTTTGGGGTATCTACCAAAGGGGGTTATCAGAGACACACAAGATCTCGAAAACCTGGGTAGTGACTTTAAACAAGAATATACCAAGAGGAATATAGACCCGTTTGATGAGAGTGCATTTGAAAATACTCAAAGTAGGAGGTTCTAATCTAGCGTAGTAATTAATGAATTATTTGATGCCGGAAATGATGAGACACTTCTGAGGTCAGTATTTGGAATCATCATAACTTAAGATTTGGTTGCAAGCAGTCATTGTTAATCAAAAAATCATAACAATTTTCTATGAATCGTAAGTTATGAGTGTCCCAAAAAAGATCTCTTATTAGAAAGACTGAAAGGATGGAGAATGCACAATTGGAAGAAATATGTATAATTTCATTCTCCTGTTTTATTTTTTATAAACAGTTTTCTTCAGAGTTTAATATTTATCCGTCCATATATAAAATCTCAACATTTCTAGATTTATCCTTCAATATATTTCTCAACATTCCAGGGATAGGGCGGAAATGATAATGTGATGATCAATCAAGAAAATGGAAGGTTTCATTGCCACACCATTCCATCTCATTTGAATTTAAATACTTATAGGTCTATGTGTAAACATGACTTGGGCCAAAAGAGGGAATATTTTAACTCAATGCAATTTGAATATTTTGAGTATCATGATCGCATGAATAAATCAGTGATCAGAAAATCTGTGGTTTTGATACACATTTGTGAGATCACATGCCAGTCCAGAAAGTCCTGTAAATATTGTAAATATGACTTAACTGAGACTTACATGCTCAACATGCTCACAGGCAAAAATGTGAAAGAACTAGAGAACAAGGAGGCAATGTCATCCATAAAGATAATTGTCGGACAAAGGAAGGCCTGCATCGAGTTGCAGACAATTACCTATATGGACGACATTGCCTACCTGTACTCTAAATTCTCACCTTAATCTACCTTTTTATAGCAAATCTTATATTAAGATGAAAATCACTACTGGTGTCAAAAGTGATATTTCCATCAAATATTTTGTGTAATGTACAGTATATTGTTGTTGGATATATGGTTAAAAATAAATAATCCAATATAAAAAAAATTAATAAAATTGAAGTTTGTGATATTTTTGTTCTGTAAAGCCAATATACACTTGAACAGCATCCTGGGCTTTTGCTCTGGTAGTTTTTTGGCATTTTGCTTCAAAGAAAAAATGGTTGCTTATTTTGTGATACCAATTCACAGAGGAAAAATATTGACATTTTGAGTTTTAACCAGACTCATTGGACCATGGTCAAGCTATTATCAATCTGTCACAGCTCAGCCAATCAGTGATAATAATAATGGTCAGTTTGAATGTTCAGCATTTAAGTATCCACATTGTCTGCTATATATATAATAGAGATACAGCCTGATGTTTGTTTACTTCTAGGTGAATAAGAGATTTGATTGGCTTGTATTTTAAGTTTCAGTTATGCTCGACAAAGATTTTGTCTTATTTACAAAAACTTAACAACATTTTCAGAATGTGATTTAAAATTTATATTCATTATAGATGCATGTGATTTTGCAATAAATTTAACATTTGATTTACATTTGAGCTGATTACATTAAACAGATACTATTCTAGTAGATATAACATCTAATCATTTAGTGGGCACAAAACGATGATTATGATTGTGAACTCGAGACATAAGTCTCTTAACTTCATAATTTCAGACCCCATATTTTGCAAGAGTCCTATTTCATTTGTTGCTTTCTTGTCAAAGAATTCCACATTTGTACAACTGTACACAGAACACAAGCAGCGGTTTGATAAAAAGAAGTTATTCACCAGGAGGAAATTGATATGGGGAATATTACAAGAATGATATCAATATTATATCATCCCATGGATATTCCTCATATCATCCCGACAGGTGAATAACAACCATATACCGTGGTCAAGAGCAATATCTACCTAAAGTCCTCTGTTGAATGAGAGAAAAATTTTTGACTTTCAGGAATATTTAAGTTACATATTATCCCGCCCTGACGTGTATTGAGAATTTTGGAAAATGAAAGACATTATACCTAAAAAATTTGAAAAATTAAAATTATTTTTAAACCCAAAAATTGAAAAAATGAATATGTTCGAAAAAATGAAATTTTTTTGAGAAAATGAATTTTTTTGAAAATATGAAAATTCTTTGAAAAAAATTAAAATTAAAAAAATGTAAAATTTTTGAATTTACCCAGGATGATATCAATATCATCCCTGTCCCAAATATGTGATTTATCACTAGCTATTATATACCTGATATTGCTCTGACCATGGTATAAATGGAGGTTATTTAATGGGAGGTTTTTGATACAGGGTATATCTGAGGGAAATACAATATATCTACCTGAGGAACCGTTGGGACCGTGGTGATTTTAAAAATTCAACAGTTTTTAACATAATGAGGAAAGAATCACCATACGAAATTCCCGGGTATTGCTGATGAACGTGTGATATATATATCTCCAGCTCACTTCAGATGTCACTTATATTCCCACATATTATTTACCAATAACACTACTAAGTATGGGATAATGTTCTTTATTTCATCTTCAACTTGATCTCGATCACTTCTCGTGTGGTTTGGAATTTTTTGTTTGGAAATAAGACCAAAACTCATGATTCAAATTTTGAAGTGCACAAATGGCAGATATTTGAATTCTAATTTTGCAATCACAACATTTCCTTATATAGCAGAATATCGAGTTGCAAGTCTAGGATCCATTCCTCCTTGGGTTTTGAACATAAAAACTATGAACTTTACAGCAGCCATCTTTACATTGGTCCTAAACCTACAGGTATAGTCTATGAGTCTGCTTGTTGAGCTTTGGCAGCTTCAGCAGCTGCCTTATTAGCTTTAGCTTGAGCTTGTAACATACGTTGTCTCCTTAATGAATCAGCAAGTTTTTTATCTCCATTTCCCTGGACCTGTTGCCTGTATGCATCTCTTATAATCTTAAATGCTTGAACATTGGCATAAGGTGAGTTTGTTATAGGATCATAGTATTTAGCAGGAAGGCGAGTTACTGGACAATAGGATTTCACTTTAGGCTTTGGTTTAGTGTTTGGGAAATATTCATCAAATGTGCGTTCATCTGTGAAGGTTATAAAAGTTCTTGAGCATTTCTCTGTCTCTACTGGTGGTTTCACAGGCTGAGGTTCTCTGGAAATAATCAAAGGCCCACATTTGGTATTGATATTGATAAAAATTACAAAATCATGGTTGTATTTTACATTGGTTTAGAAAAACAAAAACTTAGTACATATTTATAAAAATCATAATAATCACTCTGAAAATCACAAAAATGGAAATTCTCGGCAACATGCGTGCCTTTTACTAAAGTGAGTATAATTAATTGTTTTTTTACTCCTCTTATTAAGCATTATTATCCTTTGAGTCTGGCACACAAAAACAATTAACTTACAGTTCAGTTTCTACATTGATTTCTGAAGATTCTTCCACAACCGGCATAGAAGTGGAATGGTAGCGTATGATTGGTCCTCTGTACACAGATTTAACTACACGAGACTTCTTCCTCTCTAGTTCAAGCTTTTGGTAATCCTCTATAAATAATATACAAAGTGTTGATGATTGTACTTGTATAATCCTCAATAAACAATATACAAAGTGTTGATGATTGTACTTGTATAATCCTCTATAAATAATATACAAAGGGTTGATGATTGTACTTGTATAATCCTCAATAAACAATATACAAAGTGTTGATGATTGTACTTGTATAATCCTCTATAAATAATATACAAAGGGTTGATGATTGTACTTGTATAATCCTCTATAAATAATATACAAAGTGTTGATGATTGTACTTGTATAATCCTCAATAAACAATATACAAAGTGTTGATGATTGTACTTGTATAATCCTCTATAAATAATATACAAAGGGTTGATGATTGTACTTGTATAATCCTCAATAAACAATATACAAAGTGTTGATGATTGTACTTGTATAATCCTCTATAAATAATATACAAAGGGTTGATGATTGTACTTGTATAATCCTCTATAAATAATATACAAAGTGTTGATGATTGTACTTGTATAATCCTCAATAAACAATATACAAAGTGTTGATGATTGTACTTGTATAATCCTCTATAAATTATATACAAAGGGTTGATGATTGTACTTGTATAATCCTCAATAAACAATATACAAAGTGTTGATGATTGTACTTGTATATTGTTATTCTAAGGATGCAAGCAGACAAAAATTTGACATCACCAAAAAACACTTTTTTGTATTCTGTACAGTAATTATTACGTACACATAACTGTTGGACATACATGCAAATATTGCCACAAAAAGTTATTTTAAGTTTAATTATTTCAATTTGTTAATTGTATCCACACAATTATTTGCACACAAGATTTTCTCATTTCATGTGATCTGAAATTGTAAAGAATTGAACAGCTCCCAGCATAAGATTATAAATTGTTCATAAATAATGCACATCTATGATCAACATCTGGGATATAAAATAGACTCACCCAAAGATTTAAGGTTCATTGCTTCTGTGAGTTTTGCTTCTTCTAGTAGTTCTGCTTGAGTTAACCGTCTCACCTAGAAAAAACACTAATTTCAATCCACAGAATTTAAGTGAAATGTTTTCTACATGTAAAATTCCTGCATTTAAAATTATGAAATTATGAATTCACAAACAATTTCAGCATTCCTACACTTTTTGTAACCCTAGAAATGATTAATAATTTTGGAAGATCCTGCCAAAATAACCTCGACTGAAGTTACGTGTGTTTTTGAAAATATTGTGACTTTTTTATATTTAAACTTTATTTTCAACTCTTCAAAATTTACATTACAATTATTGTGGTGACTTAAGAACTTAAAGTAAGGGGAGGCATCAAAAGGTCGATGTCGGATAGAAAACTAAATAAATCTAGTTAGGGGGAGGGGGTTCAAACCCATTTCAGTTTGCTATCCGACAAATTTCAACATTTCAAATTTTTGACAATTTTGACTCAGAATGCCTTGGAATGGTTTAAAAATACGACATTGAACTTTTGATGCCTCCCCTAATATGCCAAATTCATAAAAATTTTCTAGAAAATAACTCCTGACATACCTCTGAAACATTCTTCTTGGCTGCCATCTCTTTCAACATCTTAGCTTTTGCTTCATTGTCCTTTGCTCGCATCTGGACATCAATAGACTTCATAGTGGTTGATTGACGTAATGATTTTTTCTCTGAAAAGCAGATTGTGTTTAAAGATTCAGTACAACAAGTATTTAACAAACACAGAATGCAGCAAACAACATTCTTATGTGACTGTATATTTCATTTTGTAGCCTCGCTCGCTTGTTTATGAGTTGATTGACAGATTACGATTGAGACTTCATTTTCACTGGTGGGGAACACTTAAAAAATTGTCTTGTTTTGATCGAATATCGGTAAAACTACACCATGGTTTGTAATCATTGGGGACAGGTAAATAAGGTATGTCCCTTTGAAGAAAATAGATCAAGTTCTACCAGTCCAATCTTTTTGAAATGTCTCGGACCAAGCTGAAATCTCCTGGTCAAATGCCGTCAGTCTGCTGCTTAAGGAAACCCCTGTTTGTACCCCCCCTCCCATTACACACCTCCCTGTGTAAGAAGTGTTCAGTACCTATGGAGTCAAGTAGTGGGAGGGGAAGGGGGGGGGGTCACAGGGCTTGTAGCTAGACTATAAATTTTGAATATAAAGATTATTTGTGGTGGTCTATTCCTATGTGAACATACCTGCGGAGTAGATCTGAGCTGAAGACATATCAGGTTTCTTCCTCCTTTTTAACTTATGTTTCTTTTTCTCTGCATTGTCATCTTTAACATCTTCCTCCGTCTTCTTTACTTTCTTGACTGGTTCCTACAAGAAAAGCAATATGTCAAATTTCCGATTGTCTAAACAAAATGCCTCAATGTCATTAATTATTATTTCCATATATGTACATGTAGTTTGTTATTACTTTTTGTACTCTTTTTATATGTCTGTAGTTATAACTGTATAATTGCCTATTGTATTAAAGATAATGCTCATTTCACATTTTATTGCTTATTATACAAATTAAAACATAAATCAGAAGTCTCATCAAACAGCAGGTCCTATTTTAAGAGTAACTTGTCAGAATAATTCTATAATTTCATATTTTAGTCTGTGTATATAAGTCATTAATCAGTATAAAATATCTGAACCATCAAAATCAAATGTAAAATAGTACTGGAGTTGCTCACTCTATACGCCTTAGTCTCAACTCCTTTCCTTTTCCTCTTGGGCTTGGAGTCATCATCTTCATCACTCTTAACGTCATCATCTTCTGAGACATCAAAGTCAGAGTCTAGGACATCAGAGTCCTGGTCTTCATCTGAGGTATTGAAGTCATTATCCTCTTCCTCCTGAAAAAATGTATCCATAAAAGGTGAGTTATGTATATAAGGTGAGTTGTGTTTATTAGGTGAGTTAGGCATAGAAGGTGAGTATTAAATGTATGATGAATATGTATTTGCAGTGAATTGTGTATAGTACATCCTATAGACTGCAATCAGTTTTTAATTTTTCCAATGTACATAATTAAATTTAACAGAAATATCAATGATATCTTTTATACACAGAATTATCTTAGTGAAACAAAGAATTTACGTCATTAAAGCCGCCATATGTAGTGGTGTAGAACTCATCTTCCTCCTCATTCTCTAAAAGTCTGGACATCTTGTTGCCAGCGGTAACCCGCTTCTCTCTTCCTGTTGCTAGAGACATCCTTGAAGTTCTTTGTCATCTATATGATCTATGAAATCAAGATATACTACTATAAACTACTTTTAAATTATACTTCCTATCACTCAGTAGGACAACATCAAAAAGAGTCAAAACTAAGTCTAGGTGACTATTCTAAATTCAAGTACACAGGGGCATTCTCAGCCACGGGACATTCCTGGACAAACCCTTGACATCAGGCGAAAATCCAGAGCATTTTAGACCCTTTACAATATATATCACTGTATTGATAAAACTAGTACATGTAGTGTAACGATTGACTTGTTGACTCATTTATTGATCGCATTTAATCCTCTATAAGTGAATAATTTGAGAGATTCTGATGTTGAAGAATCTTGATTCCATCTTCCATTCACGATTTTGCCATGAATCATGTACGTATTCCTCACTGGATGATATATTACAATGCATTGTACTTACATCAATCTATTTGCACGTTTTTCTAATGAATAAATACTATCATTTCAGTGTTTTGCCATTTCTTTTTAACCATTATCGCTTAGCTGACTTTGAGCTATTGTGCATCAACTCTGCACAATTAACAATACCAAATTACGAGATCCATGATCAAGTGAATCAAAGGTTAAGGCCTTACAACACGAATACACTAGATAAAACAATGTTTAATTTGAAGTTCCAACAAAGAAATCATATAATACAAAGAATTATTGAAGATCGTCCGACAATGCTCCATGTCAGACGATATACCTATGCACTCTTATTGCTATATACAAAAGTTCCACAAGTCTAAAACACAAAGAGGTTACTCCCGTCGAGAGCTACCATGTTAGATTTTGAAAGTATAGCTCTCTATCGCTAGAATCAACAGCTTAAGAATCCTGACTTCAAAGAAAATTCCGGGGAATTCAGCTGACTCATGTTGCACATTACCTGAAAATGTATCCTACATCGCCATCTTTCATTCAGCTCAAGTATAGAACGTCTCACTGCCCTATGTATGGATCAGGACTTCATTTTATTGGTCGTGTCAAAAATTTTGGCCAGGTATATTCAATATGGCGGCTTGACGTTTCCAAAGTTGCGCATGCGTCGTTAATATTTCCGTTTAACCGTCATATTGGAAATGGGTATCAAACAATGAATTCAAAAAAAGATTAGAACTCCTGATCTCCATAGAAGCACATCAGCAATCCTACATGCACGGGGAAAGTAGACACATATGAGTAGGGGTGAGACGACAACCCGATGAGTCGAGGACTCGCGGGTTTGGGGCTTCGAGTCGAGTCGAATCGAGTCGAAGTTGATGAATCGAATCATTTTCGAGTCGAAAAAATAAAAAAATTCAGAAAAATACTGTCAATATGCATGTTTTTACTCGATATTGCGTTGAATATATAAGTTTCAATGACTTGGATATGCTTGTATTAAATTATTATATTGTATGTACACATAAATGAAAGAATATATGTAATAAAATCAGAATAAACTTACGACGAATTGTGTTTGTTTATATTTCCGGCTTTCCACCATTGACGCATTAAAAATACGAACGGTCAAAAGCGATGTTGTTCGCACTTTATTTGACTCGAAACGGATTCGAAACTCGAATCGTCATTTTCTGACTCGAATCGGATTCGACTCGAATCGGATTTTTTCGACTCGTCTCACCCCTACATATGAGCCTATATGTAGGCTACAGTTTGAGACAAACAGTAAGCCGCTGAATGGCGCTGATCCAATTTAGATGTCACAATTCTTCAGCTGGAGATCCTCACGATGGAGAGCTATACTTTCAAAATCTAACATGGTAGCTCTCGACGTGAGTAACAAAGAGGTATTTGCACAAAGCTATCTCTAAAAGATGGCTATGTGCAAATGTAGTAACCTGAAATGTAGACTTCAATGAAATGAACTGTAAATGATGACTGAAAATACAGGTTATTACATAAAGAGGTATTTACAGCCTTCATAAATGGGGAACAGAATACAATTTTAAGATTCAAAATCTACATAACGGTCCAGCAGTGATTCTCAGTAAGTTTCCCCCCTTTTTCAAAAGTAAACAAATTGAAAAATGAAAATAGTTGGGCGATAATAGGTGAGTTTGTAATATAATACACTATCATTAAAAAACGGCACCTAAAAAATCAAAAGTGCAAATCAATTCATTATCCCAGTAAACATGTGTATAAAGAAAATGGCAATTTGAATTGGTAAACAGTTCGCTTTAGGTATAAAATCCATAAATCCTTACCAAATATTTGATAAATATCCAACCGGATATAAGTTTTGTAAATGTAATCTGATTGGTCGAAAAATATTGCGCATGCGCAAAATTGTATTTTCATTCGTCGCGCCAGCTCTGTGTTTTTGTATGAAATTTCGATATCTCCTAAGTTTGAAACTCGATTTCTCCACAATGTGGTAAGTAGGTTATTTAAAACTTCAATTTTCATAAACTTCTATAGTAGCTCTTTGTGATGTAATATTATAAAGGACTCATATGTCATACGTCCCTAAGAAATTGATCATCAAAATGTACAAAATCTCTGGCATTTTTTTACAATTTTTGGTGCCAGTCTGACTCACTATTTGTTCACATAAAGACCACATGTATGTTAGATGGGATGCTTATGCCAACAAAGTTTTGAACATTTGAGGAAATAAAATTGTAAGTATGATTTGGTATCGTTGCAAGTTGGTTATCACTTTCTAAATTTGAAATGTTAGACTTTCAGTTTGCTCATCAATTTGTTTACAAATTGTTTGGCAGATTGCCTATGGCTATGTAACAATTTTTGTAAACAACCATGGGTCTCAATATATGGTGGTAAAAAGACAGGAATCAAATATGATTTGGGGTGTTAGATTGTTCCTGACAAGACTTGTGTCTAAACATTGGTGTCATGTCACCAGATTGTAATTAGTAGATCAGCTTTCTTCACAGCGATAGGCATTTTATACATTGTTACTAACCTAAAGAGGCTCTATGCCATAGGATAGCACAATCAAGACCCCTCTGGACTTTTTTGCATATTGAGTTTCACCACATATTCACCCATCTACTTACTAAAGAAGAAGTCCCAAATCCCCCTCTTTCAGTGTTAATTTTGCAATTGTGCTGGCCGATCTAATTATTTTCGAAGAAATTAATTCAATCTGAAGTTTGAATATTCCGGGAAAGTATTGATTGGTTAAACCATGGGCTTTCAATTAGTTGAAAGCCCATAGTTAAACAGGCAAAATATGCCTATAAACGGTAATCATGTAATATAGAGATTATGAAGTATCAAATTAGGGGCTAATGTGGTCAAAGAATACCAAGGTCGAGAGCTTCAGTACTACGGGCCATACTTGAACACACAGAAGATTAAATATAACAAAGACAGGAAAATGTTGGACGTGGGTGTATCAAAATAATGAGAGTCTATATAAGAAACAAGTACAGAAAAGTATGATTTGAGTGTGGAGTAAACTAGAGGGAAGTTTATTTATCTAGGAAAATACTTGAAAACTTGGGATCTGGGTGTGGCAGAATAGTTGCTATAAAGATGGAAAAATAGATGGCATTAGTAGTGTTGGTTAAGCGTATATTATATTCATTTATAGGGCTTGCATTAACGGCGTCCCGTACATGTTAAGGACTCAAAACTAATTTGGAGGACGCAAGAATTGAAAATATTTCCGTTTTTTGGACACAAATTTTTTTTAGGTCAATACTACAATGTGTTTACAACAATACCTAACAAAAACAAATAATTATGATCTCTCACCTTTATTTGAATCGTAAATAAGGCTCAACATGTTGAATATTTACAAATAATCATGATTCTCTCGAATTTTTTCAAATTTGTTTATTTTTAGATTTGAAACCATGACACGCCACAGTTTTTCCTATTCAGAAACAATTATTAGATTATTCATGAAATAAAATGTATTCATTGTCGAATGAACGAACATGCATTTATTCAGTCCGTACTTAACGTTTACTTCCGTTTTAAATTCGCGGCAAGAAATCAAAAACTGAAAGGTGTTTTGGAAAAAATGATTTTAAAATAAAGTTATACCTCAAGACAGGCTAGAAATAGGGGACACACTTTTTTTTTCAAAGGACACGCTTTTTAAAAAAAATTGCGTTCTTGGGACTCACAAATTTTCTAACCTAATGCAAGCGCTGCATTTATATTGAGTAGGTGGCAAAATATATTTTAATTCATTACAGTGGGTGAAAACTACACATATGTTTGAATCATAATATAGACCTCAGAGCAGGTGAAATATTGTCGAATACACCCCCTAGGGCTAAGACACAAAAGCTTTTGAACTCCCTTCGGTCGTTTTGAGGGCGAGGGACAAAAGCTTCCGAACTCCCTTTAGTCGTTTGAGGTACAGAAAACATTTGTGCCAAGCCCTGCATGGTGTGTTCGATGATATACCCCTGCTCTTCGGTCTATATTTCTTAACAAATGAACTTGTTTATTCGAATTAAAAATAATAGTATCCTGGAAGGGTTGAGCAATCAAAAATTGGTATCAGCTCCATAACATTGTTCACATCCTTATTTCACTGTATTTAAAACAAAGCCAATGATTAGTTAAATATTCATCACCTGCAATGTACTCATACTTGGACTGTTTTCAATATCATTCATAGAACGAATGAATTTCTCTTTAAAAAAGCATTAGGGGCTTTTTGGAATATTGTATGTAAATGACGCATAGGTATTCACCTCAGTAAATTGATTCATTTGTATAAGTAGCAATTTAATGGGAGGGATGGTATAAACATTTTATTCTGAGGGAAAATATGATATTGGCCAAGGAAAACGTGATATTGACCAAGGACGATATCCCTGGTGTTAATATGATATTTTCTGAGGCCAATATTATATTTTCTCTAGGAAAAAATCATATTCCATCATGACCATCATTTTATTAACAAATCGAAAGAAAGGATGATTCTCGGTTTGGAGAACGAAGTTCATCAATCTAAATGAGCATCATCCCTGCTTCGGACAAATTTGACATTTTTACATAATATAGATTTGAATGTTTTCTTTTGAATAGTCATACTTTAATTTGGGTAATAATTCTAGACTTTTCGCAAAAAAATATTAGCGCAGTACATGTTGGTGTTGTCGCGATTAATCGATACATCGCGATATACATCGCCAAAGCTGATTCTGGCGATGCATCGATGTCTGAAACAAAACATCGATGTATTTGAAAAAAATTAATTTGCTAAAAATCACCCTTTCTTATCTTATTTTGACGCAAATCGCTTACCTTTCTCATGTCTTATTTCATTTTCCAATGTTTTCTGATAAATATTTCACTTTAAAACTGCTTTAGCTAGTCGAAATGAACCATTAATCTAGAAAAATTACTTTACATTCATTTCACCCTTACTAGAAGTTCCCGGATGTACCGGATGTTCGGTATTTTAGTGCATTAGCGTTCGGTATTTCAGTGCACTTTTCTCTGACTTTTTCTCGATGTACATCGCGATGTGCATCCATGTTTACTACTGAATATTGCCGATGCATCGATGTACAATTATGGCACATCGCGACAACACTAGTACATGTACACTGCCATGTTGAAATGGACCATGGCCATACCATGGTATACCATGGTATGACCATGGTATACCATGGTATATGGCCATGAAATTCAATGAAATACCATGGTAATACCATGGCCGATCATGATCGTTAAATGGCACCATCGTATTTCGCGTTTTTAACATGGAGTTTTCCATTGAAAAAATACTGCCGTTTCGCAGTATTTTATGGTCAGAAACCATCAAATGCAATGATATCATGGTCAAGTTCTCGACCATGATATTATTGCATTTGATGGTTTCTTGACCATGATATCATTGCATTTGAAGGCTTCTGACCATGAAATACTGCGAAACGGCAGTATTTTTTGAATGGGAAACTCAATGTTAAAAAAGCGCTCCTGACCATGAAATGCAATGGTGCCATTTAACGATCATGATATACCATGGTATACCATGGTCAATTAACATGTAATTTTGTATCTAAAAAATACCACCGTTTCACAGTATATCATGGTCAAATACCATAAAATGCAGTGATATCATGGTCTAGACATTCAACCATGATATGCAATGGAGCCATCATGATCTACCATGGTGTACCATGGTCACTATACATAAAATTTTGCATTTAAAATACTGCTATTTCACAGTATTTCATGGTTGCAAACCATCAAATGCAATGAAGTACAGTCAAGATGATTAATCAAAGACTGGAGGTTGGACTTACAAATTATTGAGTTGATCTCCTATTTCACCGACGACAGTCAAAAAAAAGTAAAGCATATTTGTTTAATAAAAAAAATTTGTTTCTAGGGTTATTAACTTAATTATTAATAATAGAAATTAATTTATTAAACAAAGGAACAAAAGTATATAAAGTTGTGATTTTGATGAATATCAGAATCATTAATTATAATAATTTGGTTATCTAATTAACATCTATTAATAAAGATATTTCATGTAAAAAATACTTTTTGAACATGGTCTTTCATTGTATTTCACTGCATTGCAAGAAAGACCATTGCATTTCATTGCATATCATGATCAATCATTATATTTCATTGCATTTCATGGTTAAACATGGTATTTCACTGCATTTCATGATCCATTTCAACTGACTGTCCAATTTTGGACTTTGACACTTCTAGAGTTCTTTTGGCAATGAAATACCATGGTATAACCATGGTATTTGATGGTCAGATTTGACAATGAAATGCTATGAAATACAATCAACCATGAAATGCAATGATATGCCATGATAAATGATAGTTATGATTATGGCAATGAAATACCATGGTATGACCATAGTATTTGATTGTCAGGTTTGACAATAAAATGCCATGAAATACCACCAACCATAAAATGCAATGATAAAACCATGATAAATGAGAGTTATGATTTTGGCAATGAAATTACATGGTATGACCATGGTAATTGATTGTCACACGGTACAATGAAATGCCATGAAATGTCATCAACCATGATATACCATGGTAATACCATGGTAAATGATAGTCAGGTACATAACAATAAAATATCATGGTATGACCATGGCATTTGATTGTCACATCGTACAATGAAATACCATCAACCATGATATACAATGATAATACCATGGTAAATGACCATGGTATTTGATTGTCACATCTTATAATGAAATGCCATCAACCATGATATACCATGGTAAATTATGGTCAGGAACATGGCATTGAAACACCATGGTATTTGATTGTCACATCTTACAATGAAATGCCATGAAATGCAATAAACCATGCTATACCATGGTAATACCATGGTAAATGATGGTCAGGAACATGGCAATGAAATAACATGATAATACCATGGTATTTGATGGTTAACTTTGAACATGAAATACCATGAAACATGGTATAACATGATATACCATGGTATACCATGGTCAAAAATTGACCAAAAACCATCATTGCTACCATGGTCAGAGTTGATGGTAATTTCATTGCTGATCATGATAGACCATGGTAAACCATGGTATACCATGGTATCATGGTTTACGTTTAAACATGGTGATGAACTTCTTTCCCCAAATCGAGACTTGTGTTTTATTGAATCGGTCTAATTGAGCGTTATCCCTGCTTCAGACCAATTTGTTATTTTTACATCTTGTAGATTTAAATGTCCTCTTTTGAATATTCATAGTTTAATTTGGATAATATTTCTATATTTTTCATGAAAAAAATTATTAGCTCAGGAGACTGTTCTCCAAACCGAGAATCGTCCTTATCAGGAATAATTCTGATACAGGATCTTTTACAAGATTTTGGCTGATTTGGGATCTAATATGGGATCTAATTTATGATTTTGGCTGATACTGGATCTGATATGGAATTTCTTGAATATCAATTCTATTCCCTGTTTATTTCCCATGGAAAACATGTTATTATGGAATAATACTATTTTTATGTCACCACCATAAGTGATGACATATCGTTATGGTCTCCAACTTTTTTGTCGATGATGTTCAGCGGTTGGTGTCTGTACAAATCAGTTAGTGGTTGGTATCTGTAACAAATGGCAGGTGGTGACATTTTGCATGTTAATGACTTGTTTATCTTCTCTTTCTCTGTACACAGTCATACAAATATTTTATTTGATAGATAGTTTCAGGTAAGATCTCGTATTCAGTTTATTCAATTTCAAATTATATTTTCAATAGATGGCTTGCTATCGAGGTATCCAAGGTCTCTAATATGCCTTGGAATGGATTTAGATAAAGAGAGACGTTGATAAATCAGAATAATAGCTTTCTGATTCTTCATTAAATGCTTTTGAGGCTGTAGACTTTTTGACTACTTATAAACATTCGACAAAGAATAAATACATAATATTACAGTAATTTAAGATAAGGATATTTTGATCACGTTATCAAGCAGAGAGTAAAACTGGAATTCGGAAATTGATGTGAAAATTACTTAAATTGGCACATAGGGACTCTTAGAACAGTTTACAAACACATTTTGGCGCCATGGGTCACAATCATTTTGTGACGACTGACTGCTGCTTCAACAAAATCAATATTATACACTATTAGAAGAAGCAGAATCTAGACAGTTACCCAATAAAATATTTTGCGTTATCTTTTGTTTCATGGATTATATCTAAGGAAATGTTGACAACCACGATTTAAAGCATGCTAAATTGCATTCTGAATTATATCACAATTTGTTCTTTATGTCAGATTTGCCATATGAAAAAACAAATTTTATTTCATTATTTTTTTCAGTTATTTGGAAGGTCAGATTTATAGGGCACATTGAAATAATGGATCCATAGAGATTCCATTCAGTCTATAAGGTGTTAATCACTGTCTTGAAAATGAGTCTTAGTCTTATTAAAATATTGAAGAAATGATAACCAAATTGTATCATACACCGTTTGTCAACTACATCATTGTTTTGTACGATTTTTTTGTATATATTTCAGAAATTGGAATGTAAATTGATCAAGTCTGATTTGCTAAAAAAAAAAATTGATCAAGTCTGATTTGCATTTCACATTATTCAGGTCTCACTTTCCCTTAGGGAGTTCCAAGTTGAGCTGCTGTTCTTTTATCCAATTTATTGAACGCATTATAAGAATGTATAATTTTGTATAAAATTGTATTCAGAAAAAAGGTTCAATAACATCTTTCGGATATTTTTTTACCTTCTAGTGCAAAAAGAAAGTAAACATTTTAGGTAACTGTGCCATGTAAGTACTGCACAAGACCTGATCAATTGTCAGAAGAAAATTGAGCATTTCTTGTCATAATCAACAGTATATTTGGACTCCGTTGAACTTTTGATGCTGATCTATCTTTGTATGCTATTTTATTTATGATATTAGCACTCGAATCATGATATTGATCTCTACCAGTTGGAAGTAAATAATTTGTTTTTCTTTTTAGATCTTTCATTGGAATCTGGAGAAACGCCTACAAATAATAAGTCATAAACTTTCTTAGAAAAATAACAAAGATGTAAATTTCTACTGACAGCCCTGGGAGTGAAAAACTTTTACATGTTTGAGAACAGACGTTATCTTCATGATGTCTACAATTTCGAATATGATGTCCAATCAGACGCCAACTTCCTCCGATGCCTGTCTGAGTATTGTACACAGCCTCATGTGTCATCGGCAGGGTGGAGAAAGTGAAACTTTCGCCAAAAGAGCTATAGAAAGTTTAGTGAAAAAATTAAAAGAGAAGAGAGATGAACTGGATAGTTTAATAACAGCTATCACCACAAACGGAGCACATCCGTCAAAATGTGTGACGATCCAGCGTACTCTTGATGGAAGACTTCAGGTGAGTTGAACTACTACTTATTTTATGGAAGCCGGATCCTGAAACACAACAAAGTCGTTATTATATATCTAGGTTTAATTCAGTACTGTACATATGTTTGAAAAGGGAAGAATTCATTCCCTGAATCCTGAAATGTTCAAGCCAATGCAGTACAAAAATTATTTCTGAAATCATGCAATCTGATTTTTTGTTGGAATTAAAAATCATTGCCTGATTTAACTTGATTCAGACGTATGAAAAATATGTTGAAACCTTTAAAGACTGTAAAGTGACTTCTCTCAAATGTAACACTTTTCAATTTTCAGTTTTTAGATGACCTTTTTATTTTCAAGAACCTCTTAGTCCGAATATTGTTAGCCAGTGTCAGCATAACTTTGGACTTGATTTCTTTGGACTCCAAAATAAAGCATACATACATATTTCATGTTCTATATCTATGACACTGTAAATGAAATACATAAAGTCCTATAGTTAAGATATACACAGAGATTTACTCTATTTATATTCTCTCCAAAAGTCACTCAATAATCATATGGCAGCCATTTTATGTCACCACCGGGACATGTGACAATTGGTGGCAACATGATGTTCGAGACTGGCTTTGGTATTCAGTGTAACTGTTCAGTATTGCTAGCCAGCATCTTTAGCGAGATGTACGCTTTTGTCCAGGGCTCAAATTTAGACATCAAGGCAAACTTGAATAAATATTAGGGGTGTCACTGGTTGGATATCTTTCGGTTCGGGTTGGGCCAGAAAAAAGTGTGCGGGTCGGGTAATTTCGGGTCGCGTCAGAAATGAATTTGACTTGCTGTTTAAGCCTGCATTATTGCATATTATACTTTAATAAAGGGAAAATGATAGAAACTTAGCATTAAATCATTCGGGAAGAACCGTAAACTAATCGCCATTCGTAATTTATACGCAAGCCAAAAGTTTGAAATTATGCGGGAAATATAAAGAAATTTACGAAAATTTATGATATTCCCCAGTGTTCTGACCCGACCCGAAATTGATAAGTAGTTTTTCATGATCCGACCCGAGCCTTCCGACCCGAGATTCGGGTCGACTTTGGGTCAGTGTGATGCCTCTAATAAATATACTAGTTTAATAGCCACACTACTTGGTTAGACAATTTGCTCATACATTAAAATCTTTGATGTGCCAAAATTTTCCATTAATTTAATGTGCCTCCAAAAATGTGACACTAAAAACAACCAAATCTTAAAATGTTGCTCAAAATACAAAAATAAGTTGAAAAAATATTATTGTCAAACTAATAATGAAAATGAACTCCTCTCCAATATTCTACGAGTATTTTTATTTTAAGAACTTACACCAGAGTACACCAAATGGAAAATAGCTACCAAAATCTCAAGGACATTTGAATGCTGGACTAGCTTGGAATCTTGTCAAGGATTAAAGTCAATCTCAAATGAATCTTTTTACTAAGAACTGATTAAATTCCAACAAACTGAAAATATCGCTCACTAAAGGATGTTTACTTCTAATATACTAACAAAATGAGGGCTACATCCCTTCATAAACTTTTATGGCAGCATCTAGTAAATTCTGTCTTGGCTCTATTTCAGAAGTCAGATGTTTACCATAACAAAAAACGGATGTATTTATATCTAAGATTTGTTTGGAATCAGTTGATAATATGATGCCATAGTTTGATATTTAGACTGACTTCTTCAAGCATTTGATATTTATTTATCTTTGAATTATTTAGAAGGGAAGTTTCTGTGTAAATGGCAACTTGGTTCAACTATTTGTGTTTTGCACTTCATATGTAACTTTTCTTGTATATGAATTATTTCCTATATTCTAACTTCATGATTGGTAATATTAAGAAATCACCAGGTTTATTTCTGGTCCCTTGAAGTCAACTCTAGGATGATCCAATTCTTAAGTTTAGCATAAAACTATAGCATTTTTCATATCCTCCAAGGAGATGGTTAAAGAATAATTCTCTATCCTTTATTTATATCTGCAGGGTACTCATTACCAGCAATCAGCATATGATTTTCTCTGTTTGTTTTTTTATTTATTTTTTGCTGAAATCACCTGTTTCGAGGAATTTAACTACTTTCCATGTTAAAATCTCCAATTATTTTTTCTTATTATTTTCATTCATTTTGCCTGAAATTTTAATGAAACTCCTTCATTGGTAGCAAGAGCATTACCCCGAGTGCAGAGTCTAGTTAGAAACTACCCTCTGCCTCATGTAGACTGTATTACAGTTTAGCAGCCCCGCCCCAAAGATTGATGCATGTAACAGCCGGGTAATAAATCATTTCATATCTTCCATGTTGACCCTTTCTCAACCAGTCAGCAAAGTGGAAGGAACATATGCTAAATACATGCTCATTAACTATGGTGTGATGTCAGAGGAAATGACCATATAGAAAGTCGTCCGTATTTTGACTATGAACTCTGATTGACTCGGTGAGATCAGAGATTTATTGTAAACTGAAAGAGTGAAGACGAAGCTCTCTTTTAAGAAGTGGAGTCGAATTAATGCAAAGGGTACAAGAGCATTTTCGTGGGCATATAATTGGAGGCTGTGTCAGAGATGGTGAAAATCAGATTATTCATAAAATTAACATGGTCCTATCTTGATAAAAAAATATCTAACAGTCAATAAACACTTTACTACTATGGCCTGAATTTCTAAAAAGTATTTCATTTATTTTCAAAGATTTATATCATATTATAGAGTTATGATTTCTTACTGTTTGTTCCACTCATGCATTTGCTGCAGAGATGGAATCTTGTGCCATCTCAGCTTCATAGTTTTCTATGACCCCATTACAGTTAAAGTCCCATGCAGGAATTTCACCAGCACCAGGGATATCAATCATAATGCAGCATAACTTCTCATCAAATCTGTTGTGAACAAAATCAAGATCACAGTCGGACATCTTGTGTGCTGCAATAATGCTGCCACCTGGTGGAAAAGTATTGCTGTTGATACGTTCACAGAATGCTTGCCCGAGTTTCTTGTTTCGAGGTCCCCATGGCGTGTCTTCTGTGATGACACGTGACAGACCCTGAACGCCCCAGAATTCCACATTCCTCATAAAACAGAGTGATGGGCATTCACGTGCAACCTTTAAACATCCATTACATCCAGTTTCAGCAACAATATTTTCCGTAGATACGGGATGAATGGGGATACCAAGGTTACACTCTGGTTGGTTCACATCTGTGCAGTTCACCCTCAGTCTTAAATCACATGCACATCTAGAAAATATTAATAAAATTGAAGATGGAATTTTTGTTTTCTCTCAGTGATCTTAATGATCACAATAGCAATCTCATTGGACAATAAAAATAAGATAGAAATTTGCCTTTCTAGATCTGAGACATTCATAAGTCTATCATTAAATTTGTTCTCTGTTTACTAGAGCTGGACCTCAGAACATATCAAAAGTGTTCATTATGGTATCACATATACATGTACTAATTAAGCAGTTTACTTAAATGGTAAATATTATAAGTAGGTTTGCATTAAGCCTCTGCTCCCCCCTCTCTCCTATCTATTTTCTCCAGTTTGAGATTATTAGAGGGGGCAAGGGCCAGGCCCGTAGCCAGGGGGGTTCGCAGGGTTCGGGCGAGCCCTCCCCCCCCCCCCCCCCCCCCCCGGCCAAAAAATCTTTCAAAATCATGCAGTTTTTCACCATTTTGAGCACTTCTCAAGTGATTTTCACCATATTTGGGCCAAAATTGTCAAATGTGAACCCCCCTGGAAATTTTTGAAAACTGAACCCCCCTTGGCAAATCCTGACTACGGGCCTGAGGGCTTAACAAGACTACATTATTAACATACGTGTAATAACTAATTCGTGGTGGTGTAGTAAATGGTCTTGCTGTTGTGTAAGACCTCCTTGTAGTAAAAGGCCTCTTAGTAGTGTTAAAAGACCCTCTTGTTGTGAAGGGCCTTGTTGTTATGTTATATCTCCTTGTAGTAAATGGCCTCTTAGTAGTGTTAAAAGACCCTCTTGTTGTGAAGGGCCTTGTTGTTATGTTATATCTCCTTGTAGTAAATGGCCTTCTGGGAGTGGTGTTATAACCCTTTCTTGTTGTGAAGGGCCTCGTTGTTGTGATATAAGTTCCAGTGAATGGGACCCTCGTTGTCACTTTGGGAGTTGTCAACCACGGTGCCCATTTAGGAACATCAGTTGTCAGACTGATTGGTAGTGTTTGAAGATGGGTGTTGTCCCAGACGTATAGCTCACTGCGCCCAGGTACATATGCTAGCTGGGTTAGTCTACCTCGGGCCATTGAATTAGGCCATGGAATAGCATCTCCAAGGTAACCCCCTCTCGCATAATCCGTGTCATAGAAATAAGTAATATAGCGTGGGGAGGTATATCTATCCAATACATATAAGGTACCATCAATCATAAATGCCTCTGCTGCGCGTCGTTTATCAAAAGATGTTGTAAATGTTGATGTAATCTCCAGCGTATCTGGGTCTACGCGTCCAATGATAATATTCGCAGCAGCCTCGGCAGTCGAGTATAATACCCATAATCCTCTTTCATCAAGCGCAAAATCGATATCGCTGTACCCTCCCCATTGGTAATGGTAGGAATTACTGTGACCAGCATCAGTGATTGGTCTTTCTTGTTTGCAACAGAATGTTGGGTATATCTGACGTTTCATGATGTTTGGGGATCTGTACTTGTTGCAGTAGAAAGAACCGTTGAACATAACGTGTCCTGCCCCAGCACATCTATCATCTCCTAAACATTGCAAATAACATTCCCATCACTCATGGTCACGTTAATCATGTATCAAGGTAAATATTATATGTATATGTATTGAGGTGAACTTTATATATACAGAATATCACATCATTTTGAGTGATATCATTTTTATCGCCGAGTTGATATCAAATATCAACACGAGTGAGCGAAGCGAATGAGTGTTGATATTTGATATCTACGAGGCGATAAAATGATATCACGAGAAATTATGTGATATTAGGTTTATCCCATGATTACAATCACCTTGTGATGTTCTGATCCAATTTCCAGGACATTGGCAGACAATATAAACTAGAGATTCGCCAATTCTTCTTCAGACGAATTTGCACCGGCCACTGCGCAGTAATGTGCACTACTTTCTGTACATGATATAGTTTGTCATAAATACAATTTTTAATCGTTATTAAGCATCCTTCTAATCAAATTATATACACAATCGTAATTCAATACACCAATGAAACTTAAATAGAAAAAATCAACGGAGCTATTTTCTCAAAAGAGAATAAATTATCTGACCTAATTTCCAACAATATTGTGGCGCAAAATGCAAATGTGATATCACACGGATATGCGTGAGATAAACGATATCACACGCATATGAGTTTGATAAACGATTTTCTGGAAAATATCACACGGATTTCAGTAATATCAGAAATATCAATAGCTGTTATTGTACAGATAACACATTAATCGTGGGATAAATATATTTATTTTTATTTATCATTGTTATCTTTTAAATGAAATACACTTGTTGTGTATATTTTTAAGTAAAGTGAGAACATTCTAATGATGCAATAAATCAAATATTGTATTAAGATGAATACATGTTCATCTGTCTATCAGTATATTTCCCGCAGCCCGAATGGAATATTTTGTTTCCGTTATTTCAACATTTGAGCTTACCTTGGAAGTTGATCCTCCTGTTGAATCTTCCATTTCTCAGGTCATTTTCATTTTCAAATTCTTCAAAGGATTGAAGACTTATAGAATATGACATTTTATATATTTTGTCACTTCTTGGAGAATCTCTGATCCACCAGCCTTCCCTGCTTTCATCTGTTCGCATTGATTTTCCATTATTTATACCTTGTAGGTAGAGTTTACCATCTTAAAATAAAAAGTGCAAATTATATATATATATTAATTTTCCATTATTTATACCTTCTAGGTAGAATTTGCCATCTTTAAAGGAAATTTCTGAGTAGGATACTTTACCCTTAATTCTCAGAAAAAATTCTTGTTGAAGTCTAAAAAATAATGCATGACGAGTTTTTGAATGGTCTCTGAAAAAGTCATCTTCCATTTTTGATTTCATGGCGACCATTTGTCCCTTAAGTATTGCATCAATTTGCTTTTCTTTAATCTAACATGTAACCAAGTTTATAGCTATCCAATACTGACTGCAGGTTGGCAAGAAATTGTGCAAAAATTTACAATAAAAATTCCAAAAAGTATTGCAGCAACTTTATTTTAATTTAGCAAGCAGCTTAAGTTTATAGATTTTGACATTGGTGCTAATTTGAACATTATAACACTTTTGTGATATTTCTTTTAGAAACGCTGCCACTTATATCGGATTCCTCTTATTAGATCCAAGTATGTACATGTACATGTGTATAATTACTGAATTCGCATTACCTGTAGATGATATGTATAGTAAACCCATAAGGTAACAAAATAACGTCCACATCATGTCCGATGTTGGTGTAAAGTGAACAGACTAGTATTTTATAAATAATGAAGATTCTAGTGAAATAGATAAGAATTCAATCGAGGGAGTGTCAATTCTGTGTCAACAATTGAGATGAGTGTTAATTGAGTACAGTTATCATATGATATGTCTATACTTGTTTATGTTTTATATCCACTTTGATTTTGAAATCAACATTATTACTGATAATAAGATGTGCCTGTCAAGACATGCTCTTGTTGTTCTATGCCAAAAGATATGGCTAGTCTTGCATCAAGTCCATGTGAACCTCACACATATACTATGGGTGTTCATTTTGCCTCCTTAAGCAATCCCTATGTGTGAAATAACCTCACTGTCCTCTCTCTGGGGAACCATGTACATTTCTTAAATTATTGCAATAAAAAATCAACATCACTCTGAAGGGGAAATAGGGGAACAACCCATAAGAAGTGAGAAGCTCCCACGATTCTTTCATATCCTATCGTATTCGGGGATTCCCCATTACGTCATCTCCCGCATCATCTCCAATCATATTGCAGGATGCGATCACGTGAACAATCATGAGCATGTGCTCTCTCAGGGCTGCACATGCGCAAAGTAAAATTTCAAATTGTGGGAATGGGGTTAACATCAATTCATCATCATCATTTCAAACCTACGGTAATACTATTGAAGTTACAAGATCCATACTTGTAGAGAATACTCAAAAAATTACAGCGATCATTTGGAGATCCATTTCAATGGCAAATGAGGCCTGTTAATAAAATTTGTTTTCGAACGTGCCAATACGAAAGGTCATCTTTGGTAAATCTCCCTCCCCCCCTGGGAACAACCAGACAATCATTGCAAGACTCAGATGCGGCAATAATCTCCCAGGACTTTCTCCATGCTGGTGCAAAATTCCTATTTTCACAATTCTGACGTTGGTCAAATTATGGCATTTTTGACGACTATCAAGTGGGTGCTAATAGGTTTTCATGTGGGTGCAAGCCTATTTTCTAAATCTCTAAATTGGAACAGAAACGACTATTTTTGCCAAAAGCCTTAGTCCTATCATATCATCTTCTTGCATGAAGGCCTCCCAACTTGATACAGTACTTCCTACCCGAGAACTTCTCTTATTGGTGTTGGGGGAGGGTATTTCGGTATTTTAATTGAGTATTACTGAAGTAATACAAATTAAGAATTTCTCACTGAATAAAATACAATTTAGGATTGTATATCTGATTACGACCTTACAATACATCCAGCAGAATAAAACTCTTACTGTACTGAATCTTAATCAATTTTGGTACAACCTAGTGCCAAGTTGCTAACTAATGAATGCTAGATGGTTACTCTGACATATAGCAAAGATGTTCTGTAAGGCAATCATAAATCAAACAGTGTTTTCAGAGTTTTGAAATTAGATCTCAGTTTTTTCTAGTTATCTGGTAGTATGCAAGATGGAAATTACATGAAGCGTATCATTATTTTCTGTTCTGATCAGGGGCAGACTTAGGAATTAATTTGTGAGGGAGGCCAAAATACAAATGTAATTACATAATGAAGATTTCTAAAAAATAAATACATTTTATACAATTTATAATAAAATTTAGTAAAAACATAATACATGAACCGATTTGGGAAGGAGGTTCACAGTTCAAAGGGCTTGTTTTTTATGGCTCCCTTTCCCATTTCTCCTTATCCCCCACTCTCCCAGATCCTTACATGGATTATGTTTTAGAGCCAGATTTAGTCCAAATATGCTTATGACAGACTGACAGTGTTTGTACAAACAGAAAAATATTAATGAAAAGTGTCATCACATCTCTTTATCATCTCTTTCTAAACACAGTCCCTCAACAAAAAAATATCGAACATTCCTATAATATTTATTAAAGACAAGACATGTAAACAAATATGACAAATAGGAAAATGTTGCAAAATCCAACCAAGTATGTTCAATGTATAGTGATTATAAAGTAATTTCTACCAGCTAGAGAATTGATGGTTTTTATTCAACCAATAATCTTGTCATATCTTAAAGGCCCTGTGCAAAGTTTGAAAATATGGTTAGATCATTTAAATATTACTTTTCATGTCTTAAAAAACTATTTTGGACATTTTTGAAAAATGTGACTTGTGAAAAAAAGTATTTATTTATTATATTGTTCTTTTTAATTGTGATCCTCTAGTGCCAGTGGAGTTATATACTTCTATTTAGTTTGAATAACATCTTAGCTTATACTTGAGTGTATTTATCAATATGTCACATTACAAATTGTCATTAAATATTTACATTTCTCTTCATGTATTTATATATCTTCAGGTTGCGGGAAGGAAGGGCTTTCCCCATGTAATATACGCCAGGATTTGGCGGTGGCCCGATCTCCATAAAAATGAGCTGAAGCAAGCCAAATACTGCAATTTTGCATTTGATCTGAAACAAGACAGTGTTTGTGTGAATCCTTACCATTATGAACGGGTGGTTTCACCAGGTATAGGTAGGATGTTTGGGACACTATCCCCACTTCTGTGGTTTACATTTTTTCTGTCTTGACATATCAAAGGAAAAACAAATTATATAATGATCTAAAGATAATTCAACAACAACACTATCTGTCTCTGTTTCTATAGATTACATTTTTTCTTGATCGTAAATTCTACAATTAAATCTACTTGAGATTCATTAAAATCATTTGGGTCCTTACAAATTAGAGATTTGTTTAGTTTTGCAAGCCTGATTTAAGCTCATATGGTGTGATATAGAAGTCACTCTCTTTTCTGTCTGGCTGTCAATAATGCTGAAATCACTACACCACGTGAGCCCTGTACCTATGGTACTACTTTTATTTAAAAACTTCCTTGTTCTGGTGATTTATCTGTGGCCAAAATAGACAATTAAACTGCACGAGCTTTATATTTTATTTCAGATTTATCTGGCTTGACCTTACAGCATTCAGTAGGAGCTAGAGGTATAGTATTTTATAGATCTGAGATGAACCCATTCTGATCTTTTAAGTTTATTTCTTAAAGATGGTATCACTGAACATTTACAATCAAATCTACCATGTAATTTCTAACTGAAGAGTGCATTCGTAGTAGGGGTCCTTAGTAATGTTCACTGAACATCCTTTAATGAGTCAGAACTTGTGCTACACCTCATGTCTTTAAGCTTATTTTTTATTATTGATCTACATCCAAGATTGCTAAGATATAATCTGAGTAAAGATTTTCCAGGGATCATAATATCTTATTTAAAGAAGATTACAAAGTTTATGAAATATTTATATACGAGATGTACAGAGTATTTCATAATTATAAATTAAAGGGACTTCATCAGATGAAGTTCAACCCACATGCTGACACTTTGATTATTTTCTCTCATTTCATGTCAGCCATCATTGCTATATATTTGACGTCAATGGTCTGTTTTTACAGCTGGTCCCCCAGGAAGGTTGATTAAGGATGAATATGTCCATTCAGCTGCTCCCCCCACTGTGTGTAATATAGATGGCTCCACCTCAGGGTCCCAGCCCCCCACCCCACAGGGACCCCACACCCCCACTGATGCGAGCATGCAATATGTTGGTCGTCCAATGTTAACAGGTGAGAGACTTTTAGTATTTAAAACTGAGCAAATAGTTCACGTGAAATTAGTAACTTAATACAGGGTGTCCACTACCAGGGAAACCATAATGGCTAAAATGGTCATCAATGGAAATTGGAGAAAACATTTTTTCCTACAAAATTTAAAGATATATGAAATGAAAACTAAATGAAAGCTATACATGTCAGTGAAAGTGTAATTTGTTTCTTTTACTTTATTTTTTGTTGTTGATGAAATAATGCCTTTGGTCAATTTTTACACGTGAATCAGAGAAAATGGAATTTGATATTAAAATCTTGTGGAAATGTGTTATAATACAAGTGCATTGATAAGTTAGTTAAGGTTTAACATTGTTCTTTTAATATTAGAAATTCATAACACATTTGTTCTTCTAATACTATAATTAGTTATGGTTTATAGTTTAAGATAGCACATGTTAGTTCAAAATATTGTACTGTCTATTTTTTTTCTTTAGGTCCTGGAACAAGACTGGTGATTTTTTGGCAAAAGGAAACAAGAAAAATATCCTAAAATTGGGATAATTTGGCAAATATTAGCTTGCTATCTCTGATTGTATGTTGTTATATCCTTTAATGTTCCAGGTGCTACAGACCCACAACCTCATGCTACCGTGCAACACACTCAGTCCAAAATGACAGGACCCCTCCCAAGTCCTGCACAACAAACACAAAACTTTCAACATCACCCATTATCTCCAGCTGGGCATCCAGTTTCCCCAGGGTCCCAATTGATGTCCCCCGGAGGTCCTTTATCTCCCCTCTCCCCCCAACAACAACCCCCTACCCCACAATCTCAACAGCAGAATCTTCAGGTCATGCCTATGAGCATTGATTCAACGGTTCGACGCCACAGTGAGTTAAATATTGTTGAAGTATTTTGTATACTTTTTATATTGTTTTATATAGATTTGTGGTAGTGGTGCTCTGGATAGACTTGCTTGCTTCTCTTTCTGCAACATCAACCATATACTTTTCCGTGTTTGTTGTATTTCTTTATGTTTTGGCTTGGTTTTGCTTAATTCCTACCCTCTTTGACAATACATTGAAACCCAATGTAAATTTTCTGGATGGAAAAAAACAACTTAATACTGCCCCTGAAAATACAAAAAAAGAAAAAATGAAATGGTATTTTATCCCCACATCTCAAGGAAAAAGAAATCATGTTTTGCAAAAAATTGATATTTTGATACAATCCGTACAATATACCTGCTTCTTGTATGGGACATTTGGATGCTTGTATATTTATACTATATTATACTCCATTACACTTGGCACATGCCTTTACCGTGTTCTCCTTAGAGGATATTAATACAGTATAACTCTTTGCACTTCAACTAACTCGTATATTTATCTAATTGCATGTACATATCAGTATAATACCAAATTATTCTTCTGAGGATATGGTATGCACTACGCACACAGTACAGTAATTGTATAGTAGAGTTGTAATTTGGTGGTTTGGTGATTAGTTCAACAGTGAAATAAAACTTGTGTCAATTGGTTTTTCTGAGTCAGGGAATGCTTAATACAAGAAATATTAACTGACTTGAGTTATTTTCAAAACGGAAGAGATATATTACAGTTAATTGTAAAATGGAGACAGTATTTAATTTTTTAAGTTGAGCATGCGGTTTATTGTTCCATACAAAATATTACAAACATACTTTTCATTTTAAATAATTTTTTTTTGTCATATTTTTTGTTTCTTATCAATACTATTAATTTAGAATGTTTAAAAGTGCTCGTGTTAAATCGTTTAAAAAAATCTGGGTATATAGTAATTTTAACTTGCTATCCTTTCTTAATGTTTCTAACATAAAAATGTTCAAACTGCAACTTCCTTATTTCAATAAATATTTAAAGAGTGGTTTTGTGGACACCCTATATGATTGTAAATTCTAGGTTCCAGCATTATGAGTCACCCATTATCTCCACCACAAATGGAGAATACAAACTTTGCCCCACAAATGAGCACAACATCACAACAACAAGCTGCCCAGGCTTCTGTATCAGTTGCATTCTCGAGAGGTAAGTCAACATTTGATCAGTGTTCAACAAGTTTTTTGGCCATCTTCATCCACTGTTCGGCAGTTGGTGATGGCGGTTGGCATCTGTAACAAATGGCAGGTGTTGACATATTGCATGTTAATGCCTCGTATATTTTTATGTTTATAGCACATATCATTTCAAAGCCTGGATTTGCTAGTATGTTGGAACTTGCCCAATTAATCATTTGTAGTTGTGATTGTCACATTATATGTTGCTGGAAGAATGATAATACTAGATCTTAAAGTTTAAAGATACCATCATCCATTTAGGGGAAAATGATAGAAAACATAGGCACTTTCATTCATTTTCTACCATTACCTCATTCAATGAGGTAGCTTCATATAAGTAGTGCATATCAACACTGTTGTTGAGGTCTGTGGCCCCAAAAGTATTATTGCCCTCCCTCATCATGTCTCTAGGACTTTCCACTCCATCTGTTACCTCTATATTACAGCGGGGACAAGTGTGAGTGGCCAGAGTGCCCAAAGTACTCCACAATGGAATGGTACCAAACCAGCAACTTACACACATACAGTGCAACAAGATGGAAATCAGTATTGTAAGTTAGATTCATAATATTGCAAATAAACAAAGTATTTTTACATTTGGGTGCTTCTTCTTTTGAGGTTTAGTTTAATTTTGGATCAGATTTGACAAGCTCATTATAAACCCATTTTATTTTATTTATTGTTTAGGGAATCAACAGACGAACAACCAGAGCCAATCAGAGCCTAGCTCTCAGCCACTTTCGAACCAGCCACGTAAGTCAATCAAATCTTTCCAATTTATTCATCTCTTCTTATACCCTCGATAATTAAGCATTTTTGATTAAAAATGGACCTTCATGTTCTGCCATATTGTAGGATCAGAGAGAGATCAATGAATGGAGTTTGATTAATCTTATATAATGATCAAAAAGAATGATCCATGGGATCGTAATTATTTGAAATAAGATCTTTTGAGGTCTAAGGTACTTGGTTTTTAAAAATGTGATAAAATTAAGAAATCCAGGGACTTTTCAAAACCCTCCCCCCCAAAAAAATTATACTGTCATTGTGTATACATGCATTTTCATCCTTTTAATTTCAGCCCCAGAGTTCTGGTGTACAATTGCATACTTTGAACTTGATCAACAAGTTGGTGAAACATTTAAAGTGCCATCTTCATGTCCCAGTGTGACCTGTGATGGCTACACAGACCCATCCAGTATAGACCGGTTCTGTCTGGGTCAGCTCTCCAATGTACACCGCACAGAGTCTAGTGATAGGGCCAGGTATGCTTCACATGTACCTTCCTCTTTCACCAGTGGCCTTTTCATAAGTGATTTTGAAAGAAGCATACGTGTACATAAGTATAATATTAAACTACAAAATACAGTATTTTGTAAATTAGGAGGGGTTGTCACAAAGTTTATATCTCTCTAATTTACTATGGCAACTTCTTTCTATTAAACAATCTGTTTTACTTTTTGCTGAAGTAAGAAGGTAATCCCGCTCATAGTCAAGTGGACACTAAGCTAAGGAAGCCAGACCTCTAAGAAATTCATTGTTTAAAACTGTTTTCATCTATCTTGTTTCTTGTAATTGTAGATTGCACATAGGCAAAGGTGTACAGTTAGACTGTCGAGGAGAAGGAGATGTGTGGATAAGATGCCTGAGTGACCACAGTGTATTTGTACAGAGCTACTATCTGGACAGAGAGGCAGGAAGAGCACCTGGTGATGCAGTACACAAAATATACCCAAGCGCATATATAAAGGTAAAAACCTTCTTATGTCCTTGGAGGGTTGATCCAAAAGTTGCTCTAATGTTTTCCTATTTTTAGCTCAAATGGTGAGCTTTTTTAAAAAATATTGTTCATTATAGGTCTCAACCAATCGTTTCATTTTGTGTAAAAATAAGCAATAGGTTCAGCCATTAGAATAGGCACCTGGTTGTTTATATTACAACATGCGAGGTATAGGTATAGTATATATGGTATTGGTACAATAAAAGTGCAATAAAGTGAACACATATAGGATCCTGTAAAAATGAGTCAATGGGAGGAATAAAAATCAGTCCAATGAAAATGTATTCAGGTTATATTGATGCTTATAAAAGAGAGGTGTCCAAGTTTAAAGGTTTAGATAAAACGAAAAGGAAAAAAGTTACATGTGTTGATTATTTTACTATGTTATTTCAGGTGTTTGATTTGAGGCAGTGTCACAGCCAGATGCAGCAACAAGCAGCCACAGCCCAAGCAGCTGCAGCCGCACAAGCTGCAGCTGTAGCAGGCAATGTCCCAGGCCCAGCATCTGTGGGTGGCATAGCACCAGCTGTAGGTAGGTTTACCAGCTGTTGGGAGGTTGATCCAGTTGTTTGTATGTTAAACCAAGCTGTTGACATTTTAACCTAGCCTTTACCAGGTTTAAGCCCAGCTGTCAAAGTATTTGTTGGTAATTTTAACTCTGCTCTAGGTTGGTCAAGCATAGCTGCAGTTTTGTAAAGCTCGGCTGTTTTTGATTAAGCCTAGAGGGTTTGCACCATTACCTATATGCTTTCTTGTTTACGATTACCGATGCACTCTCTGTGGATAAACATGTACATAAAAAACTACATGTGCATTGAGTAAAATTCATGATTTACTTTCAGGTCTCTCTGCAGCTGCTGGTATTGGAGTTGATGATTTACGACGACTTTGTATTCTCAGACTTAGTTTTGTGAAAGGCTGGGGGCCTGATTACCCACGTCACAGCATTAAAGAGACACCTTGTTGGATAGAAGTGCATCTCCACAGGCCTTTACAGCTTCTTGATGAAGTTCTCCAGGCTATGCCCCTTAATGAACACCCACGTCCAGGGCGACCATATATGCTTCCTTGAAACACCAAGCTTAGTTAATTGCCATATAAGGAAAAATTCAGGAAGTTTACGGTTCAGGTTGATACAGCAGGTGCTAGAGTTTATTATGGGTACTGCATGCATATAATCCATGATTCATATATGCTGTACCCCTTGCAAGTATTTTGTATATTTTATTGTTGATCAATCGTAAAGGTGTGTCTATTGATGAGTCTTTTTCGTTCTTATTGTGACTCTTAAATTAAGTGCAAACAATTTCATTGAATATTCTGAAACACTGGACTCAAGGACAGATTATAGATGGCATAATATGGCTTGACATATAACTTCAAAAATCTCCATGATAAACTGTATTTTTAAATACTTTAAGACACCAAAGTATTAAGATATCAAAATCCTCTTTCATATAGAACAGTGATATGAGAAAATTGTAGTTTGATAGATGCAATGAAATTTAAATTTGATATGAACAATATTTTTGTTATCTCATACAAAAACAGGAAGTACCTATCAACTTGACCTGCCATCTTTATGAGGTAGGATGAATCATTGAACCTTTAACAAGTGAAATAAATAATCTTTGAATCCAATGTGGTCCCGAGGAATTACTTCTCAATTTATAATTTTAATGATAACTGGACATTCACTTCAACTACTATCACACCAGATGACCTGGTACTCATTTGAATCTAATGTCACCATATTTTTTGTCCACATAGACATTGTCATTTATCAGTCCTTATACTTACACGGTGACTATCCAGGCCCCGTATATTACGAGCAAGTTCCTACTGACATCGTGAGCAATGAGCTCATGTTAGAAGCGGGGCCTTGAGAGATTTGATAGAATATAGTTGATAAATGTTGTCGTCCTGCAATCGAAATAGCCATTGTAGTATGAAATAAAGTTGTACTGAGTTTCACTTACTAAAGTTTCATAGAAAGTTTTATATTTCAATTTTATTATCTCTCAAGGCCCCGCTCCTAACATGAGATAATTGCTGGCGATGTCAGCGGGGCCTGGATAGTTCCCATCTACTTAGGTATGTAAGGTATGTAGAGCTTTACAACCTGGCCTCTTTACACATAGGCTTGCATGACCTATTCTTTTTTTTTAAGTTTTGTGAAAGAGTTTAGACAATGTAATATGAATCATACTGTATCGATTTCATAAATTTCTGTTTGTACATGTACCTATATGGTGCTTTTAATTAGCTGACAATACAATATTTGCAATATATGTACATTTATGCTGATGAAATGATGAAAATTTGTCAGTGAATTAATGATTTTAAATCCCAATGTGAATCTGTAGATTTTTTGAATGAGTTTTTATAAGATGACCAACTCACAAAAGTATTGGTATCTTAAGAGTGAATTCTAACACTTTATGAAAACGATTGATCCTAAGCTGCCTGAAAAGAATAAGTGTTTGCTAGAATGTAAAAATGATTATTTTCAATAAAGAGTAAGGCTATGTGGTATGTGAAGATTATATGTATTAGGATTGTTAACTGGTAACATGTATTTGTTAAGTGCTCATTTTATTCCAATATTGTACATAGATATAGTTAACCTATTAGTCATTGGCGTAGTATTGTAGTTTTACATTAAGGCCTCTGGTCCCCTAGTTCTGGTGGTGCAAGTCACGGAGTAAACTTGATTCGGTTGAATATGAAAAAAATGAATTTGTAGTCGAGGAGAATAGGTCTTTTATAATGTTTTTTTTTCTTTTTCTTTTTGAATGAACAAGGAAATATTTTAAACCTATTTTAAAAGTAGTTTCATGATTTATAATTGTTGAACTCATTGACTAAATTCCACTACCTATTTCTACAATTGTACCAGGTCGTTCAATAAGTTCCCGGAAAAACACTCTCATTTTATTAGTTTATAATATTTTTCATTGAAATTTTCACAGTATGTGTGTAATTTATTTTCAAATTATTGTATCAAATTAATTTGAAAATGTCTAACTAGTTTTTAAGTTATCCAACATCATGTGACGTCACAAAAGGGTATGCGGGGCACTGTTTAGTATTACGGTTTCATTAAATCTAAACGTTTTAGTCACATTTTACGATATATTTAACACCCTTTGATGTCTTAATATGCTTGTTAGATTATATGTTCACATAGTCCTCCACTGTCATCTACATCAAATGCTCAAAATATGAACCATCGTGTTGAATTCATAGCCTCTGTCTCTGAACCCATTGCTTGTATTGGTCACGGAACCCAGCTTGAAACTTCTCCTTTAGTGGATTCTGAACACCTGCTTTAAGATCATCAACTGAGCCAAAGCGAATCCCCCTCAGAGCTTCCTTCAATCTGTTGAAAACAGCGAAATCTAATACTGCCGTATCAGGTGAATAGGGTGAATAAAGTTTCTTCTTTTGATAGATTGTCCATGACACAGAAACGGATAGAGCTTCTTATATCTGCATAATGAGTTATTTTCTGAGCAAATCTGCATCCCCTCCTGCAGTAGCCATTTTGGTGTCTGACTAATGACTGATGTCATGCATTAGTTGTGTGATGTCATGCAAATATGTAGGATGTCATCAATTCCAAGAATTTTTGCATCTTGTACAGCAGTAATATGATGTCACATAGTTACCATGGCAATAGGACTGTTTATTCAGTTGAAATAAAACAAATACAAAAAATGTGAACATATGATGAATAAATTGAAAATTGTGTAATTTTAACGTCAAAATAGTGCCCCGCATACCCATTTATGACGTCACGTTATCAAGGATAAGTTAATAAATATGAAATATTGTATACAAATATTTCTATACATAAATTCTAAATATAGTTTACACATACTGTGAAAATTTCAATAAAAAATACCACAAACTAACAAAATGAGAGCGTTTTTCCGGGAACTTATTGAACGACCTGGAAATGAACGAAATGATAATTTTGGTACAACCAGTGATTTATTTGCCCAAACAGTCTTTATTTAGTTATTCCTAGTATCCATAGAAATAAGAAGAGTACAGTAGGTTAAAGAATGTTTGAATGTTTTAAAAAAGTATTCCTCAGAGAGAATTAGAGGGGATAGCACAGAGGGGAATGATGCTATATATTGTCTTACAGTGTGGGGACTAGGACATGTACTTACATTTTGGCTAATTTTACAATGAATCAACTTGTGATATACATTGTACACTGTATAGTTCAAATATTCTCTTTACCCCAATTATGAAGTGCACGAAAGTAAATACAGTTGTAAATGTAGTGGATATTCATTGTTTGACATTTTATTCTAACCATTGGAATGAAATATGAATTTTATTTATTTACAGTGTTGCATCATTTATATTATTCCAAGATAAAAGATACAGTATATGTAAGAGTATTAGAGATGTCATGGAACAATCGGAACGGTTCGGTTCGGTTCGGAACAATTTGCTTCGGAACGGAACAATTTCGGAACAGTTCGGAACAGAGTGACTGCGTGTATAAGATTAAAATAAGTTGATTATCTAGGTCTATTGGTAGCGAAAAGCTCTTCAAAACTTTTCAATGAGAAGGAGTGAAAAGAATGAACCTCTTTTGGTGCAAAATATTGAAAGAAAAATGCTGTTTTGAGGTGATTTAAGGGCCAAAAGTTGTGCATGGGTGAAATGTTCTTGTTCCGGAACCGAACCGAAATTCTCAATTTGTGTTCCACGGATCGGAACAAAATCGGGTATCCGTGACACCTCTAAAAGAGTATGTGGTTACATCTGCCTGCTACACATCATAAATGTTGTGTAAATAAGTACATATTAATCATTAATCACACCAGTAAATGCAATAGGCGGTGTGTAATATTTAGTTTCATTCAGTTAAAACACCACTAACTGCATATGATTAAAAACCCAGAAAATATCAGTTTTTGTACAGTCCATTCTTAGTTATAAGTCAAAAAATTGTGATATTGTTGTAGTCGAGTATGCAAATGAGATAACGTATGCATTATCATGTGAGGTTTGTAATTTTCAGGATTTTGCTGGTTATTTCACAGAGGATATATATAATTTTGATGTTACATCTAATATGGTGCTTTGGCAAAAATGTTTTGTTGAAATGAATGATATGGGCATATGTCCATTGCGCTTCATTAATCATTTGTTGCTTTCCTGCCTTCTTCTCTGCAGATGTTAATTTCACTTTTTTTCCTGGGAATCTAAAACTATCTTGGTAATGAATGACATCATGAGATTACATTTTTAAGAGTTTAAATCATTTTTATGTCACCACCCCAATTGATGACATAAAGTCTCCAAATTTTCGAACAAATGGCAGGTGGTGACATTTTGCATGGAAATGCGTTGTTAACAATTTTGTTGCGGTTTTTAACAAACACATTTCAACTATCGTATTTCTAAATGACAACTTCTACTGTAACTAACGAGCTCAAAATATCTGCAAACAAAACATCTGCAAGAGAGAATACATAACATCATTGAACAAGTTGCTCGGAGATTGTGATATGGTTAGCCCCATGTGTCATCATGATTAAAAGAGCTATTTGTCAAAATTGTAATGTCAATCTTGCAATGATATTTTGCCACATGTGTTGAAAAGATCCGCTGGATTGAATCCAAAACTTCTTTTGACAGACCTCTAGGGTTAAGAACATAACAACATCGTGAGTTGAATGAATATTTGTAATGTGAAGAGATATTGTTGGTGTATGACGAAATAGAAATATTTTTCTTAAAAATGTATATTGTAGTATAAGCAGATTTGTAGGTCAATGTAGGTTTTAATACATTGTTGTCTTTATATTATATATACAGCCATAAAACATGTAATAAAAGATTATCTATATAAATCTTATAGTTTTTATGTCAACATTGAGAAACATGGGAAATGAATTGTATGGCAGAATCAGATCTATAGGGGGTGACAAAATTGCAAGTAACATATACAATTGATCAACCAATCTATTCTTTACAATCCCAAAAATACCATCTCACAAAAGATCCGCATTGTTTTATCAATAAGATTCAAAGTGCAAAAACAATATTTAAATTCTTCCTATTAATAAAAAAAAATGGTGACAATATTTATAGGAATATAATATGTTATTTTTAAGTTTTCCTGAAATGAGTATGCAACTTGGTGTTTTTTAGGAAATAGACATGACAAGGAATGATATGAGCCAAAAATGTTTTAAAATTGAAACAATATTTTGTTAAGCCCACTTAACTAGCTAGATCTGATTCTCCTTTAAGAAAGTATGTTTATGTGTGGTCCAGCTTTTAAACACCAGAACATCTTCAAACGTGATCAGATATCGCAAATGGTTATGGTAACAAAGTGAGTGAACTTGGATCACCAAAAAATGGCATCCTCCGATCTCAGGGCTTCAAAATCCAGAATATATTCTTTTTTTCTACCCCCTGCGATAAGCAGTTAGCATTTCCCCGATTAAGAACTCGCAATCTGATTGGCTGTCGCAATACTGTGACAGAAATCATGTATAAGTCATTACGCATAATTAGATCACGCGATTCAGTTTAATCGGGCGCTTCCAAATTGATTATAGCAGGGGGAGGAAGGAGGTACGGATTCTGGACACCTGCTTAGGAGGATGAAAAATGGTAGCTATTACAATACGTAGTAAGCAAACCTTAAACTCAAATATCAATTATTCATATTGGGTTTGGTTCTTTGATAGACTGATCTCTCATTTTTATAAACATATTTTGCTACTTATGGTAATTGCTGCTTTTCAAGTATTTGGACATTAAAACTCAACTTAAAACATCTCCAAACACCAATTATGCAAAATCATCAATTTCTTTGTGGATCCAATTTTTTCATTCTAGCCATTGTTGGATATGAGTTATGATACTGAAATATAAAACTTCAAACCTTGGAAATCAAGATCGCAGAGGGGCCAAAATACATATGTCAGTTGAACAGTGGGTAAGCTAAGGTGAAGATGGCAAAATAAAGAATGAAATTGAAAACAAAAAATATATTATTTCATTTTTTTATTTTAATATACTTTGACAGCAGACATGTTTACTATTATCAATACTGTGCATGATATGAATGACTGCACAGGGCTAAATGATACTGTAACTGAACGATGCATACATTTTTAAACCACAAAATAATAGTAAAATGGGCAGATTGGAACTCAATTATGTTTAATTGTTGACAGTATGATTTCATTGATTTGTGAACTAACCTTAGTATTCACGTAAACCATCACCAAAATTGTATTCAAATATATTTGGTTTTATCAAGTATCCCAAACCTTCACCTCTTGTATTCCAAATATAAACATTTTCACATTTTTTACAAATCAACATCTCTAAATTAAAACATAATTCGTTCTAAATCTGTACATATTAGAAAACATTTTAAATAACAGCATACTTTTAAAAACAATAATAATTATGACATTTAATAAAAATTCATGAACATAATTAATTAATGCACAGAACATGATTTCACAACACTTTCTTAATAACAAACACAACACAATAAATGTACTTATTTACTGTAAATCATATTTAATGTACTCATTTACAGGGCTCTAGGCAATATAAGGAAGGCACATACATAAAACCTGTATAGCCGAACAACTATCAAATCTAAAAACCTCTTAACATGCTTAATGTGAATTTTTTCGGTCCCACTTTTTCAAACTGATATAGACTTCCACTAAGAAGCCTCCAAATGTGAACCCCTGTCAATCTGAATATTTTCAGCCAATCCCAGTGGTGTTTGGACAAGACAGGTTTTACTTTATTTGTAAAGATTTATCTACAGCCATTAAACTTGTCATATAACCAAACAATGTATGTTAATACTTTAAAGTAAAAGCTTCATTAGCTGTAAAATGTAAAGATTTAGAGGCAAGAATCTTAGTACGTTGGGTTAATATTATTGGCTTGGTCTTTATGACAAAAGAATATTTAAAAAATAAATCAATTCAAACTATGATACTTCAAATAATAATGAAAATATTATTAACAATTTGAACTACTTTACTGTAAAGTTTATAGCACATAAGTCAGTAGTACATATTTGTTGATTGCATTGTGCAGTATATTACAATATGTATTTTTATTAAGATATACACTTCACAGAAACACATGAACACAATAGCCCAAAGTGCCTTAATTATATAAGTTAAAATTGCAACAATTAACATGACACATGAACAAAACTTGGCAATTTTTTAATTGCAATGAAGGGGTTAAGATTAAAGGATGAATGAATTTTAAAACATCTTTAGTGTTAACTAATAACTTATATATTTTTCTCTTCTCAAAATGAGGGTGTTTTTTGTGAGCTGAAAACTGGAATGTTTGGTGATAACCCTAGCTATTTTCATATTATATAAAAGGTCGATATTATTCCATTTCTGAACCTATGCTTTTTTGCCTCTTTTTATTTGACAAAAAGCCTCACTAGACACGTAGGCCTAATGTCGATACTTTAAAATAACGTTCTCAACTTCAATCCAGATCTAACTTAAAACCAAAAGGTAGAATTCATGACACACCCCAATTACAAATTATATTGGGTGTGTCATAGCTTTTAAATAGCAGTTAAATAATATATAAACATCAGTGGCCTTTATGCCATAATTTCTGCTGTCATCATCGGTGGTCAATTTTGAAATGACACATCATTGCCATACAAAGCAAATCAAATGGAATTATAACTCGAGACTGTATCCTGAGGCTAAAAATAATAGAAACTCATATGCCTACCCAATCTTATTTGTTAAAGCTATCTGATAAATTAAAAACAATTCTATGCAGCAAGTCCCACCTTAACATAATGCCAAAATAAAAATATTAAAATTCTAATAATAAAAAGCACCAAGGTTAGTTATAAGGCACAATAAGACACCAACACTATCATTTATAATATAAAGTTCTATCCTACATTTTATTTTTCTCCTTATTGGTTCTTCTTGTTGTTTTAATACATTTAATTAGATCCTTGAATGTAATCAACTTTGTAAGTTCAGCTGTACAACCATACACATTGCACAATGATATTCTGGTGGGTTCAATATATTTCAATTCAAGGAGGGATATCAATATTAAATATAACTATCTCGTTAAAAATATCAGACTAAATATAAATAAACTCTGCACTTTTAGGTTCTCAAATATCATCGAAAAATCTGTAAAAATATTCTTTTCCGGTGGAAATTTCTTTTCATGAAAATACGATGGGTGAGATAGTGGCATTTCCAATAAATAATACATTATACATCTATAATTTGAAATTCTTAATAACAATTCATTTAGTAAACTTTTCCCATACAAATGATTAATATTCTGTGAATATCACACATTTCACACCTTTGATTAGATTTGAGGTACATCATGTAGATAATGCATAACATTGTCATATTTCAAAATGACAAAAATATGAGCCTTTATACTTTAAGATTCAGATGCATATATTATTATCTAAACACAAATGGAGCTAGAGTAATTAAATTCTATGTTTAACATTGCTTCATCATTGTAGAAATTTCAATGATGAAGCTTTTTGCTTTTCTAATATTCTAGTTTGGCCGACTGTGGTGAATACAGCACTTATTTCTTTCATAAAACATGAACTTATGGTTTATTTTCCACAAAAGTAGCATGGTATAACATTTGAAAAATAAATGAGCGTGAATAAGCCAAACATTTTATTTATTCACACTAGCCTAAATTGCACATATCCTTGCTATTATATATCTACACCTTTATAGTGAAATATTGTATTTCTGAAAAATATAAAGCTAAATCGGAATCATAAATGCCTTGCTATAATTACACAATATTGAAATCTAAAGAATATTCATGCTCTTAGCTAGTATTGCATATACCCCAGGGCATATACCCTTACATTATCTTTAACATTATGTGAAATAAAAATACATTTTATAGATTCATATCAAGACGTCAGATTCCCCGCAACTTTCCACAATATAAATGGCGAGGCTTGAACCTCTAACAGGTATCGATAGAATGCATATGATATGAATGATAAATATTTGGATGAAAATTTGTGAAAAGTTGCAGAAAGACTGAATTAACATACTCTCTGTTCCCATGAATGATATGGAATTGAACAGTGTTTATAAAAAGGTAGTTCTCAATCATGAGATCGACTTTGTGTTAAATATTATCTCAGAAATTTTATTAGGGATGTATCTCGAAATTCAGAACAGTTTGCCTACTTGCGTCTAAAATCCTCTCTTCAGTTAACAAAGGATACATGTTCATCTTTTGTTCATGTTATATTTAAAACATAATATGAACAATTGTGAAGACTTTAATGACTTTGTAGTCTTTATGTGAATTAAAAGAATATAAAATCATTATATTTTGACTATAATATGTTATCCTATAAGATCCAACGGTTTCTTCTTGTGTAATACTGCAGTGACACTGTCTTTGCAGGTCTTATTGGCCACCTGATGTGTGATATTCTGAATATCCCCTCCTGATATTTTTCATTATTACCCTAATAAAATTTCTTGGCTGCAGCTTCTTTACTGCTCCTGAAAAACAAAAATAAATATTCTGAAGCTTGTTCATTGTAATACAAGTAGTGACATCTTTCTTAAGCAGACAAGCGTAAGGGATTACCTTTATTATATTAAATGTTTATAGTACACTATTCCAAGTGTCATGGGACCAGGGTTTAAGTTTCAATGGGGTGGGGTGTTTTTGTGGCCCTTTTGAGAGTAATCAAACAAGTGAGGTTACTCATTCTATTTTTAAAGGATTCAGTTATAACGCAGCAACTAGTTAAGTCAACCTGGTTTATGCAAACATCTATATGTTGAATTGAAATTCCCATACAGTGAATGTTTTAAACCCATTTTGGATATCTCATGTTTGACTCCCATAATATTGGACCTCTAAATGTGAACAATTTACAATGACGTAAGCACCCACTTTAGACAGGTTTCATGGAAGAATGAAAGATAAGGAGGAGCAAAGTGAAATATTTGTGTCCAAAAATAGTTTGAAAATTTTCTTTATTGTGGAAGCATAAATTATAGTGGTATAAAAAGACAAGGTTGAAATTCAGAATAATTTTACAAACAATTTATTCAGAAATGACTACAACAAAAAGCAAGGTGGCGGTATCCTATGAATCCTAGTAAGCATGCATCAACTTACTTATAGGCCATGTATCCTATGAATATGACAGTCTGGACTGCTAAAAAGACTAGAAGTAGGGTAGAGCTGACACACTTTGGAGTCTCTATCACAGGACACACTGGCACTGCTGCCTGCAAGTCAAAGAAAGCACATGATCATTCAGACTAAAGTCAATGAAATAGGCTAGCACATAGCCCTAAGAAATGTGGTCATTTAAGAAGTTAAAGTGCTATTTAATGAAATGAGGGCTGCTTTGGTATAGTTCATTTCTTAGGGCTTTGAGTGACACTAAAATTCTGTAAAGGTATACTATACTGCTACAAGGTGATTGAAATAATTAAAATTTGATTTTAATTTAAGAACTCAAGTCAAATTGTTTCAGAAACACTTTTAAATTTTCAATTTTAATTCAATTTATTTATTTCATAATTCTTAAATAATATACACTATAAAAAACAAGCCGCTGGACACCCTAGTGGGTATATGTTCCACTTACATTATTGAAATGGAAAAAATGATTTTAATTTTATACTATGAGAAAATGCATAGCATTTGTTGACTATTAAAACAGTATTAGTATTTATACAATGTTTATATATAAAATAAGCCTTGTCAAAATAAATCAAATCCACCTTCCGATCTGAAAGCTTAAGATATAATTAAACAAAGTCTCAATATTCACTAGAAACATGCAATACAAGCACAGTATACTTATGTGAACATAAAAGATCAAGAAAATCAAAAAACAAAATTTAAATATTATCCAATCCTCCACCAGTGTCCCATATCTTTATGCTAAAAAATATACGTGGATGGAATACCAAGAAAACCAAAACCAAATCAAATCCTGAAAAAAAGACAGAAAAAACCTCCAACTCCAAGGAAGGACCATGTACATACATCTGGTTTATTCAACAAGCTTCTCATGCTATCCTGAAGACTGCCAATATTATCTAAGATTTTGCCGGAGTCGTAACCTCCTGCACTACCTCCACCTGTGCTCCCAGACAGAGACGAGGTCTTGGTGTGAATTTGCTCTATGACGTACCTATAGAGAAAAGGTGTGATAGAAGTGAGTATAAACAGTGTGTATAGCTTACAATAACACTAAAGTATATGGAGTATAGAAGTATAGACTTTGCAGTTAATGTGTCAGAATCATGGTTTGAAGACTACTTCCCCGTTTATTGGCATGCATTCTTTACATTTTCGGGCTATTGTTATCAATTTAAAATGGCATATACAAGTATATGTATTAGTATATTCAGGAAATTTTGACTGAAATGTAAAAATATGTACTTTTGAAGTGTGAAGGCTAAATGACAGTATGTCAAGATTTTCCTTCCAAAATTGATGTGTTCTGCAATAAATTGTCTCTCTGGCTTAATTTTCAGAAACAAAAAAGAAGGAAGATATCATTTTGCGGTGTCTGAAATTCCAGGAAAAACCTTCACTTCAAATATATCTGGTGCAAGAAGCATATTTTCTTGCTAAAAGGGGAATGAAACTACAAAGTCCAACCAACTATTACTCCATCTATATACAGCCTTTAGATTAGTTCATGATCTCAGATATTTCCTAGACAATTTTACTTGAATAAGAAAACTAGATACAAATCCCACTCACATAACTAATTTATCCCTTGACAAGTGAGGTTTCACAAGTGAGGTTTTCAGGATACCCATATCCAGGTTTCTTTAAAGCATTCTCATTCCCATTATTTTCGAAAAACCATCAGAATTTTGGTCAAGAGAAATTCTACCATCTGCAGAATCCATTTTGTGAGTTTCACTTTAGCAAAATATATAAATTGTTTCTACACTGAACAAAAACGTTTTCTCAGGAATATTAGAGCGGGAATACACAGTGGGAGATATAATGTATGTCTCACTTCCCCAATATATCAATTCTATATCCTGCTGTTATGTAGCCTAAACCTCACATGTCATATCATAAGAACATATAATAGATTTGTACAAAAAAAATTATCATTTTATAGGTAAAAATCTCTAGGAAATGGAAATATGATCATAAACTAATATGTAGGCTGCCATTTTAACAACACATTTACTTGCAACAACATGCTACAATGGACATGCTATAACACAAGCATGCTGTAACACAAGCATGCTATAACACAAGCATGCTATAACTCAAGCATGCTATAACTCAAGCTTACCGGTTTATTTATTAAATGCTTAATATCATTTTGTAGATTAACTAAACTGTCTCTGACTTCATGTTGAGATGCTTGGTTTTCATAACCAGAGGGGGGTGCTGCACCCCCTTGGCCTACTTTTTGTGAAACGCTATTTACCATAGCTCTGAAATTGGTAAACATGGTACAGACAGGTTTTCATCGAAGTTTTTACTCAAGATCTACTCAAGTTAACATAATATATTGGAATAAAATAGATAAGGATGGTTTAGATTTTTTATTCTACAATCTTTCAGTAAAATCAGTTTTGACACTCGTATACTTGTCCATTTTCAGATGAATCAGCTCCACTTCATAAATTCAAGGTCATATGAAAGCCACTTTCTAGTCATGCATAGATTTTGGATAAGGTATTCATTTGAGATCAAGTCTTATGGTGAACGTGATAAACATCTATTGAATAAACAAAGAAATATTCATCTTAGTCTTTCATTACAGAATCACATAACAACATATAAAATTGCATTAATTTCGATGAATACAATAACAGATACTCATTGTAAATGAGAAAAATTACAAAAACCTAAAATTTTCTTACTTGAGATCTCTAGCTGTGTTTAGGATATCTCGCCCATTTTGTATAACTGTCTCAACTTCATGGCGTTTTATAGTATCTACATAAGCTTGGCCTCCCTAAAAATATGACATGTCATTAGGCATGTGATTATATAAGGCATATGAACTCTGAAAGCCCTTCAAAGGGTTTGTTTGAGAAAGAGAGCATCTTTTACAGTCTCTTGAATATGAAGATTTCAAATATTTGAGATGAATTAACTCTCAGATGAAAAATAAATAAATATTGAAACAGAACACAAACGTAAAAAATGAAAGTAGTTCCAGTACCTGATTGCCTCCAGCAGGCGGCTGTTGCACGACCTGGCCTGTGTTGCCAGAGTTTATCATTGAGATCTGAGATATAGTTCTTTCCTGGCGACCAATTACTTCATCAATTTTACGATTAAGGTCTCTGATTACTGTATGTATCATGTTCTGACCATCAAAGATCTGTTTCAATTCTCTCTGTTGCTGGCTCTCATACTGAAATAAAAGGCACATTAAATTAATAACATATAAATCAAGGTGCAAACATATTTAAAAGTACAAAATGTGAGTTTAGGTAGATCCCCATTTTCACAAAAAGCTGATATCCAAAATTTGATGATATTTCAACATTTAATTTTAAATTGTAAACATCCAAAAAATGTGAAAAATATTCTCTTTTTTATTTATCAATAATCGTTGGTATTTATAAAAAAATCACATAAATATCCTCACTGTGTAAATCTACCTTAAGAAATTAACTCAAAATGGCATCTTGCATTGTACTTCTCATGGTTGATGGATGTAATTGTACAGATTATCAATAATTCTTCCTTTTTATTCGGAGCAAAAATATTTGATATTAAAAGTACATGTTCAGTGATCCAGACCAAAAAATACATTCATTATCACAATTTAAATCAAAATCGTTATTTATTTTCAAAATTTTGTTCATATATTGAAGTTGCAGAAAGTAATCACATTAAGGTAAGTCGAGCAAAATGAGTAATATCAGACTTGATTGGAAAAGTGATTCCACTTAGCCTACCTTAATCAAAGCACTAAATGTATTAGCAAGCTCTTAGATGTTGTTCTTTATATTACATAGGACTATAGTACATATTTATACTATAAAGCATCATAGATTAATCTAGACTATTGTGTCTATAGAGTTAAGTATCGCATGAACAGCTACTCATGAATATACAGCACTATCAATATGCCTACATAATACAGAGTATTATTCTTATAAAAACACACTTATGTACAATATGGTGTATGGTTTATTTATCATGTTCTTTGATATAACATTTGGGCTTCATTATAAAGGAAAGGACCAGTAACAGGGAAGACCAGTTACATGTTTCTTTGAAGATGAGGATTAGAACAGAATAGTTTCATTTCTCATCAAAAATTAAAGGAAATCACCCAAGATAGTCAACAAAAACACAAGGTTTAACCAGCGCAAAAGTGCAACTATTTCTTGTTGTTATTTTCTATCAAACTGAGATTTAAATAATTCAGATGTTTTGGAATTTAATCATATTGATCAATACATGTGGGACAGGTCTATGTGGGACAGGTCTTCAAATCTATTGCCTTAGATGACAAATAGAGAAAATCAAGTTAAACTATGAATGTCTAAGAAAACAATAAAAACAAAAACAGGTGCAGATGTTAAAGTATGCAACAGAAAAGCACTATTTCCTATATAGGCAATAGGTGGCACTCATGTCTCACCCAGTCATCAGGATTGTATTCTTCATTTAAATTAGCGACATTCGGATGTTCAGCTTTGTATCTGGCAAATAAAATAGCACAACATTTAACTTGTTTTAACTTGAAAATACAATTGAACTTTAGGGCAACCTTGAATGGTTGACTCGATTTAAGGCATGATTTGGATTCTTCAAACAAAAATGGAAGCATATTACTTTTTAGGTTATTTTGTGTTTGTTTGAAAAATCCACTCTGCGCTGATCGACCTTCATTTTGAAAATAGCGCCACCTACCCATTTATCCTCGTCTTCTGTGTCATCAGTTTTGGCATCAGGGTGCTCCTTGCGATAGCTGGTAAATTAAATGTTATGTGTTTCATAAAATGTATGCTGTTTTCTGAACAAATATTATCTCAAACTGTCTTTGATAAATGCTAGTAAATTATAAATATACTGTGTTTCAGGTGGGTGTATACAAAAAATTGTTCCATGGAAGTTTGAACAGAATAAGTATAACTTAAATCAAATTGTTTCTCCAGTATGAAAATGTTCTCTCTTACAAGTCTCAATAACATAACATAGCAATTAAGTATTTAAGTCTCAGTCAGATTTGCACTACGGCGGGCATATGATGGTCGTAGCTTCACAAAACCGTGCTGCTTATCCCTGTATTTTATGCTGCATATTTCTATTGATTTTGGGAAGCTAGGACTGCTGGTCAGTTGCCTTCAATCAAATGTGACTGAGCCAAGAAGAATTGAAATGAAAAATGTCAACTCACTCATCCTTGGCCCTTTCTAGTTTATCCCGATATTCATTGAATTCTTGTTCAAACTTTCGTCTCTCCTCTTCTGGAACACTGCCAGGTGCCTAAAAAAGTGGAAACATATATTTGATTTATTTATTTCAAAAGGGACCTTTTATTGTGAATAATGAATAATCATTTTTGTAAATATCACAACTACGAACACAACACACAGTGATAAATAAAAGCGAAATGGCTGCCTTATAAAATACCTAGGATTTTCAAAACTGAATTTGGTGGAGAAACAGATTAAAAGGAATTTTTCATTTTAGGACAAAGAGTTAAAGGCAGAGATTACATTTTTTCAATATTTATGTCGGGAACTAATCATAATCTAACTCACCCCAGGAGCGCTAGGTTCATTTAAAGTGTGGGTAAGTATTGACAGCACATCATGATCATCTGGAAATAATCACATTTATGTGTTAATTATAAATTGTTAAGTTAACCAAAGGGCATTTAAAAATGAATAAAATACAATGTTGGTATCAAAATTAATTACCTGATTTATTCAATAAATTGATTGAGTTATTTATGACTTGAAATAAAATATCATATAGGGATATTACAAATACAATATAAATAATATCAGAAAATATTAACTTTCTAAAATGTCTTTATACCACAAATGTACAGTGTATGCATGGGCTTTCAACTAGATAATTGAAAGCCCATGGTGTATGGTACAACTTCTGAATGCCATTCATGTAGTTTATGGTAACTCCCTTATATCATACATGCACAAAGTTGAGGATGCTCCAAAGATATAAGATCCAACTGATTTACCTGCAAGTCCTCCTGTGGCAGCTGATACCCCAAGATAGCCCTCAGCTGGCAGGTAGACATTCTCAGCTCTAAGACACAACTCATAGTCTTCCCTGTTATTGGTCATTCCATTGTGGAAAAACAGCTAAAATATGAATAAATTTGAGTATGAAACAGATGCCTGATTAATTCAATTCAATATCTTCACAGTACACAATTTTCTAAATGATTCCATTGAATCTATTATAGATCATTTAAATCACATAATCATAGGTAAGTCTACAATATAAATTGATTCCGTTCACTATTGTATACACACAAGTAATTACACTGTATTAGCAGTTGGCTAATAGAGAATGGAATATTTTAGATACTAACTCTAATCATATATACATTTTGATAGAATCCTTGACTTTAAGAACATGACGGGGTAGTTTCAGATTGCAGTACTGAAGGTAAAATGAAATGGTTTCTGACTACAAATACATAAATGGGTAGGTGGCTCTATTTTCAAAATGAAGGTCGATCAGTACAGAGTGGATTTGTACATTGTATTTTCTTTCAGTGCCAATCCATACATCGAAATGATGTACATGTACTTACTGTTAGTGCTTTCTTGTGGTATTCTATCTTAGCTCTGACTGGGAATGGTTTGTTCCTGAAGTCCCTGAGGCAACCACCAAGCTGTTGTGCTGACCCATCACTGCAATAAAGTAAATCAATATAAGTACATGTGCACTTGGATTTACATTGCTATTGTATATATTAGTAAAGGCATACTGAGATGATCAGTAATAGACTTGAAATCTGGATTTTTGTATTAGTATGTTTTACCATGAAGTAAATATACAGAAGGGACCCCTCCCTGCAATGAGGTATATAGAGATTATCCTATATGAGGTTCAGGATATTGGGATTATCCTGAGGCTAATATAATATATTATATTGGCCAAGGAGCGGGACGTAAAGCAATATCTGCCCGCTGATGAAAATATAAGTTTTTTTAAACCAGCTTTATGTTCCCGGAACACGTCCAAGTATGGGATGAATAAATATAGGTTCACGTGCACTTGCATTTAGATTTCTATTATACATTAACAAAGGCACACCGATGACCAGTAAATCTGGATTTTTGTATTTAATTAGCATGTTTTGTCTTACCATGAAGTTAACATGCATAAGGGATATAAACTTACGTTTGATGGTCATACTGTTTAGTGCCATCATTGGTCATTGCCATGATGTAAGGGTTATTGTGCTGGGCATCATTGTCAAATGAATCAAAGAAGACGGCAAGACCATTCCACATGTCACTGCTACCGAAAACAGGACCTTCTTCACCTTTTTGGGAAGTGTACCAGAAAGCCTAAAAAACATTTTGCTTGAATAATTAGTCATCGTTATACAGAACCATTGGATTTAAATTTGAGAGTAAAGGTTTATATTTCTGTGAAAATATCAGCAGTAAAAATGTCTTCTGATTGTGGAATTGTACACCTGTGTTTTTATATGTATATGCATTTTTGTTAGACTGGGAGCCATTTATTAACAATAATGGAGTGTGACTTTTATCATGGATTATCAGACATCCCAGCTTATATCATATCATTAAGTGAGGGTTTAATAAATATGGAAAATACACTCACCAGGCCATCAGCTCCTAGCCTACCACGCCCAGTGACCCTAAAGGTCATCTCAACCTCCCAGCTCTCAGAGGTAAGTTTGTTTTTACCCCATACATAACCTGGAACATAACCATATAAGTAAGTACAGTAAAACATGATGTACAGTAAAATCTAAAGTACTCAACCGAAATATCCTTGTACAATAGTTAAACATGACCTCTAAACTGAAACGAGTAAAAATGTTCAAGTTTGGGTGTTGGTCTTCAAAAGGTTAGTTAAATGGATGTCAATTTGAGGAATGAAAAATGGATATATGAAAAGTGTCCATGTTAGAGGGTAGCTCAAGTTGCCTCAAGATAAGAGGTTTTATTATGTACATAGTAGATTAATGATGCAGGTACACTATAAGTAGTAAGTACACTTTAGAGTAGGAGTACAATTCATGGGAAAAGATATCTAATAAACACATGTTTCTTTCAAATTTGTAAAAAATCAATCTGCTTGAAAAGTTCTGCTTAAACCTATTATCCAAAAAGGGACACAAATTTTTCTAATGGCAGGGTTTGCAACAGATGTTTAATTCAACTAATACAATGGCCAAATGGCAATTTTAAAATAGGAAAACAGCTTTAACTTATATGCAGAAATTCTGATTCATAAAAATGGAATAAACCCACTAGAAAGTATTTTTGTGCATAATTTGGGATATTATGTAACATATGTGACTAAACCTGGGTAAGTCGCACCCTACTCTCTATAACTGTGAGAAACACCAGACATAGTTAGAGATTGTAAATGAGACTGATCACATACTTCAATGTTGTAAAAACATGAAACAATATTTACTCACCTTTCTTGCTCCTCAGAGAGGGTGTAATACGAATGGACTCGTCACTGGCAATAGCATCTGAAACAAAGAAACTTTAGGATTAATTTATCAGTTTAGGATCGGCACTAAAATGGGCCGCCATTTCTAAAAAAGTGGCCATTTCTAAAATCGACTTTCAAGCAGAACTTGTATCCCCATAGGGTATATGTGTACAAAATATGAACAAAATCGAGCGAATGGTATTTGAGTTTCTTATAATTATAATACAATACTGGCAGATCTGAGGGATCCTAGCCCTCCCTTTAGATGGCCCAAAAAATTCACAAAAAAGTAACAATGACCTATATGGAGATCAAGTCTGCAATCAGTCAATTGTAGTGTGATTGAAATTATAAAATTATTTATAATAGAGGGAATGTGATCAACAAAATTAAATCAGAAATTAAATGTTGGTCTATCAATCAGAACACTCTACATGTCAATCAATATCCTAAAAAAAATATTTGTATTGTCAAGAACTATTCCTGACACAATGATATTCGATTACAAGTAAAATCAGATGTTACATTTTTATTTCTTAATTAACAAGTTTAACCAGTCTCAATTTTTATTTTTAATTTAATGGTAAATTTGATGAAAATTGATGTGGATATAATTAACCTGTTACGTTAGCCAACTATAACATAACAATTACAGGGAGTAAGCCAACCCCCCCCCACACTCTATACTAAAGTTAGTAAACTGGTGGGTGACTTACTCACAATTGCCGAAATTGGAGATCTTTGAGGAAACAGAGATATGGGAGCAAGATCATTACATGTACAGTAAATATTGATTTGGTCCCCTCAGCCCAAACTGCAGTCAATGTCAATTCTATAGATCTAACAAGTTAGTCTATTCACATTCCTGGGTTTCACCATATATAAGCTTTGGCGTGATCCTAGGCTGAACCCTCAGATATTATGGAATCTGTCAAATTTCAATATATTCCCATACCAACCGATAATTAAGGTAAGTCTGCATGTTCGGAATTTTGCTGCATTCGAAAATTGAGTCACATGTTATTTTTCAAATACTATAGGAATCACTCTTTCCCCACATTGTCTACATCTTTCAGTTTTTCACAAAGAGTGCACTAATGAACCTAGAAAAAGACTGATGAGAAGATTTGTTTTGTAAAATGTATAAAAAACGACAAAATTCAGTGACGGAAGGTCTTTTCTCGGTACATGAATGCACTTTTTGTGCAAAACTGAAAGATGTAGACAATGTGGGGAAGGAGTGATTCCTACTTAAAAAATAACATGTGACTCAATTGAGGATTGCAGCAAAATCCGAACATGCAGACTTACCTTAAATAATGCCCCAATGCCATACCAAATGACCAAAGAATAGTGGCCCATTGCCATATACCAAATATATCATGAGTTATCCCGTGCCAGGACTATAGTCCTGCATCGAGTGCAATCTTTTGCCTGTACAATTACAACTTGGGAGAATTATCTACGCCCCTTAAACTTAAGATACCTACTTCAACTACCTACTAGGTATCTTAGCATTCTTTTCGTGTAGTTGAATCCACAATTGTCTGGGTATATCGGCAGAACGGGAACGTTTTTCTTTTTCATCAAGAGATATTCCATCACTTTCCAAGATGGCGGTTGGATTTCAAAGGGGATTTCCCGTTTGACTGACCCGGAAGTGGCCCGGAAGCACCAGTAAATGGAGGAATTTGACGGTTGAAATAAGTTAAATATTACACGCAAATATTGCGATCAAAAAAGAAAATTTCTTTGTTCTGCCGATAAACCCAGACAATTGTGCATTCAACTACACGAAAAGAATGCTAAAATACCAAGGAATCTATTGAAATAGGTGTTTTAAGTGTAAGAAGCGTAGAAAATTCTCCCATGTTGTAATCGTACAGGCAAAAGAATAAGACGTTCACAGGACTATAGTCCTGGCACGAGATAAATCGTGAGGGTTTGTACACGACCATACTCAAATCAGAAAGTGGAAATATCCCACATAACTGTACCTCAAAAGTCATATTTTTGGACAAATGTTAAGAAAGGTGCCGAAGATCCCCGTCAATGTTTAGATCTATATATATGTGAACCCCCCTCCCCAGATTCACATTCAAACTGTCGACCACTATATTAATACATGTGGTCTCTTTGAGCTGGAAAGACAAGAGCTCTACTCGAAAGTTGACAATATACTCCTAGGAGAAAATACAAATCCACTACTGGATCTACAGACTCTAAGTGGTCGTAACATAAACCTGTCACAATCAACAAACAGGACAATATTTCATGCCTTTTGCAATTACATTAGGCAAACCAGGAGATTTTAAATGAGCACATATAAAAACTGTATATAATAGTATAAGGAATTTTAGACTTTTGATAAAGAACAAGTGAATAAGTATCAAGAGCAAGCACAAGGGAATAACCAGTAACACGTGACCAATAAGCGGCATTATAACGCTATAAAGGATACAAACAAACAATGATCAATATTCCCTGAACAAAATGTTGAAAACTACATATATAACCTACTACTTGATATGATAAAAGTGATTTTTCAAAAGATGTTGATATGCTAGGCAATATTTGGGGATGGAAGCCGTCTCTAATTAATGCCACATATGCAACCCGGCATATGGTAAAAAATCAGAGATGTAAACATTTGGAAAAATACTCACGTCCACCATGTTCCCAGAAAGGGATCGTCCCGTCCTTTTGCACTAAGTGAGGACCCTTAAAGCTCAACTTGTATTCAAATTTTCTGTGGGTAAGCTGGCCCAGAACAGCAGATATCCCACAAAGTATTGTGCAAATTACAAAAAAAGAAATTTTGTTGGCCATCTTGGAAAAAAAGACCCCGATCCATTGAGTCCGTCAAGATTTCGATCAAATCCTAGCTAATCCTCGCTGAATAGATCCAAGTGTTCTTTTATCATTAGCATATGAAACGTTTATTATGTTTCGAACGGTTTGATCATAGATGAGTCTTGAGTTTTGCTGTAAAAGGTCCCAAAAGTTGGTACGGACTGAAAATCTGAAGGTGCCTATTAAAACCTGGCTCTCTCTGATTGGATGAAATTTACGTCGTCTGCAAGGCCAAGAAAATGTGATATAGTCTCCAAAAATATGTTCGTTTAGCATCCATATACAGATGTATAAGAAAAATTCGAAGAATGAATTTTTTATTCGTTCATTATGTTTAAACTATGCTTACAGAAAAATGGTACAGTTGATCAGTCATTTTAAGGATCATGTAACTGAGCTTATTACTACTTTTCTCTTTGCCCAATGCCTATGATTGAGATTTGTGTAAGAAGATAATATTCTTTATTCTTGCAAAAAATAAAAGACCTATAAGACCAAATAATACACTGAACAGTGACCTTGTTCAGCTTAGATTTGATTTAAGACCTGCTGAATTGTTCAATGACCGTTATTGATCATGTTGATATTAGTTTTCATTTATCATACTTCTTAACCCTACTTTTGTTAAACATAGAATGGCTTTACCATCTTCTAATTAGCCAGAAAGTGATATAATATCTAGCTTTATGGGAAATGTAAATTGGGTTGGTCACTACAGGGAACTTTTGGTTATCAATAATCGTTAAACATAAATTTAATTTATTTGAGCCTTACTCTTCTCCAGGTTACTGTACTTCAAATATAGATGTTGCAAGTAAAACTCCTCAATGAAATACACAATTGTTGGTCAATAAGGGCTGAATAATCTAGTTATCTATAGCTAAAAACCCTAAGGATTCCCAGATAAATCCAAAGTTTTCATATATCTTTTAGACATTTTGTTGCATTTTAGTTATGTAGACTTCTACAGGGTGAGGCAAAAAGATAATTCAAAAATGCATGTTAATAACTCGGTCATTGAACATGGGTTAAAACCATATTTGGCACGGGTTTGTAGAAAAAACCGGGTACCGGGTAGTAAATCCTCCATGCTGGGTTCAAACTTGGTACCCGGTCAAAAAAACCGGGTACCCAAAAATCGAAAAATACAAATATATAACATAATTAGATCATGTGAAAACGTGTGAGATTTGTTTTGAACTTACAAAAATGTATGTAACTTCCTTCAAAATAGAGCTAGAAGCTTCAAATAAAAAGCATTTTGAGGCTCCTTTCTTCCTCTATCATCATTAGTGTTGTCGCGATGTGACATAATCGTACATCCATGCATCTGCAATTTTCAGTAGTAAACATCGATGCACATCGCGATGTACATCGAGAAAAAGTTCGAGAAAAGTGCACTGAAATACCGAACACTAATGCACTAAAATATCGAACAGAACAAATTAATAAGAGTACGCTGGTACATCCAGGAACATAGTAACGGTGAAATGAAAGTAAAGTAATTTTTTTAGATTAATGGTTCATTTCGACTAGCTAAAACAGTTTTAAAGCGAAAGAATATCAGAAAACATTCGAAAATGAAATAAGACATGAAAAAAGGTAAGCAATTTGCGTCAAAATAAGAAAAGAAAGGGCGATTTTTAGCAAATTAAAATTTTTGAAAAACATCGATGTTTTGTTTCAGACATCGATGCATCGCCAGAACCAGCTTTGGCAATGTATATCGCGATGTATCGATTAATCGCGACAACACTAATCATCATGGTCATATTTTCATTGGTTATGGGGGGGGGGGCACTTTGTACTTTGCACTTTGTACTTATTTATAGACCTTGTTAACAATATAAAACAGGAGGTTATATGTACTTGTGGAACTTTGTAAAAAAACAGGTACCGCACCATCGAACCCCCTCCTGGCTACGCAAATGACATTGTAAGACGATTTGAAAAACATGACAAATCAATCTTACTCTATTTTCAATATTTCGTATGTTGGTACGTGAATTGTTTTGATTATGATTTTAATAAATAAATTAAGTAAAGTAAGTAAATTTAAATAAATATCTATCATTACTTTAGCAGAGAGGTGACGTGTGTTAATTTACATGATGCAACGTGTAAGATTTTGATTATTAATCATAATTTAAGTTATCCAATTTTCGATGAAACATCCACTGAAGTGTAAATTGTTACGTCTTACAATGTCATAGGCGTAGCCAGGATGGGGTTCGATGGTGCGATCGCCTCCCCCCCCCCATTACCAATGAAATGATGATAGAGGAAGAAAAGAGCCTTAAAATGCTTTTTATTTGAAGCTTCTAGCTCAATTTTGATTGAAGTTACATACATTTTTGTAAATTCAAAACAAATCTTACACGTTTTCTAATGACCTAAGTATGTTATACAGCATATTCGTATTTTTCGTTTTTTGGGTACCCAGTTTTTTTGACCGGGTACCAAGTTTGGGCCCAGCATGGAGGATTTACTACCTGGTACCCAGTTTTTTCTACAAACCCTATTTGGCACAATTAATCCATTTTCATTGTTCTTTCCTTCTCCACTTCTCCAAAGTTTCATTAGTCTATCTCCAATGGTTACGATTTTATGGCTATTTAAAAAACATGCTCAAAATATGCACTCACCGGACATAAACCCAACCAGATTTTTATCTGTAGGCCTCTCTACACTACCAACCCTTGAAACATTGAAACAAGAGATAAGAAGGAAGATGAGAGCAATAACACACAATGTCTGGGATTTTGTAGTGAACAACTACACCCGATACATTCAAGTTAGCCTCCAGACACAATGCTGGTTTTTTATGGCATGTTTTGTAAAATGGCCATAAAATTGCCAAATCCATGCTGTATGAAACATTAGTTGGTTAACTTTTTTGGCACACCCTGTACATTCAATAGACAGGGAAATCATGATATTAAATCATAATAGATCTCAGGTGTTGACTTTGAAATCTTGGTTTACAATTACAATGGAGGTACATATAATTCACATTTATTTGTGTTTGAGCAAAGCGACATTAGCAAATAAATGATTTCTTTGTACGTTGCGTAAATGGAACAGTATGTTGTATAGGGATAAGAGGTGATTGGTCGATGCTAGTTTAGTGAGTGAGTGATATGGTTCGAATGATAGAGCGTCGGTTGTATAGTCATTTTGAGTTCTTGCCACGACATAAACACTCAACACATTTTTAAACACAATATAGAATTTGTATCGTTATACATTTGATTTACTTTTAATTGATGGTTTATTTTTGTCAAGTTGAGAAACATTTACTTTATTAAACGTTATTGTATCAGGGTGCAAGTGTATTTTATAATTCTAACATTTACATGTCTTTGATCGAACGCGTACCTTTTCCTCATTTGTTTGGGGTTTTTAATGGCCGGGATCGATCAATTTCGCTAAATGTAATATTTAAAGTGTGCGCCAACGTTTAAAACTGCGCAGGCGCACCGCTCTCGCTAAACTATATAAAGAGATTACCAGGTAGACGATTCAGAGGTAAGCCAGGAAGGCGAACGATCTTCGTCTCGTGATGATTTCCCATATAATCGTAACCAGGGAAGTTTCACCATTGAAATTGAAAATTACTATTAGATATACTTTGTAGATGTTATTTATGAAGCTATTTAGTGTTTGCATCAATCAAATGGCTCATTTTGAACATATAAAAAGTATTTGTGTTTTGTTTCCAGGGAATTGTATTGTATGTAGTACACACATAAATACTGTACATTATACAGTACTTGAATAGCCTGGTTTACATAATATTGAAGGGCATGCTGATTACACATGCACACGAGTACATGAATGAAGGCCTAATATTGATATACGTAGCTTGCATACCTAAATAAAAAATAAACTCTCCTAATCCCCTAATGTAAACACGGCGGTATACGTAGCCCGATTTATCGGGGACTTTAAGCCTTAATGATCTCGCTTAACGGTCGAGCTCTTTCATGTATTAAGACTTTTTCAAATAGCATATTGTAGAGAACATTATTGAGCCATTGTGACCAATGTTTGTAATTCACCTATATTGTACCATGTTCGTAACACCATGATTCTTCAATAAACGAAAGTGGCAAAGCTCACTTCCTTTCATATTGTAATTCGTATCTTCTGTTGCATCGAGCAAAGTAAAGAATTAAAGGTTACCTTCTGCATGAGTAAACATTTTGTCTTTAGAGATCATACTAGATGCATGGGAAATGCATACACTGAGTTTTCCACCAGACCATGAAAGAGGGGGAGAAACCCCAGGGTTCAAAGATGACATACGCTTATAATGTAAATCTGTATTGAGATGACATGGTCACTGATTGGTATAGCGAGTCGATCCTTGATAGGTTTAAAACTAGGTCAATTTAAAAACTTTGAAAACCAAGATGGAGGTTAAGTGCTTCCGGGAAAGGAGGTGCGCGAAGGAGGAAATCGTATGTCATCAATTGAATCATGGGGTTTTCCCTCCTCTTAGCCCATGATGCAGTATTTGAACTTGGGTCTTGCCAGAAAATAAGGTTAAATCATAGTTCATGGAGAGTACAAGTTAACTTTGATACAATTTATTTTTGGGGAGTTGTTGGAAGTATGCAAAAGAGCCACTTTGTAAATTCTTTATAGATTGTTGCAATAGAAGTAAAGACAACATAACAAGGTACAACAACAGGTTTTTGAATTCCTAAGGAGTGTTTGCATCACCATGGTCACACAGCCTTGCTCAAGGGGTTAAAGAAACAAAACATCAAAATCAGTTTCCATGTATTTTATTGCACAGAAGCCATTCACATAGACATAAATATTAATGATGTTACACAGATAGGATGTTCTTTGGTTGCTATGGTAACTTTGTAAATGATAATTCCAATACTGAAGTGAGATTTTAAATTGCCCTTCGATTTCTGGAGTTACAGTAAGGTTACTCCCCTGAACAGAGAAAATTGATTTACTGCAACATATATGTTAAGATTTATTTCTGGTTATTCAAGTTCATTGTACTCAAAACAAGCTGAATCAATATAAAAACTGTAGCAGCTACAAATAATGTTTTTCTTTTCATAACATTAGAATTAAAAATGGAAGTCGAATCAATAATGTGTACATTGTGTAGCCTTTCTCTTCTGGAATCAAATCAATCAGTCATTTTTAAAATTGAAACAATGTAAAATTTCTGATTTACTAAATTAATTGGCTTCATTTATAGCCTAAATATTCCAAAATACTTATTTATTCCTCGTAGCAAAAAGTTCAAATTCTGACAAAGATGAATCACAGTAATTTTCTTAACTCTATTTAACAGAGTACTACTATATAACTCTAATTAATTATAGTGATATATTATTGACAATATTGCTATCTGTACAGACTAAATATTCACTTGATGTTATAAATAGAGAGACCTTATACCAAGATAAACCCCCCTGGCAGGGTCAAATCTTGCGAATTTTAGTCTAATATCTGGTACAACTATTGCATGAGATTTGAGATATTGCAAAAATGTACATCATTCTAAGAGCACCTTTTTTAATTGCCTTTAAAATTCATTGTTCAGTTCACTTATAAGACTTTTATAGAAATGGTATAATTTATCAATGTGTATAATAATAAATATTTCTCCCTAAAAGTCAATGTGGATCATATGTTTTCGCCAGAGGACTCCTTTAATGAATATGGCATTAACACTTTGTATACATTAGGGAATATGGGGGGGGGGGATTTTGGGCCTCAATAGAGCCAAATTGTCAAAATGGGTCTCAAGGATTACTTTTAGAAATAGCCCTTATTAGGAAAAATGGCCTTCATTTTCTTATATAAATTTTGCCCCCTTCATCATATGATCGACATTGAATTCTTGAAAGTTAATAACCTTTACTACAAATAAGTTAAAGCTATATTGTCTAAAACCCCATGGCTCCTATCCATTCACATATTATAATACTACCAAATAAGGGGACATAAATTTACAATAAATAATTCATTGAGATATATTCATAATATGACTCTACAACTACTTCGAAATAAAATTAATTGAACTGTGATATACTGTACACAATTTTTACCAGTTCATAAATAGTTGAAGTTCACTTCACATTTACATTTACTATTATGATATTTCATAAATATATTATACAATATAGCATATGATATTTATATGGGATCGAGCATTGTCTTCAGATTTCTGCATGTCATGTAGGCAGTTATTTCTTCTCATTATTGTACATCAGAGAGAAAATGATCGATCCCCAATCTACGGACTATTTCTATTTTCTACACTATTTTGAATATAATGGAGCTACAAATATATATTACAAGTCAAAGCACAGACTCTACTACCAGAGCCTGACTTTCACAAAAAGTCAACACAACAACTTAGAATATACCAATGTTGGGAATTTCAACCAACAGTATTGTCACAAAATTGTCACATTCGGCTGTTTTATAAATAAAATACATCCACACATACGCAATAGTACTAGTTTGTTAAAATAAATACGAGTACATGTACACTGAAGTACAGGACTATATTTATCAAGAATATTCAACTAAAACATTCTACTAGGTCTATTTGTGAATTGAATTGAATGAGACTGAGAACATTTTGTATTCAAAAATAGTCAATATGAGCACAATGGTTAGAGGCTTGGGAAAACCCCAACTATTTATAATCAATGAAGAAAAGTAAAATCTGTATAGCTGAATAACATAAGTGGAACACATCCTATGTGGAACACTTTTTTGTTGTCAAAGATATTCCACTAACACATACACAGGCTTTTACAGTTTTTCACCGATATGATTGAATAGTGCCACATGACTTCCTCGGGCAATTTTGAATTCATGAAAAAAAGATACAACATGTATTATATTATCGTTTATAGACACCTGATTACAATAGTTATTCAGTCAAAGTTATAAAGACAATGCACCACTCGTATATTCAAACTTGAACCGATTTGTATGATGCATTATCTGTACAATGAATGAAAAATCTCATGATCTTTGTTGTAACTTGCCTGTACTAAAACCATAATACATTCTTCAGCATAGCCTCTAGTAAATGAACACAATTTTACTCAAACTGATACATTTTTGAAGCTATGCTTTAGAGTGTATGTAAATAGAGCAACCACACAATTGAACAGTACACAAGTTGTACATATATGGATTTAAAATTTTCAAATGGCGTTCATCCATCCTATTTACCCTGATTTGCGCCTATTTTTCTTAACATCATAATTAAACTAATATGTCATAAGATTAGAATTAAATCTATATATACAAATTAATTTCATTTTTCAAACAAGTCAATTCTGTACATGTCAATAAATAAACAATTGACAATACATACTGTGATGACCATTCAAAGTGGTAACTTATCTCGACTCTATGGATTAAGAACAGAATCAAGAGAATCCCTGGCGTTAAATATAACATGGGATTTCTACATTTTGTCATGATTGAACCAGACTTCAGATATAAATGCAGAACATATCTTGTGTTGTATATAATTGACTACATTTTCACAGAACCAATATACATGATTTTCCATGGTTGTCATGGTAACTACTAAACACATTTGGTATCTCGGTTACCGTGGTAACTCAATAACACCTTGCACAATTATTGTTCTCAAATCTTTATAAAATTGTAGATTCTCTTCTTTGTATATGTTTAATGACATTTCAGTCGTGGCTTTTAAATAAAAATAGCACAAATTGCTAAAAAACACAAATGTGTGATTTTTAGAGATTCAAGTATAAATGCATGCTCATTGCCCACCTCTCTTTCTCCTGCTGTATTGCGATTTCTTCAAAAATAAATAACTCTTATTCAAAATAGTGTCATTGTGGCATGCTTGCCATCTAAGATTGAGTGTAAATGAACAGTTACACTTTAAGTTGATTGCAACAATGCAAGAACTCATTTCTCACAAATACATTCTCATAAACACGTTTTACAAAGCACCGCAGAGGTAATGTAGAAATCTACCACCACTTAGATATGCACTTGGATTGTCAATGTGGATATTTCAAACCCAACTAGATGTAACATGCATTGTTGTGCAACGTAATATGAACATATCCCATCAATATTTCTCTCCAAATGAATAAATTTCACATCATTTCTGAACCAGTTGACAATGAAGAAAAGATAAAAGAAAAGAGAGAGCCCCCAGGTCTCAGCTGTATTTGGTCTAAGATCAGAAATGTGTCTAATCCAGAGCTTGAGCAGTTCGTTCAAAGATACCATCTCAGTTGGTATATTCAATGATTAACATCTCAACCAGCTCATTCAAAGATAACATCTTGAACAGTTCACTCAATGAATAACATCTTGAACAACTCATTCAAAGATAACATCTCAAACAATTTAATCAATGATCAACATATTGAGCAACTCATTCAATAGTTCAATGATAAAATATCATGCAATACATTGTAACCAACCAGACAAGAAATCAAATTTTAAACTGCATCAGCATAAAAACATCTCACTTTATAAATGTTAACTCCCAAAAAACACATCCTCCAGTTCAATTATGAATTGAAATATCAAAGTCATTCAAAGCATAGTTTCATAACAGATCCTAATAGACAAATTGCAAATGATTCATCAGTGTTTATCATGAACAAGTACCTCCTGCTTGTTGCCCAACACATAAATCAAACATACCTGGAGATGAAATGTAGATTAACTGAACCAAGATTACCTCTGAGATTTTTATGAGGGTACAAATCTTACACAATTAAGCTGAGACAGTTTCAACAATTGACTCTTTGATAATTTCACCAAAATCCTGGGCCCCTGGTGATGCTGGAGAGAAGTTATCACTTGAACTGTCAACAAAACTACTCTTTGAAGAAGGTAAACCATCTGAATGGGCGGAGTCAGAACTAGAATCACTCATGCGGCTGCTCCCCAGGCCACTCTCTGCCTGGTAGTCGCCACACCCTGACTGGAAGTCTCCGCCCCCAACACTTGATTGACAACCCAACCCTATAGAACCAGACTCCAATGAGCTATCACTGTAATTGTGATTATCCAACGTGTGAGAGAAGTTAGAGTCCCTGGCTGACTTGGAAGGATCACTGCTTGAACTGACTAGGACATTACTGAGACTTGTTAACTTAACAGGGCCCTCCTTAGCATTTACTTCTACAGGGGCATTATTATTAGGGGTGGAGCCCATTGTGCTGGAGCAATTATCGAGGCATGTGAGGGTTGTTTCGTGGTATGGCTGTGTGGAAGAGGTGGTCTGGGGACACATATTGTAGCCAGTGAGAGTGCTAGACTGGACCTGATTCAGGTTTGTGTAAGTGGTGGTAATGCCGTTGGAATTTGATTCTGTAAAGGTCTGGTTGGTCACGGAGGTGTCGTTATACTGGGTACTGATATTTGATTGACTGAGGCAAGTGCTGTTTGTGTTGCTACTATGGCAACCATTTACAGCTGATTGGCTAAGAACAGGTGTGTGACTAGATTGCACATGATGGACTTGTGACGGTACAGTTTGGTCAGTGGCGGGAAAAGGATACTGAGTTGTATCTGCTCGTGTGCCTGAACTGGTACCATAGTTACCATTGCTCATGCCTCCATTTGAACCATACGAATAAAAGGACTCTGAATTATTGGACCATGACTGACCATCTGTGGTGTAGTTAGAATAGCGAATGGGGTTGAGAATTTCTGATATTGGCTCCAGTTTGAACATGGAGTTTGTGGAGTTGTTGACGTCCATGTATTTCTGCTCCTGTTGTGATCTCGCTGATTGGTAACCAACTGTCGTAGAGGGAATGCAGTAACCGCTTGTGGTGGTGCCATCAGCATTGAAAGTCTCATAGTTGTTATGGTACCCATTATGTTCCTCGTAAGAGACACTTCCCTCACTAGAACAATCACTGCTCTCTGAATACGAACTCTCTTCACCAGTAAAAGCATAGATGGCACTGCTATCAGACACTTTCTCCTCATCGCTATCATTAAACATCATGACGCGCTGTACTGAATCATTGGCTTCTTTTGCCTGGTTGGCAATGGAGCTCTCATCCTGCTGCTTATAATGCAATGCAGAGAAATCATTGTTTGAGATACTTGTTTCCACCTCCATGTTGGACTGATACTGGGTAACTTCACGCATTACCACATTATTCACTTCTGAATTCTGACAGTCTCTACAGCTTCCCATTTCATTACTATTATACTCGGAAACATCTTCAAATTTGTTAACTTTCTCAGGTGTTTCTTCCTCACTGCTTGTGTCTTGGAAACGAACATGCCGATTCCGCCTCCTGATTTCCTGTGACTCACGCTGTTTCTTCTCAAGCTCGAGTCTCATCAGAGTGTGTATAAAATGAGTCCTTACTCGAATAGGGTTAAATTCAATACGCCCTTTAAGATTTCCGCAGCCATCTTTAGTACATCCACAAGGAAATGACAAGCGATCAACCTGACATTTAATCCCTGATAGCGCACACAGACAGGTCTCTGGGTCACAAAATCCCTTACAGTCACATCCACAAGACTCGCGCGATATTCTAATATCTTTACATTCCTCCTTTTCTGAGGAGTCTATTTTCTTAATGCCTGCAGTACGGAGTAATACACGACGTTGCCGGGTAGGTACTGGAGTGAGAAAATAATAATCATCGACATTGAGATCATCATCAGATTCATCGCTACTTGAATCGCTACAGGAATCATCCTCATCACGTTCCATGTTATCATCTGAATCCTTTTCACTCACATCATCAGCTGTATCCTTAGCCTTGGAATTATTTTCTTCCGGACTACTTTCTATTTCAGCTTCTGCTGCTATGGTCTCCTCCTCTAGGGCAGACTGTGCAAGGATACTGCTCGTGAGTAAAGAGGTGTGGAGTAATTTTCCCTGCAGTTTCTGCTCCTGTAGGATTCGTTTGTGGAGCTGGCGTTGGCTCTGAGAATACTCCTTCAGTGAAAAATTCTCAACAGTCACATGGTTGTCCCCCATCCCTGGAATCACAAAGAAAAAACAAATTGAGACAATAATTTCAATTTTCGACTGCAAAAATATAACCTGAGTTTGTATGCTTTGAATGGAAGAACATTTTTTAGCTCGTTTTGATGCCATTCCTGACATATTTCACTAGCTCTTCCATACTCATGTTAAGATATTGAAACCAATATGGATTCTGGCAGACACCATATTACATTTGATAAATCTTCTTTTGGACATTTATGGCATTGAATCTTGGTAAAACGTAACCTTAATTGATTTTTGAGTTGTGTACTGTGGCATCACAGAAAAGTATAGGCTTTTATAACATACTGATAAGTTATTATCACATTCTCTCGCCAGAGAAAATTGGACTTTTTCTTTACAATATAGAGTAGGTTCATTTCACAAATAGCCTTCACAATAAATTAACCCTCACAAATCTCAATGATGCATAGAAACAGATAATCAAAGCTAAAAAAACAAAAGAAAAATTCAGTAATATTTTGACGTATAGAATAGGAAATGTAATTGGAATCTAAATAATCATTAGACTCCTACGTAGAATTGCCTGTTATTTGATATATTCACAGAAGTTAATATGGATATCGTTTGAAGGATACTTGATTAAAGATGTGGTTTTGTAAGAGATCTAATAGTAATATTCAAAGAAACTCATCAGGAAAATCAATAATGCCGAGGATGTTAGTGTATCTATTTGATCCATTTCTTTATCAAAATAATCAGATTACAATTGGGTCAATTTTATAGGTGTTTTATAATATAACATATCTCGGTGAAAAAATTTGACAAAAAACGAACAAACAGAAACATGTGATCTGCCATATATAGGAGGAATAAATTTTCTGTGAGCAAATTTTTTCAAGGTAAAAATCGAATCTTCATTTATTATCTATATCTAATAACATCTGATACGATCGGAGGCAGTGAAAAGATTAGATAATATCAAATATCAAGAGCTAGACATACTGTCAGAGATTAGTCTTGCAGAGCCTAGTGAAGTCCATTTTTTCTCTTGAAAATGGATGAAGTATCTGATTTTCTAGCTTTTCTATATAAAAGTATTGAATAAGTATATATAATAGTAGTTGTCTCATGAATTCAACCTTCCGAGCTCTATTTAGCATTTCAAAACTAATGCTGCTATGCCAATTTCATTCAAGCAATGGAAGCTGTCAATATAGTTATGAAAGAAGTAAAATCTACTATGGTTTAACCCCTCCCTCATGATTATACGCTCATTTAAATTATACAAGAAACAACACTCATCTCAAAAGCAAGGCATAACATAAGAAGGAGCCAAGCCCAATAGACAAAAATTACCAGTATGGACAAAAGTAGAAATCACATCAGAAATGGTTTATTATTATTACCATGGGCTTTCAATTAGTTGAAAGCCCATGTTATTACACACTGTTCCAGCAGCGTATTTCTTCAGATTATTCAAAAAGCAACAAGAATCTGGTTCACCCCTCAATCTTCTACATTTCCCCTGTTATATTCTTCAAGGGGAATGGTTGTGGGGTAACACAGGTGCTTGTATCAAGACTAGTAGTAGAACATACCTAAGGTGGAGCCACCCTGACTTGGCACACACGTAAATCCCTGGGACCTCGGGAAGTAGTACACAGTGACCCCATTGAACTTGACACCTCTCTTCTTCTTTGGGGCATTGACAGGCTCTGAAAGAATAAATATAAATTCTTCTTGAAATAATCCACATTTAAGAATAACAATTATGGTCTTTTTATAAAAGTCCATATACTCTTGAGTGTCACAGCCTAATACATTAGATAGATGAAGTTTTCTTTTAAAGAAGCAAAATTAAACTACACAACAGCAACGCCAAAGCGTAGCAAATCCCATGGAACAGCCATGGCTGGCATTTTTACAAACAAAGTATATATAGGAAAAATGGCAGCCATTTTTCAAAATGGCCATCTCCTACCAAAAGTGTCATTAGACAGTGTGCCATGCTTAAAGTATTCACATACCAGATATGAACAAAATCGCTCCACTAATTTTCGAGTTAAAGTAAAATACGCTAAAATGGTGGCCATTTTTCAAAATGGCCACCTTCTACCAAAAGTGAATATCAGAGCAAAGTACAGTAAATTATATCAATGAACCTTTCTTTTAAAGATGCGAAATTGGAAAGGGTGAGCATAATGATCCCTTCAAAAATGGTACATTGATTGCTTTTACCATTGTGTTTACAATGCATTTTCATCAAAAACAACTCACACTTAATGATAATGAGCCTATTTCACCTGACCACAGTAAGTCTAAAAATAGCAAATTTGCATATCCGTTTTCATCATCCATTACTCCCCAAAATAAAGTAACCTTTCAATAATTTAAAAATAATCTAATGTCTAACTAAGACTGCGTTACATACTCAGTGGATCTCAAACAACTACATGCTGTAGCATAGCCAGGATGAGGCAGATGAGCCACTTGCCTCGCGTAGGGCTGTTTTAGCGTAGCCAGGATGAGAAAGTGCCTTGTCACTTCTTTAACAGGTTTGAAAATATTTTTTTATAATTTCTTATCAATATCAGGGGTCAAATAATGAAAACACAAAAATCTCTAAATCTGCTGCAATACACAGTAAAACTTGACAATAAGTGGAATGCCCCTTGGATCACAAAAAGTGTTCGACCTCGAAAGTGTTCTACATTCAGAGGTTCATTTAACATGAAGTCAATGGGTTACGCGACTCCTGTTCCCTTATGGAGATGTGCTACCAGACAATTAATGTATATTTTAAAGATTATAGGACCTACCTGTTTCAGTTGAAGTGATTTCCTCTCTAGGCTTGTCAGGTATTGCACTATTTCTACAGCTGTCATCTGTTTCTTGAGCATTCTCCTTGTGTGATATACCACCATTCACAATATTGCCATTTGTGATGTCACTATTTGTAACATCACTATTTGTGATATCGCCATTTATGACACTTCCATTCAAAATACTACTATTGCAACTTTTCTCCTCACTATGTGTGATATCACCATTTTGAACTTTATACTTTGTGACATCATTATGTGTGATATCACCATTTATGACATCATCAGTAGAGATGTCACCCGAGCCGACTTCAACTTCATCAAATTTGCGTTTCGGCATAGTTTCCTCCCGAGAGGTGGATGGTATGAATCACTATTGCACTGATAGATGGCACCTTATGTCACTATTGTTGTGATCGTTACGTCATCATCTGAAGATACACAAAATTTTAGAATGTTTAATAAGAATACAATGCATGCAAAAATTCATCAGATGATGTTACAACAATAAAACAAATTCAGAATTAGGAATCATAATCCAGAACACTTTGGGAAACGGCCTACTGATGATTCTGATTTATCAATGATCATAATTCATGCAATAACACATGTAGCAAATTAAACTAACCTAACAACTCTGATAGTATTCAACCAATATTAAACACATCTATATCCCATATTGATATGAATTCCAAAGAATTTCTGCATCAATTTATAGCTTCAGTCTTTAAGACACAACTATTGGTTTGCCACTACTCTTAAATTCATCATTTACCATGTAGACTCACGTTTTCAGCATTAGTTCCTATCAATACCAAAACAATCCAAAATCCTTTTGTTATATCACATGAAACACGCCATTAACTGTCTACATTGTTAGAACCTGATGTATTGTAAGGAATCAAGTACTGACACTTCTTAACTAGAACGAGTCTGCTATTACGTTAGTGTGGTAGCTATGGCAACCATTCATGCTGAAGCTAATATGGTACGCTGCCAAGAAAAAATCAAATATGTGCTTTGCTTACACAACAAATTAAAGCATCCTTGAGAATTAGCAACGGCTCTAAATAGAACAGAAATCTTAAACAACATTGATGTTTATGGCAGAATGCAGACCCTTATAAGATAATAATAGAGAGAAAAAGCAAGAAAATGAGAGGAATCAACCTGCAAGGGAGATACAGCAGCACTCAAGCAACATATATTGATTTTTTATTCTGCACTAAATAGAGAAACTGTAAATTGGTGAATAACATAATAGAACGTGATGAAACGCATATCTGCATGACAAAATATAAGTATTCCATACAGATATCAATCATAGTACAAGAACAGCAAAAACCTTGTTTCATTCTTGTTTTCAATTTATCATACTTTTAAATGAATAGTGTAAAACACTTAATATCTGCTACATGAGAGCAGAGAGCCCCCGATTTGATCTTCATTATTTCCACTAAAGTGGAATGCCCCTCGCGAATATCGCGAAAATTAAATGCATGGGAATAATACGTGTTTTACAGTATTAGAATTACAATTGTGGTCTCTGCTCAAGGTTGATAATACCAACATATTTACCACAGCATACTTCACTTCATTGAACACTGTATATCAATTTAATTGTAAGGTATAGGATGTATTCTATCTACATGTGTTGTTAAACAATTTTTCTCCATCGAAAAGGGCTTATTGGCCTTTTGTAGATTATCAATATTGTTAGTTTCTTGCTATGAGTATCTAAACAAAACAATGTAGAAAATTATTGGGTAAATGGAGCAACTGTGATCATTTTGGGCCAGATGGGGAGGCAGTGAATAGATACATGGTGGGCAAAACAAATATTTCTACAGCGAGATATTCCCCAGTACATTAAATGCAAAAGTTAGTTAATTTAAAAATATACGATATCGAACGGTGAGCCTACACAGCTACTTAAGAATGTCCTACACCTTTAACTACTCTAATTTTGAGGATTCGGATCTACCATTTATACACCTGTAGCAACCTCTTTCCATGGATTCCATGGTAAAAAATGGGATAGCAGGAGTATCCAAACACATGATAGTATACACCTCCACATATGTTTGCTACATACTTGCAGCTACAGTCATATATGCGTATTGGGTAATAGCAAGTACTAGCTATTTAACAGATCATGGTGGTATATTTGAAGATCATGTTAACTCTGAATAATCTGTAATGTTCAGGAAATCAACTATTAAGAGTTCAGATATTGTTATCAGATTTATTTTCCATCTAGCTATCTTTATTCTTACTTCAAAAGTTCTAGTGTCCCCCTTCCTCCACAATGGGGTGAACTGGGTGGAGCAGGGTGAAGTAGGGATGGGAGTGAAGTGGGTGGAGGGGGTGAACTGGGTGGAGGGGGTGAAGTGGGTGGAGGGGGGTGAAGTGGGTGAAGCAGGTGGGCTCCAGAGATTTTATGTAACACAAAGTTAACTATATTTTACAGTTATTCATATTTTATATAATTTTTCTGCTATATACCAAGCATAATTTTTTATATAGTTTTTCTGCTTAATTTTAAAGACGATTGCATTAAAAACTAAAAAATGTTTGGTCCATCACAATAATTGACTAGTTAAGCAAAAATAATATCAAAATTAATAATTAATTAATAATATTAAATTTAGGAAATCAATAGGTAATGTATCTTGAATTGTTGCGGTTCAAATTGTAGGCTTCTTCCTCCTACAGTGATACAATAAATAGATAAATATATATCCATGACAGGGAGATGTCGTTAACTTGATCAAATTGACTTAGAATGTCACTTTGTGTCTGGGTTACATATTTATTATAATCACAAAATTCTTAGAATGCAATTCTGAAAACACCTCAGGCCGGTAAGTAGTAAGAGTTCGAGAGGCTGTTTTTCACCATTCTGAGCACTTTTAAGTGATTTTGGGACCATTTTTAAAAAGTGAACAAAAGCTGGCTAAGAGCATGCATCTCCCAAATCATCACTGACTTTAGGATAATTTGTTGATAAACATAATAGTACCACAACTGGCATAGTTACAGACATCACATCAGTAATTGATGTCAATAGAGAAGTAGCAACTCCCTATATATACATTTACAGCTCAGACAGAATTCAACATTTCCCATTTCCATAATTTATGAAGTAATTCACACAAATAATAATATATGTTAGCCTAAATTTGTTAAATCTAAAACATAAATCAAATTGCAAACTCGAGTCATATGCACAGATTTTAACTTGTGCTATTCCACCATTCACTAACATGATTCAATTTCTTAACTCACAATATGTTTCTATATACATGCAATAGCCTTGCAGAGTCAGACCAAACTAAAAATACACTGACAGAACCAATCATGTAAAGCGCATCAGCATGTTTTTATGAAAATCATTAATAGGATAGTAGCAGACAGTATAATGTCAATACAACCATGTCAAGTTATTTATTGCCTTGCGTGATTATCACCCTCCAATATAAAGAAGCCTGATGTACATGTTGTCAGAAACATCAGACAAAAGACATACCAGATTAGTTATCATAATACCATCATAAAATACTATTATATAATATGTTATAATAATAGTCATACTTGTAAGTAAAAAACATGAAAATGTACCTTGTCTTGGCAATCAAAATTACCATTTCAAATATGTGACATTATGAACCACATCGGCAAAGCATGACATAAACAAATCACTGATCCACAGTAGGATGAAACTAACTGGAGTAAGTCACATGAATATGGTACCATGGACAGAGATGATGACAAATACCATAAGAAGGTTTTAACATGCAAAATGTCACCACCTGCCATTTGTTACAGATACCAAACGCCAACCGCCGGACTCAAGACACCATCCATAAGGAAGCTGGAGACCATAACAATATGTCACCACTTGTGGTGATGACATTATAACATTGGTATAGACAGAGATGATGACAAATACATTTCCTATTGCAAGAGATGATGACGATTACATTTCCTATTGCAGGCTTGATGACAAATATCTTATAACATTGCTATAGACAGAGATAATGACAAATACATTTCCTATTGCAAGAGATGATGACAAATACATTTCCTATTGCAAGAGATGATGACAAATACATTTCCTATTGCAGGCTTGATGACAAATATCTTATAACATTGCTATAGACAGAGATGATGACAAATACATTTCCTTTTGCAAGAGATGATGACAAATATCTTATAACATTGCTATAGACAGAGATGATGACAAATACATTTCCTATTGCAAGAGATGATGACAAATATCTTATAACATTGCTATAGACAGAGATGATGACAAATACATTTCCTATTGCAAGAGATGATGACAAATATCTTATAACATTGCTATAGACAGAGATGATGACAAATACATTTCCTATTGCAAAAGATGATCACAAATATCTTATAACATTGCTATAGACAGAGATGATGACAAATACATTTCCTATTGCAAGAGATGATGACAAATATCTTATAACATTGCTATAGACAGAGATGATGACAAATACATTTCCTATTGCAAAAGATGATGACAAATATCTTAACATTGCTATAGACAGAGATGATGACAAATACATTTCCCATTGCAAAAGATGATGACAAATATCTTATAACATTGCTATAGACAGAGATGATGACAAATACATCTCCTACTGCAAAAGATGATGACAAATATCTTAACATTGCTATAGACAGAGATGATGACAAATACATTTCCCATTGCAAAAGATGATGACAAATATCTTATAACATTGCTATAGACAGAGATGATGAAAAATACATTTCCTATTGCAAAAGATGATGACAAATATCTTAACATTGGTATAGATAGAGATGATGACAAATACATTTCCTATTGCAAGAGATGATGACAAATATCTTAACATTGCTATAGACAGAGATGATGACAAATACATTTCTTATTGCTATATATGATGACAAATATCTTAAAATTGCTATAGACAGAGATGATGACAAATACATTTCCTATTGCAAGAGATGATGACAAATATCTTAAAATTGCTATAGACAGAGATGATGACAAATTCATTTCCTATTGCAAAAGATGATGACAAATATCTTTAACATTGCTATAAACAGAGATGATGACAAATACATTTCCTATTGCAAGAGATGATGACAAATATCTTAACATTGCTATAGACAGAGATGATGACAAATACATTTCCTATTGCAAAAGATGATGACAAATATCTTAACATTGCTATAGACAGAGATGATGAAAAATACATTTCCTATTGCAAAAGATGATGACAAATATCTTAACATTGCTATAGATAGAGATGATGAAAAATACATTTCCTATTGCAAGAGATGATGACAAATATCTTAACATTGCTATAGACAGAGATGATGACAAATACATTTCCCATTGCAAAAGATGATGACAAAT